AAAAAAAAAAAAAAAAAAAAAATATATATATATATATAAAATATATATATATATATTTTTTTTTTTTTTTTTTTTTTTTTTTTTTTTGTGTGAAAATAGCATCTTTATTTCCGTGACATTTTTTACATCATGATCATGAAATCGCAGCACGCTGTGACACAAAAATATAGCACTCGCCAAAGAGTTCAAAAATCGAACTAAGTGTGTATAGCAAATCAACTGTACAATAAATATGAAAATGTGACTCAATGTGAGCAAAATCAAAGATAAAGCAAAAAATCACAGCAAATTTCTATCGATGCAGATATTATCCAAATATCCGTATTTGATGCAAAACGCAAAATATCAATCGTGAAAATATGTTAAATAAAAGGTAAAAAAAAAAAAAAAGATTAACACCATATTACAGCATACATGTACATTTAGCAGGAATGGACGGAATAGTCAATAAATAATAAATAACTCCTCAAAATTGATTTAAAAACGATTGACAAATAGGAGATCTATAAAGGTGATGATAAATTTATCACAGTTTAGTATATCAGTCTAAGGAGGGCATTACATGTACATTTATCATTTCGAAAGGCATTCCTTTAAACTACATGTAATTTGCTTTTTAATACTTCACAAAACGTGAAACGCATGGTTTTGCATTTAACCAATTAAGCAATTTGTAAGTAAATTCAATACTATAAAAAAACGCCGAAGCAGACGTTCATACTGCTTAACGTGTTTAAAATGTTTAATCTGCCAACCCTTCAATTAATATGCCTTCACTGCAGAAAACATCGAAGGCGAATTTCTGGAATATGAATATTCTCTTGAGAGTTTTTCCTGCGTTTTCTCCCATTTCTTGTCTCTTCCCCTCTTGTAAATCAGATATATAACTAGTCCCAGTAGAACTAAGGTGACCACAATCAGCCATATAATAATGCCGATGATGAGGTAACCATTCACTAGTGTAGCATCATAGCCACAGTTGCCGGTCTGAGCAGACGATTGAGCGGCCGTCTGGTCCTTCACAACCTGAGACATGGTTTCCGAGAGTGTCGTTAATTCTGGAACAAGAGTACAAAATCAGTGTACTACTACAGAGAAAAAAATGTCCTTTTGTCTCTGTTATACAACACTTGAGGGCCATTTGAGGCGATTTAATATTCTTTTCCAGTGTAGGGCTGTTGTAGCAGTTTGATTTAATAACAGATTGGTATTCTATATTTACCTGACATGGAATCAAGACTGTCCATCAAATCATTTTTATGGGGAGAGGCTGCTTGGTATGTTGAAACTCATGAATAAGTATGATTTTGTAGACAGCGGAGAATGAGATATTTCGAATGATTACTTACCTGTGACCTTCAGCTGCAGCGATTGTGCCAAGGAGTCAACAGACGACGAAATGGTCATCACGCAACTTCGGCTCCCCAAAGTGTTGACACATTTTTGTGTTGAATTACACCCGCCATTATTGACAGCACACTCATCAACATCTGAGATAGAACACATAAAATACAACAAGTTCTTGAAATCACTTACGGACACAGCTTTTCAATATAGCACCCGCACTATGTAATGCATTCAAGATACAGATCCAGCCATGGTTGACATAAATGTTTTAAACTTTATATTCATTTATTTTGATTCATCTATTTTTTCTTATAATTATTGATCTGTTATTATTATTATTTGCTTTCAAACCCCTTTCTTAATAATACATTATTTAGTAATAGTACCTTCACAGCTGTGTCTGTCGGGGCTCAGTCTGAACCCAGCCCGGCACGCGCAGACGTAGGTGCCTACTGCGTCGTAACACAACTGGTCACAGCCGCCATTGTCATTGCCACACTCGTCCACGTCTAAAATGATTGACAAAACATCAATAACGACAACATCAGGTGGTAGAAAAAAGGAGGCGCTGGTAATATTCAAATCCATGTAAATTTATGTAAATGGAAAATGCACTTTCTTTTTTTGATAGCAGCCTTAAAAAGTTCAAGCAGACGCTATTTTGGCATGACCCTTTTTTAAATCTATAATAAAATAGCACACTTGAAACTTAAATATGCTCGAGTCCGAACAAGTATTTCATTAATGTTATATACACCGGTTCAATATTGACGAAACAACTAAATGTGATTGACAACAGGCTTTCCCTCACCGGCACAAGAATGCTTGTCTTCGTTCAGCTGATACCCGGCGTCACATACACAGCGATAGGACAGGTAGGAGTTCATACAGGTGTGACTGCAACCTCCCTTATTAGTCTGGCATTCGTCCACCTCTGAAAAATTAAATAAAAATTGTAAGATAGGATTTCCACTGTGGTGCACATTACACATTTTTATTATCTTAATAATGACCATTTTCAAATGATTATTGAAAAAAATTGATCATTATGTTTGAAACTTATTAAAACTATGGTTATAAAAAAGGGCCGAAAAACTTTTTTATTAATATTTACACATTCAAATACGCACTAACCCTTATTTCCTGGGGGACCCATAGGTCCCATGGGCCCCGCTACTCCCATATCGCCCTTTAATCCTTGGAGTCCTTGAACACCTTGGTCGCCTTTGGCGCCCGTTGGACCTATAATGCCCTGAATACCAGTTGCACCTCTGTCGCCTTTCGACCCCTTCACTCCCTGCTCGCCCTTGTCCCCCTTGGCCCCTGTAGATCCTGTAGGTCCAGTTATGCCTTGTGGACCCGTGGGTCCGGTAAGACCAACTGGACCGTCTGGGCCTCTCACACCTTTGTCACCTTTGGGACCTGTGTCCCCTGGAACCCCAGATACTCCTTGAGGGCCTTGGATACCTGCCGGGCCCTGAGCACCAGTAGGACCCTGTTGAAATAATGCGGGGAATAAGACTTGAACATGCTACTTTCTATACCTTGATGGTTCAGGGAAAAGCGTTAACATGTCCAGGGAAATTAAATCTCTGGTATATAATGGCCTAATGATTATTGCGTGCCTAAAAGTAATGCATTTCAGCTGTGGCGCCCGATGGGCACACAATAAACTATAACGTACTGTTGGCCCTTCCGGTCCCTGCTGCCCGCGTTGTCCTTTTGGCCCTGGGGGTCCTGCAGGGCCCTGGGCACCTTTTTCACCTTTAGGCCCAGGTGGTCCTTGCGGTCCAGGAGGTCCAACGATCGCTACAAATGACAAATGTACTCCATAAACACTACATGTGAACAACGCCCAGCCCTCTGTACTCTTTATGCATTGAACGTTCCATATTATTTCCTTTTGATGCGATATCACTCTCCATCACAAAACAATTCAGGAGCACTAATACCAAGAAAATAGATCACGATAGTCATTAAGCAAAATCAGTCAAAATCTTAATAACCACTTACTGGTTGTGCACGGGACATCGTTACAAACTTGGACGTGAGTATCGCTGCCAACACAATTTCCCCCGCCATTGCTAGGGGCGGGGTCATTACACGCACGTCTTCTTGAGTAACTCCCTCCATCGCAGGACGCAGAACAAGGGGCCCATTCTCCCCATGCTCCCCAATTTCCGTTAACTAGATAAATGGACGATTGAAGATATTATTATTAAAATGGAATCGTTACGAAAGTGTGTTCTACCTATGAAGCATGATTTTCGAAACAATTTCCTTTTTCATCATCATTACACAAAACCACAATGAAAGAAAAAAATATTTTTACTAAATGAAATCTCTGATCTCAGTTCAAGAGAATACCAAATATAAAATCACTCATTAGCATGAATAACAGTAATAAGGTAAAGAGAAAGAAGTGTGGAATATAATACTTGGTGATACCAATATTGTCACAATCAGTAATTTAGAAAGCAAATAAACTAAATACATCGCAATACTTAATGGAATGACTTACTTGGCTGTATCAAAGTCTTCAATCGTGTTCCAGCTGCCATGGCAACGCTCTCTTTGTCACTTGCACTGTACACCATAGCCATGAAGTCTCCAGAATGGGTGACTCTCTGTGCGTTAGCGGGCAGTTGGAAGGCAGTCCCTGCGTACGTAGTTCCTGGAATTGCAGTCCACTGCACAGGAGAACTAAGAGAACGGCGCTTTATGGAGCCAGACAGACCAGAACTTAGAGATGCCAAAGTCTGGCCATCGATTTTTATGTTGTCCTTATCTGCATTTCCCGCGACTACCATGACGTAATTGGTGTATGCTGCACCAGTACCGGCTTGCTGCGGAGACGTGACCGTGTATTCTGACTGCCATTGTTTGACAGGCGGTACGAGAACCATTGCCGGATCTCCTACATCACTGGTAACAGCTTGACCCCTGGTGAACTGCACCACCATGACTGGCTTAGAACTTGAAATATGAGCAAATGTACCAGAAGGGAAGGATCTTTCCACAAAGTCACTGGTCCCTATCGTAACCTCTTCTTGGGTCAATCCAAATCCTGATATTGAAATGCGGGTTGCCGGGTCACTTGCTACTATTCGAAATATGTCCCCATTGGTTTGCCTTGGAGATGGAACAGCGAAGAACTCTTGTCCCCACGTTTCAACAGGAGGCATCTGTTCAACCAGATGGTCACGGTAGCTAGATTCATTCCCCACAGTGGTTCTAATATTCCCACTGAACACTGCAATGGGCTGGGTCGCGGTTATCTCGGCACCAGTCAGATCACCACTGAATTGGCCCTGGAACGTTTGGTATCTGGTCAATCGCAGATTTATCACGTCTCCGCTTCTGTATGTGTACCCGTTATACGTCACAGTTAACGGAACACTGCGGCCTCTCGGCATTTCGATCTGAACATCCACAGTAACTGACAGCGCTGCAATACCCAACTGGCAATTGTTGCTGCTTCCTGTGGAATAATAACACACTGCAAAGTATTTCGTTCCCAAAACGTCTGTCGGAAAAGCGAGGTAGCCGTCAGTTGAATATTTCTCCTTGTTGACCGTGTAGACATTAACGTCTTGGGTAGCTTGTACGAGAATTGCCGTGTTAGCTATACCTGTTCCAGTCGTCTGAATGGTCCTGGCCATAGTCAACCTTTTCATTTCAGTAGGGCTGACGGTGACGCTTTCGTCCATTGCAGGGCTAAATAATGGCGTTGTCACGTTGACTGTTGCGGTAACGGTTGGATATGTGTTTGCGATGTAAATCTCTAGGGGGCTATTCACTGGGTCTTCAACAGAGTTTTCCATAAACATTATGACAAATTCTCTCCCACTCGAGTCCAAAGTTTCTGGATGAAATAAAAAGTTCAGCTTTATAAGACTTTAATAATCATTATAGTGAACGCAAGGTTGCTTAGAAGTGACAAAACGCAATGAAAAAATCTTACTGATGGCAAATGCTTTGTGGGTAAAACAGTGCATCAAGTAATATGCTGACTATCACAAAGAAACAGTGTCGAGAAAGAGTTACCATTCGTTCACTTCTAAAAAGCTAAATAATAAGGCATAAACATCCCAAATCTTGAAGTCCGTGAGGGGAGCCATAGGCTCCCACACACTTCCTAGGTTTTTGCTTCATAAGCCTTAAAGCACACCCAAAGTGCTCCTTAAATGTTACGCTTGTAGTGAGATATATCCAGCTTGTCTTATAATTGCTTCTTTGAACTCATTACCTGAACAGTCTTCGTCCTTTTTTCCGTCGTTATCATTATCTGTAATGAGGCCAATAAAACACCTTAAATTCTACCAATAAAATACTCTTGAAATCTAACCATAGAGAAGCAGAATGATTAAGATTGACAGTATTTCTCTTACTAAAATGTTAATGAAAAATATGTAAACAAAAAAGCTGATATGAAGATAAGCAAACGTCATATTTTACCAATTCCATCGCAATATTCCTCATCCACTCTCCCATCACAGTCATTGTCATGTCCATCCCCATTTACCATATGTGGAGCGTTGCAACTCTGAAAGGAAACCGCATTGTGATTGTCCATATGGGCACAATAATTGTCATATATAACGTAAAATATACCTATTGCACGGGAAGAATGATTCGGAGGAATGAATGTTGGGTAGAAGAAGAAAACGGTTAAATTATCTTTTATCTTTGTTTGAAAAACATAATTAGATTGTTCTTTTACCTTAAGTTCAAGAAGTAATTTTATCACAGACATACTTACAAAAGCAATGTTTTCACACTGCATCCCCACTGGTAAACCGTAGCTCTCTCTGTCTGCTTTGCCATACAAAATTCCCATCATGGCGACACCGCTTGAGCTATGGCGAATGTGATGCACACCGCTTGAAACATTAAAATACGTCCCCGAGTACGTGGTGTCGGCTATGGGTGTCCATACAAGTCCAGGTTTACTGATACTTAGTCTTTCACTATCGAGCAGAATCCCATCAATTTGATCCGCAGGCGCCACCATTAGCACATAGTGTGTGTAATCCCCACCAACCACTCCCCCAGAATATATTGGGGTGCTGAAACTATACTGGAAGGCATACTGTTCCATGGGAGGGACGATTATCATAGATGGGTCTGCTGTCTCAGTGTTAGATATCTGACTGTAAACAAACTGGACCATCAGGACCGGCTCGTTGGCAATAAGGTATAAATAATCATTGGATGGCACCACCCTTTCTACGAAATCCCCGGCGGTTTGAATGTCGATGAATTCCCTTTGGATGGTGACCCCGCCACTTTCAATGTACCTCAGCAATATTTTAGTGTTGTCTCTTGCGGCGATGATGCGGAAGAAATCCCCAGTCGTTCTACGGGGGATGGGGACCGTTGCAAACTCTTTTCCCCACGCCGAAACGGGAGGGATCTGTTCAGAAAGGTGATCCCGAGACGTGCCAATGCCTATGTTGGTTCTGACATTCCCACTGAACACGGCTATCTTCTGAGAGGACGTAATACGGGTTCCGGTAAGGTCAGCCGAATTCTGAATATGCAGAGTGTCGTATCTATTCAGAATAAGACTGAATCTGTCACCGTTGTTGTAAGTGCGACCACCAAGATTTAGGCTGATTGAAGATCGGGTTGAAGAAGGCAGTTCTATTGTCACAGAGGTTCCATCTTGCACGCCCACAATACCAAACTCACTTGCAATTGTAGGAGGGGCATAACTCACAGTGTAATACTCAGTCCCTAATGTGTCGGTTGGAAAGGCCAAGAAAGCGTCCGCTGAAAACTTCTTTTTATTCACGCCGTACACAGCCACTGTCCCTGTCGCTGTAACTTGGATTGCTTTGTTGGAAACGTCTGTTCCTTCCATTCGGAGTTCCGGGGAAATGGGAAATCTGATGACTTCGTTCGGGTTGACGGTTTCGGAACTTTTCACGTAAGGAAAAGCGTATCTGGGTGTAGTGATGTCCACCTGGACCGGCTGGTTGGAACTTGTCGCTATGAATAACTCCAGGTCGTAAGGGTCCGTGAATTCCTGTACGACGTTGTTAAGATACATAACCAGAAAGTCCGAACCCTTTGAATCTAGTGCAACTGTAAAACAAGTTGAATACACAACAACTATTGATAAGTTAATGCACTAAAACTAAGTTGTTTCAGTCTCTGTAAAAAGTTTATATAAAGAAATATTGAATATTTAAATTTCGGAGTAGATATTCTCGGTTTATTTATGAGCAAAGCTCTGGATACGTACCAGAACAATCTTCGTCCACTCTCCCGTCACCATCGTTATCTATAAAAATATATCACAGAAATTCACATGTGCAAGAATAAAGCATATCGCGAAAGAAAGAGTTAAATCATAATGTTTCATAAGCAAATTCATACATTTGTCTTACAGTTATAACCCAAAAAACTTATAGCCGAACCCAAATATTATCTTTACTCATCATGAGACATTAACAATATACACAGTGTAGGCCTATGTGTATCTGCTAAGATCTATATATAGAAAATTTTACCCATTTTGTCACACTTCTCTTCATTCATCTGTCCATCACAATCGTTATCCACCGAATCCCCCGGTACCATTGGTGGTGCCACGCATGTCTGAAAAAGATCAGAAGAAACCTATGTTCAAAGACCAAAAGCAAACCCTGCTTGGTAAATTTTAATATAAGCTTTGGACTGCATTTATGATGGAACTTTCCAAATGTGAAGATTGTGTATGTAAAGAACAAACAAGAGACACGTAGGCCTAAGTATGTGTATAAAGGTCATGAAATGCTGAAATAATCTTATGTGCTTAGATAAAATTTCGCTGGTTTTCTCTTACTTGTTGCTGCTGAACTGCTCCGGTTTTCATACCAGCAGGGAATGCGTAGGACTCCTTGTCTGCGGCTCCGTACAGTATCAGCATGAACGGGGTAGTGTACGTGAAATGCCACAGAAAGTGTCGGCCAGACGATATGTTGAAACTGGCTCCTACTAACTCAGTTCCAGGAATGCTTTCCCAAAGAACAACGTTAGATTGCTGGAGCCACTCGTTATTATGCAAAATGGCGTCCTTGGCACTTTTATGGACAGCGATTAAGACGTAGTTGGTGTATCCTCTATCGGCTACCGTTGGCGTTGCAAAAGCATAACTGGTTTTGTACTGTTGCATTGGCGGGACAATTATCATGGCCGGGTCGGATAGCTCGCTCATTGACAACTGGCTGTAAATTATCTGAGTGACTAATATAGGGCCACCGGTAGAGGTAATGGATATGTAGCCGTTTGGGGATGTTGTAATATTCTGGCTTTCGCCAGCTCTACTGAAATCAAGAACGCGCATCGTAGCCCCTGCCTCCCGTATCTCAACACGCGTGTTGCTATCCCTTGAGATTATCTGGATCAGGTCACCGATGAGCGTTCTTCCCGGCACTGGCACCACTGCAAATGTGTAGCCCCACGACGTGACAGGGGGGATCTGCTCCACCAAATGGTCCCGAGAGTCCCCTACCCCGACGCTTGTACGGACGTTTCCACTGAAAACGGCTACGTTTTTATTCGATCGTATTCGCGTGCCCGTCAAATCGGAGACACTTTGAAGCTGGAGGGTTTGGAATGCAGAGATTGTTGTCTGTATTTCCTGTCCTTTAGCGTACGTCTGCCCATTGAAAGCAACAGAGAGGCCATCAGTGTGCGTTGGCAGTGATATTGTCAGTGTCGTGCTGTCTTCGACCGCAACAACTCCAATCTCAGCCATGATAGTGGGCGGGCTGTACGTTGTGACGTAATAATCACGTCCCAGAGCACTGACAGGAAGAGCCAGAAACCCATCGTTTGAAAAAGGCTCTCTGTTAATTCCGTACACTATGACATCATCAGTGGCTTCAACCAGGATGGCTTTGTTTTCTATTCTCGATCCTTCCATCCTCATGGAACTTGGGATAGTGATGATACGCACATCCTCACTCTGCATGTATACACTGCTATTCACAGTAGTCCCTGTGAATTTGGGAGCTGATACTGTTACCCGCACGTTCGATTTTTGAGTAGCTACGTGTAGTTCCAGAGGCTCATTTGTGGGAACTTCTACCTTGTTCTCCATGTACGCTAAGACAAACTGTCGACCAGCGTTGTCCCCTGCGGATAATAAAATTTTGGAGTGAGTGAAGCTAATAAAATGTATTGTTTTTACAAGTTAACTGAGCCACTAGAGAAGGAATCAAAAGGCGCGACGTTGAAAAAAGGACGAGAGTACATTTTGTCTGAACAAATACTGTGATTTTCCTGACATAGTTTAGTTGTCAGCAATGTTTATTGCTTACTTTTTATCATTGTCCTCCATGTTGGATAAGGTGTGGTTAGAATAATTATATATTGCATAACGGACGAGTAGAGTTTAATTTTCATGTTTCCCTTATTCTTCTGGTCACGTCAAGTTTTTTAGAGTGGGGGATAATACGAAAAATTGATTTCTTCTAAAAATGAAATACAGATGAGTAAGATGCAAATATTAAGTGAGGGAGAAAACCTTTAAAAAAAACATCAGCCACTGTGGAGGGAGAAGAGGACCGAGCGATTACCTTTGCGCCCCCCTGCCCCCCCTCCCCCCTTCCCCCCCCCCCCCCCAACCCACACACACACACACATTCTACTTTCTGCCCTTATGACCGGCGTGGTTGATAAAAGCCCCGCCTCCAACAACAGTATGAGAAATTAAATAACTCGTTTTTAAAAAAAAAAAAAACACTGCTTACGAAGTAAATGTAAAATATACCTGTCTGAGCTGCAACACCAGGAATGAACACCAGAGTAACAACCAACGCTACAAACACATGACAACTGCAGCGCACCATCTGAAATGGTTCAAGTTAAACAATAAGGATAAGACCTTTACAAAGCACATTTATAATTTTCCTGGAATTTCAACACTTTACCATAACTTACCGAGGCATGCTAAGTTTACCATATCCAAAGCCATTGGCAAAATTACAATTTTAAAAAAGTGAGTTCAAAGTTTGTAATTTTTTAGCCAGTCTCGTAATGAAAATGGAGATTGGAAAATTTCATTTGTAACGTAAAAATCAGGAATTTAGAATTGAGAATGCTTAGAGTTAGAGTTCGTAGGGGCTTAGAGTTCGTAATTGTCTCAACGACATTTGGATAGTAGGAATACCTTAGCAATGAAGGAAGCGTTTGCTGAAGTTATCACGAGTGTTTTCTATATAGAAAGCATATGTGCATCGTAAGCCTAAAAAGAAATTTATAGCTTCAAATCACGACAATGATAATTGACCTGTTGCAACCACTGCATATGACCTCGACTGGCTGGTTCCAAAGGTCCACTTCGCATACAACCAATATAACAGTCAGCACGACACTTAATCAAGAGACAATAAAATATTAACGGAAATCGGTGTTGTTTATGTAACAAACTTGGATTGGTACTTTCTATTTTAACGATTTCGTAAGCAATTGTGATTTTCTTTATTAATTACCTCAGACATAGTATCAATATCTAAGGTTGAACAAACATGCTTGCAACAAGCTGTTATATAATGATCGGATGAAATCAAGCGTGCTGAGGTAAATTTCTACGGAGAATCGGATGTTTTTCACTTACGAAGGACAACCCTGCAATTCTCATCCGTTGGAGTTTGTCTTCTTTACACTCTAATAATTTCATATGACACAAACAAAGTGTCACACTTAAATATACCCTAAGACCCCATTCCAATACACACCATTGGTCAACGTGGATCGACCCAACTCTGCAGGGGCTCTCACTAAGTGCAAACAACTTTAAGCCTACTGAATTACACGCCTCCTCCTCCATACTCCTACAATCACCAGCTTTTCTGTATTCTACATAACGCCAGGAGGAGGCGTGTCATTCCGTTACGCTGATTGCAGTCGGCGAGAGTCCCTGCAGAGTTGGACCGATCCACGTAGACCGATGGCGTCTATGGGCATGGGGCCTAAGTTCGAGTATGAAGAAAAGACCCCATAGAAAATTCTTTTGTAACCACGTTTTAAAGATTCGCTTCTATATTATAGAACCTTTTTGATAAAGTGTGCATTTAAACTATGATACAAACTGAAATTTATGAATGCCGGTTCGCGTTTCAGTCATAAGTTAACATTTTCTCCAAATATCGATTTGTTAGGACAAAAGGGAACATTATACGTCTTGGTGAAAGTTAACAATAAAAAGCTTTCAATAATGTTAACAATAGGCTACACTTAAAAGGGCGCAATACATAACTCAATAGACCTGGTAGGCTCAGGTGAAGACCGAGCTTTTATATATTTGTATTTTGTATGCAAAAACCTGAATTTTGAAATGAAATATACTAGAATGTTTTATACTACAAACGTGAAGGGCTGACATCGTCAATATCGACCAAGACAAGCAACTGAACCTGCTAAAGGCTCGAAGTTGACGACGATCTATCTGACAGGCCATTCTTGGAAACAGTCGTATGCAAAACATTATTTACCTTGATAATCAGAGAGCTGTTCGCGAAGTAATTATCAACGTGCCATGTAGAACTGTACATTTCCCCTTCGGTTCTCTTCTATCCTGGATAGCCTTCCAGCTTTTTCAGCTGACATCCACATACAGAGACGCTTTACTGTGCCGTGGGTCGCCGAAGTCCCCGTATGTAAGCATAGAATTCCTTTCGAGGTAAATAACAATGGCGTTACCGCTTTAGTTTTATTTGTCTTTTCAAGGGGCTCTTAGTGAGCAAGAATGCACGCGTTGAGCACTCAAGCATGAATATTCACTTCTGAACACGTCAAAATATTGAAGCTTATTAGCATTCAAATGAAATTGATAGCGACTAGGCCTAAAGGACTGAATTTGATCCAGTTATGAAATTAAAAATGTATGAGATATTACTATATGAAAAAGACGTTTATTCAAATTCAAATGAATAAGAATTCAACAGCCTTGTTTCTTAAGTGGGCCCGCACGAGAAACGAGTAACAATTTAAAACACGACGTCTGCACATTTTAAGATATCCGACTAAACTTTACTAGCCATCAAATACGTCTGTATCAGATATTTAATGTGAAAATATGCCAATATATGTGATAATATTTGTTTGCACAGCAAAAGTAGAATAAAATATTACCAGTCCCGCAGTAACATGACAAACGACGTCTCCTTGACAAATGACGTCATGAGGTTTCGTCTACGTAGCACGAGTACGTCAAGATTTACGTTGTAACGACTTCTAAGTTTATTAGAATTGAATCAACAGAAGATGTACATTTCAGCATATTGATCATCTCAATGAATTACGCAAATATTTTTACAGATTTTCACCAAAATCTGAATTATCTTCGAACAGAGCAATCGTTATGCGATGCAGAATTAACATTGGCAGACGGACATTTGTGCGCACACAGATGTGTCCTTGCCGCCGCAAGTCCATACTTCCAAGCAGTTTTTCTGAACGGAATGAAAGAGACGAAATCTGCGGTGGTGAATATCCCAGATGTGACCTGTGCAATAATGGAAAAGATATTAGAGTTTGCGTACACATCAGATGCAAAAATATCGGAAAATGAAGTGGAACATCTGCTGCCGATAGCTGATCGTTTTCAGATGGACGGTCTTGTGACTAAATGCTGTAGGTATGCCGTATCCAGTTTGCAGCCAGAAAATTGTGTGGGAATTTGGAACTTTGCAAAACTCTTCAATTTTGTGAATTTAGCAGAAACAGTTTTCAGATACATTTTGAATAATTTCACAGAGGTTTGTAAACATGAAGAAATGATGGGGCTTGACTTAGAATGTTTTGAAGAAATAATTAGCGACGATAGATTGAACGTCAAGTCAGAACAAGAAGTTTTCAACGCTATTGTTTCTTGGATAAGTCACCAAGATCTAAGTGACCAGAACAAGGGAAAATTAGGAGAAAAACTTCTCTTAAACGTTCGCTTTGGACTATGTGATCCAGATCTTATTCATCGAATCATAAGAATGCCACTGGTCCGTCAACATCCAGCTCTGGTAAACCTTTTGGATTCTGCTATTTATCATCAAGCGGAGGCCTATGTGAAGGAATACGCAAAGCCGCTGTCCCACACACTACCGACCACTCGCTTGAAATGCATGTTTCGTCCTCGCGTTCCATCAAGTTTGGTTTTTGCGATAGGAGGTTGGAGTGAAGGCAGTCCCACAGCTCAGTTTGAAGCGTATGATGTCCGAGCGGACTGTTGGTTTTCCCACATTAAACTCGAAGACCGTGACTATCCAAGGGCATACCATGCAGTCGTTACACTCCACAACAAAATCTACGTCATGGGGGGTTATAACGGGAAACGTTACTATAACACAATGAGATGTTTCGATCCGGCAAGTAAGACGTGGAGCGAAAAAGTTCCCATGTATACAAAACGGTGCTATGTGATAGCTGGTGTAGTGAGTGACTGCATTTACGCATGTGGCGGTTACGAGCCAGGAACACCCGATCCCGTGGGTAGGCTGCGGACCGTAGAGAAGTATGATCTGCTGACGGAGCGCTGGTCGTTCGTTTCAGACATGCTTTGTGAGCGCAGTGACGGAGGCGCAGCAGAGCTTAATGGTAGGACTATTTACCTTCGTAGAATTTACGTGCAATACTTGTGTAGTTAAATATATCTTCCCACGTTATACCAAATACTCGAAAAAGATGACCCGAAATAGAATTACATGTATAAAGATTTCCTTCAGAACTTTTCTTTAAGCATCTCACTCTTAAACTGTCGTTCAAGGGAAGTTGTACGTGGTAGGCGGGTTTAACGGAGAATCTTGTTTGAATTCTACGGAGAGGTACGACCCTGTCACCGACCAGTGGTCACTTTTACCGACCATGAACCATCCCCGTAGCGGAACCGGACTCGCTGCTGTTAACAACATGTTAGTCGCCATCGGCGGCTATGACGACGTCTCGCAGACAAGGAGGAAGTGCGGTAAGTGTGGTGGCGTTTTATTCATTTTAAAGTGTAAGGTTTATTCATATTCGGCTTTTTACATTATTTATTTATTTTATTGCATTTTAAGAATAATTATGGTGCGTGGTTGGCTTTGATAGATATTTGTACGGATAAAACCAAATAAATTAACAAACTTAATAGTAGGGTATTATAAGCAGTTATAGGCAGCATTTTTCCAATGGAATTTTAGTCTAACGTTGTTTTAGTCTAGCGTGGTACACCTATTTTCATTTGTCTATGACGTTCACGACCTCAGGTGAGAAATATGACCCAAGGACGCACAAGTGGACCCTTATTTCTACCATGAAGGAGGCGAGGAGCAACTTTGCAACAGTGGTCTTGGAGGGAAGCGTTTACGTCATTGGCGGATTCAATGGCAAGTTTTTGACATGAACAGTAGGGTCTCCATGAGCAAGTTTATTACACGATGAATTCTCAGCCAGTTTCGTTGCGTAGTCAGACGGGTGACCTGTATAAATCACTTGTCATTTCATTATGTAATACATACTGAATATACTGCTGTATTTTTGTAAGCACATCACTAGGATGTTTTTATTTTCTTTTTCTTTTATTTAAGGTAATCAGTTTATTGATTTATTTAAGATGTATTAATTCATCACATTAGTAAGGCACTATGTTATTATTGTTCTCATTGTTTCCTTATATAAAGTGAATATCTATTTGCTTTCAGGACAAAACACAATGAGTTCAGTAGAAAAGTATGACATGGAAACCAAACGCTGGGAAGAGGTAGGGGTCCTGAACTTCCATCGCAGCGGTCTGGGTGCTTGCGTCGTAGTCGGACTCGGGAACGCAGCCGAATTCACGTACACTGGCAAGTATGGGAAACGCAACAGGAGAAGACATTCTAACATAACACACAGGAACACTTGGATGAGAAACAGACGAAAGTGATCACTACATTACTACGACTCATTTCACTTGTGCCAAGAACATCACCTCACCCGTGTCGCTCTCCACCCAGGAATCTCCCTCTGGCCAGCAACTCGTTGTAGGACGCTGAACCGACCGTCGGCAACAGCCCCACGAGAGCGAGGTCTCTCCGGTGGAGAGAGCACTATGAAACAATCTCCATTTTTTCATTCCATGCATTTTTTTCTTTCATTTTTTGAATCATGAAAATTTGGGACAAAAATCATTTTCCAAAGCACTGTAATGATAGTGACTTAAAAATGCCACGACATGGATGTGATAAGGAAGCGACGAGATATCGATGTGCTAACGAATTTCTCATAGCATGACAAATGTTAATGGTTAGTATATAGATACGATTGTACTTTACAAATAGCAGTATCAACTGACTTTCTCTTAAATATCATGAGTCATGCGTGTTGCAGGTGTTGGAATGGATGTCTTATGTTATACAAAGTTTCTGAAGAGGATATCATGAGCACCGAGATCAGCTTACTTGACAAAAAAAATTGTCTCAGGAACAATAGTCTACAAGTATACTTTATACGCCATATCATAACCTACTTTTTATAATTTTTAGAGACCATCTCACCGGCAAAGTCATTCTTTAATAATCTGTGAGAATCGAAATTTATTTCAAGAAAATAAACATATAAAACATGTAATAACTGAGATGATTTATAATTCAGCTCAATTTTAATCTCTTTATCAAGGAACGTTTCAAAGTCTACATAGAAGTAAATTATAGTTAAAAATTGTCCTGTTTGCCTTTAAAAGATCCAAACCATTGTCTTAAACAGCTAAAACTAGTAAGGTTAGTTTCTCATCAATGAATAAACATTATAGTCTTAGAAACTAAGATAGACTCAATATGATCATTTATAATTACGATTACCAGTGATTGGGTCAATAAGAGTGTTATTTGGGGAGAAACAGTATAAACCACGCTAGAAAAAATTGTAAATGAGTTTATTGCTGTTCAACGTTCGTACAACAGAATAACATCATCTAATCAAAAACATGTAGCTTTAACAATGACATCCCTAAACTGTCATTTTCTTGTCATAACTTTAATATGGCTACAATTTAACAACCTAGACTGACAATAAATCACAATCTAATAGAAATACTGTGTAAATGAAGAGCAAGTGGAAGATCAACCACGCTTATAAAAGGATACGGAAGGGTCTTGGAATGTTGATATCACGAGGACCACTTCCTCGAATGAATTCGTATCACATCATACAATAAATATCGTTCTGGTTGTATAAAAAATAACAATGTAACATTAATATGTTATCATATAAACTACTGACCCCTCGTGTATATAATAATGTGGGATTTTACTACATACATGTATGTGTCGCCTTGATTGGCAAAGAAACGAGATTTCATATAAAAATATCAGTGAAAAGTTTCACTTCCTTTTTCAACTGACCAGTGCTTTACACTACTTGTTGTGATGCAAAAAGCAGACTAGTGTTTGCATAGACATATCCTCAACTAACTTCACGCATAGCGCGAGGACATGGTTGGGAACTGAAAGTTCGCTTTGTACATTGACTCTCTATAATAGTCTTTCCGTAGTTTTTCTTCTTTGCGCATGCTGTTCCGCCTCAGCATGAGGCAGATCACGAGGATAAGCATGATAAGAGTCAGGACGATAAGCCAGACGATCAAGATGATCATGACGGTAGTGGAGAGCAGCTGGCTCGGAGACGAGCAGAGAGGATTCGTGGCCACCTGCTGTTGGAAGCCGGTCTTGGCGGTTTCAAGATCTACAAATTTGAATGAAAAATTTTGAAAAAAAAAATGTTTACAAGATCAAAAGTGGAAAAAAATATCAATTTAGCAAAATAGAAGAATTTTTTTAGCTATTTTGGATTTGAGAGAAGAATATAATATTATTTTCATACACCTCATAAAATATCATTATGCACACTTGAGTTTTCGTGAGGGGTGGGGGATTGGTTTTCACGAGTTATCTTGTGTTTCCATCAGTTTCATTAAAGCGATTGTAGAAAAATAATTGCACAGGGAATAAATAATTCTATATAACTCACCAACTGTCGCAGCTTCCAATTTGTTTTTCATTTCTACAATTCCTGTAACATTGACTGCCCTCAGTGCTATCAATGGAATTGAAAAGGCAACAAATGAACTACGCTGTGCACAATGAGAACCCCACACAATTTAAACTGAATGAATGGCGAATTTAAAAAACTTCCAAACAACTTTTCAATACTGTGATTTTGAAAGTAGTGGGTCGTCCATAAAACGAATACTGAAAAAATTATAAAAGATAAATAAATAATAACATTAAAATGTCGTCATTTATGTCCTATAAAAAGAAGTAATAAGAATATGAATAAAAAAAATAAAGAAAGAAGAAATGTTTACAATAAAAAATTTAAGTTCATCAAAAGACTTACCGTTCATTGAGGCCAAGAGCTGGTTGCCCAGGTCGGTAAAAGTAATGTTCAGAGCGTCCAGACACGAGTATGAGCCAATCAGATTCAAGCATATCTGGCTTGAATCACACGTGCTTTGGTTGCGGCTGCATTCATCTATATCTGGAATGAAATTAGTATTGATATATGAGCGATCTGTAACACATGGGTAGCATTAAGTAACAATTAAAATATTTGATTACATAATGCCTTCATATGGTTGAATTTATTACTAGGCTATGGTGTATAAAATAATGTAAAATAGATTAAAATACTGGAAAAATACTTTGCTGAATTACTAGGGTAAAATGTATCACAGTGTAGGTAGTGAACGCCATGATCAATTGCACGACAGAATATTTTTTAAAAATAACTAGTACTTCCCACAATGGATAATGATAACAAATACCAAAGTCAATGAATGTGGTCCTACTTACCTTCACAAGTATGCTGATCATTACTTAGGACCAGACCAGCGGGACATGTACACATATAACCACCATTCACATTATTCAGACACGTATTGGAGCAGCCACCGTTGCCTGGACCACTGCATTCGTCAATGTCTGAGAAAAGAATATGCGAAAAAATAAATGGAAACGATAATGTCATGTAACCTAAAAATGTGTTACGATTTTAAGGCACTTTTTTAATCCCTTTTATAACTACATTATTTTGATGCTTTACCCCCAGTCACATTTTCAATAATCCCACTAGTAAATGTTCTTTTTTAATCAACAAATTTATTTCAAACACCGTTTGTTTTTACGCTTTATCACATATTATGTTTATTATCACAATGCATCTTGTGTGTAAATATTTTATTTACTTACCAACGCAAGATTTTGTATCTGGCTGTAGGTTGAACCCTGTGTTACATGTACAATGATAGGTGCCGTATGTATTCACACAGTTGTGGGCGCAGCCATGATTGCCAAGCTGACACTCATCAATATCTAAAAAGTACGGAATAAAATCAGAATTATCCACGCCATTTACCATGGTAATAATGGTATAAACTACTATATTTGCAAACTTATTAGTGGAAGTCTGAGAAAAAAGCTCTTCATGGGATAAACATATCTATCAACCCCATCTTTTTTCAGAAACATTTTAAAAAACACAGAACGTTTAAGAGTATAAAGAAAATAAAAATATGAACAAAATGCTGTAATCTAAAAGTGTCATAACTGGTAACTGAGAACATAAGGCGATGCAAAAAGACTTGTTTCCTACATGGTGTCTTATTTGACGGTCTATTATAATTTCATCCTTTCTTTCAAGAAAAAATACATAAAAAACAAAAAACACTCATGTCCGGGAAAACCCACGAGTTACAATTAATATAAAGTATCCAATATCATAATATCCAAATGTTTGCCTTATACCTTGGTCGCCAGGTGGACCAGGAGGTCCCTGTAAGCCTCTATCCCCCTTGACTCCTGTGTCACCTATTAGTCCGGTGTCACCTTTCTGTCCCCGATTTCCTGATGGTCCTTGCTGTCCAGCAACACCAGTGGGACCTGACGGACCTTGAATACCTGGGTTACCTGGGGGGACGACACATTTAACGCGTTTTTAAAATAACACCCGCGGTGTCTGTATAATTGAAGTGGAAGTGTTTGTCACTCTACATTTATTTTACAATATGAACTTGATTATCAAAATTAACAGATTGCCATTCATAATTAATTTTTTCAAACACTACATGCGCATACGTCACAATATGTCCTCTACCCTCCTAATACTTCATTAACCCCTTTTTGGTGTTTTGCATTTGAAAAGCCATTAGTGTACAGAAACTAAACAAAATCTGAAAACTGATCATTAGTGTAGGAATTACCTTTGTCTCCTTTATCTCCCTTGGCTCCAGTTGGACCAGCTCCACCCTGAGGCCCAGGAGGCCCGGTGGCACCTGCTGAGCCAGCTGGACCTTCGACACCTCGGTCACCCTTAGGACCCCGAACTCCTGGTTCTCCCTTCTGACCCTGTGGACCTTGACTGCCAGTGGGGCCAGTAGAACCCTGAGTAAGGCAATGGCAAAAATTAACAACTGTTAACGAAAAGTCTACTTACTTCACTTATTTCTGTTTGAAGGCATTGGCATCACTGACGAAAGACACCATTCTATGATTTTTTAATTTTTATTGCAACAAACAATTGGTTCAAAAAGTTAGCCCAATAAATTACCTTAGGTCCTTGCGGGCCCATAGCACCCTTTATGCCTTTCTCTCCCTTGGGACCCACCAAACCTTGTGGACCTACATCGCCTTTTGATCCCTTTGGTCCTTCGGGGCCAGGCGGTCCTTGGATTCCTACAGCACCTTTATAAGGCAAAAGCACAATTAACCTTGCGTTACGTATAGGAAAAACGGATATAAAGGCATACAAACAAACAAACATTGAATCTATGAATTATTAATTGAATCTATACATTTAGGCCCCAAAATATTCGTTTGGCGAGCTTGCATTTTTTACATAACACTACAGTAATTATTTTTTGCAAAGCTTCGCGCTAAAAGCGTTTTCTTACCTGAGGGCGATGAAGTTGTTGGCGGTGCTGTCGCTGTACTTGTAGAAATTGTGGTAGTTGAGGTTGTAGTGGTTGTGGGTGTGGTAGGTGTGGCTGTGGTAGTTGTTGTGGCTGTGGTAGGTGTGGGTGTAACAACATCGGTAGTCGAAGCGGTTGATGGAGATGCAGTGGCAGCGGTGGCAGAAGTCGGTCCTTGTGTTGCCGGCTGAAATGTGATCGATTTATGAATAGGATAGAGAGTTTTACCTAAGACATAGTTTTAGGGTTTGTGCGATCTTACCAAAACAAAAATAAAATTAAAATTACTCATCGCATCAATTCCCATGCAATTACTATCACCTCAACACACTACCTGTAAACTCAATTCCTGCCAAAGATATTGAACAAAAAACTGTGTTCGCCACTTACCTCGGACACGGCCAATCTCATACCGACAGGGAAGCCGTAGCTCTCTCTGTCTGCCGTACCATACAATAAGCCCATAAAGCTGACGTCTCCTCTCGAATGCCTGATATTGTGTGCACCTCCTGACACCTGGAAGGATACTCCCACGTACTCAGTGCCCGGTATACTATTCCAGCTCAGGCTGACAACGTTGCTGAGCGCATTTCCGTCAAGCAATAGGCCGGCCTTGTCAGCATCGCGAACGACCAGTGAGAAATAGTGAACGTAGTCTCCTCCTGTCACGCCGCCGGAGTATTGCGGCGTGGCAAAGTTATACTCGAAAGCATACTGTTCCATGGGAGGGATAAGAATCATGGAGGGATCCGCCACTTCACTTGAACTGTACTGACTGTACACAATCATCACCACCATGATCGGCTCGCTTGAAGTGATGTGGGCGTAGGTAGTGGAGGGGATAACCTGCTCCTCCCACTGGCCACGGTTAAGCGTGAAGCTGGGGAGGCCCGTCACCTGGACGACCGTGTTATCTGTAGCTGCCACGAATCTGAATACGTCCCCAGTTGTACGCCCTGGCGTGGACACGGTGCCAAAGTTTTTACCCCAAGATGGAACAGGTGTCAACTGTTCTACCAAGTGGTCACGAGAACGCGTTCCGGCACCTACGTTTGTTCTGACATTGCCGCTGAATACTGCTATGGGCTTGTTTGATGATATTAATGTGCCAGTCATATCACCAACACTTTGAGCCTGATAGGTATCGAACCGATTCAGTGATAATGCCGATGTGGGTGTGCCAGACTGAGCTTGGTCGGAAGTAGAAGCGTAGGTGACAGTGACCTCAGTCCCGTTTTCCAGTGCTGCTATGCCAAACTGACAGGCGATTTCAGGCGGGCCGTAACACACAGTGAAATACTCGGTGCCCAAAACATCAGTGGGTAAAGCAAGGAAGCCATCGTTGGAGAACAGCTCTTTGTTCACCGCATAAACAACCACTTCGTTAGTCGCCGTAACATACACAGCTTGATTACCGTAGCCTGTTGCTGACATGCGTAAGTCGTGGGTGAGGTTCACAAATTTCACTGTACGTGGATCTATACTGGCTTGGCTTTGATAGGCCGGATTCCACTTGGGCGTTGTCACGTTCACATCGACGGTGACATTGTAGGAAGTCGTGATGTACAGTTCCAGTGGGAAATTCTGAGGGAACTCTACGGTGTTTTGCATGTACATCAACAGAAACTCTTTGCCTCCAGTATCCTGGGCAGCTAAAATCAAAAACATGTCAAAAATTATAACATATATAAGCAAACATGACCGCGACATGATGTTCAGCTCAGGGAAATGTCACTAAGGGAATGATCAACGTTTAATAAGGTGCATTTAAGACTTTGAAATCCAATCTATCTCATCGCAATCGGCTATTCACTGGTGTCTTACTATTCACTCACGACAATAGCATGACAGTGCTAGGAGTAATATAATAGCCGTATACAAAAGCAAGTCAAAGATCACGCCCTTAACCAGGTATGCCGGAGGACCATCCTTTGAATTACGATATCATTGTTAACGACATACTTCAGAGAGGGTGGGGGTGTCATTAATTGTTATCTCATATTGACTTGTTTTGTAATAACACGGTGCATTGGTGAACTGGACATCTACATGTATGTGCGCTATAACACTTTTAAAAGTGGGTGCACATGCGCCTTTGGCACGGTTATGTAATACTTGTTAACCTCCATAATAAATGTCATAGGCTAAAAGTCAAAATTATACGTAATTATACGAAAAACGGCTAATTTGATGAATGAAGTCAATGAAAACACAAAGGCACTTCGCACCAAGCATTTTTTTAATCTTACCTGAGCAATCTTCATCAATTAAACCATCGCTGTCGTCGTCTAAAAACAGATAAAAAGTCAAGCGTGTTAAAGTAATAATGCATCTTTGTTGCCAATTATTATAATAAATATAAGATTAAGTTGTTTAGATATTCAAAGTTAAACATAAAGGGGTAAATTAACTCATTATACAGGTATGCCTCCATGTCATTTTAGAGCGCACTGCATTTTTTGTCTTCTTTGTCGCATTACCTTGTTAGTGCAAGGGTTATATATACATGTATTATAATATAAATAAGATAGAAGCCCCCATGCTTTGAATAAAAGAAAAATTATAATCGCACCAAGGATTCATCCCTTTAAACTATGTTTCATGCTATTAAAAATCACATCGTATAAAGCTGCAACGAAAAAGAATCATGGCAGTTGAATTACCAGTGCTAAAAAAGAGGTAGGCGTATACCCCACTAAAATTAAACATTCTTCAGCTTAGGAGATCCAAGTGAAATCGGTTAGAGGAATAGGAATATTTTGACTTCGAAAGTCAATAATAATGGTCATATTTAATTGGTTTTCAAATAGAAAGGATGACAGTGAAAAAAGAAACGTTTTTGATCGTGAGTTTAACGTTGAGCGGAGTTCACGGAGGTGGGGGGGGGGGGGGGGTCTCTAATAGTCCATCATTTTTACCTATTCTGTTACAGATTTCCTCGTCTGCGGCTCCGTCACAGTCGTTGTCTACGGCGTCACCAGGTGTCATAGTGGAGGGAACGCACACCTGCTCGGAAATTCAAGTGAAAAAACGGTTAATCTTGTTTTGCATTTCTCTTCTTAAGTTCGTTTTATCACAAGAAGAGCAAGAATTGTGTGCTAAATGAAAAATGCATTTTTGTGTACATCAAATAGGCCCTATTACATTCTACTATGTTGTTATAATCCATACTGTGCACAAAAATAATAAAATTCAATACAAATATATATTAAAGTAAACGAGGGAAATGTGTAGAACTACTGAAAAAATAGCTTAGACATCGTAATTGTAAAAAAAAAAAAAATACACGTACAGTTTGAATAGCAGCAAGTCTCATTCCAATAGGGAAACCGTAACTTTCTCTGTCGGCCGAACCAAACAGGATACCCATGAATGTAACTGCACCAGTGGAGTGTCGCAGTCTGTAAGCTCCCTGTGGCACGGTAAAATTGGTGGCAACGTACTCGGTGGATGCCACGGGGGACCACGTGAGGGATCTCGCTTGATTCAGAGGTACATCGTTCAGGAGCAGGCCATCTTTGTCCGCATCCTTTATGACGACCATGACGTAGTTGGTGTAGTCGCCGCCGGAGACTCCCCCAGAGTATGTGGTCGTTGCAAAGTTATATTCATAAGCATACTGTTCTGTGGGTGGTACCACTATCATAGATGGATCGGCTGGTTCATCGGGCGAGTATTGGCTGTACACGAATTGGGTCACCAGAATGGGCTCAGAGGCAGTGACACTGGTGTGGGAAGTGGAAGGAATGGTCACCTCTAGGACATCGCTTGCAGCCAGCGTGTAGGTAACGGTGGCCGTGGTATTAGCAATGGCGACTTGGGTGTTGGGTCTGGTGGCAACTATTCGGTAAACATCGCCTGTCGTACGGCCTGGCGTGGGGACAGTGATGAAATGCTTGCCCCAGGAGGCGGTAGGCGGAAGCTGCTCTACTAGATGATCGCGGGAGGAGGTTCCAGCGCCGATATTCGCTCTTACGTTCCCACTGAACACGGATATCTTGCGGCTGGCGGTGATGCGGGTGCCGGATAAATCACCTACACTCTGGGCTTGGAAAGTGTCATACTTGTTCATGGTCATACGGAGAGTCTGGCCATTAGTGTATGTATTACCATTGTAGTCAACACTGACAGGGGGTCCCGAAGGATTGGGGAAACGAATAACCACCTCAGTGCCGTCGAACACGCCAACTATAGCAAACTGAGTGGCGATATTAGGAGGAGAGTAGGAGACGGTGTAATACTCCCTTCCCAGGGTGTCTACAGGCAAAGCTAAGAAAGCGTCGTCCGAAAACAGCTCCTTGTTGACACCATAAACGACCACGGCACTGCTTGCACTGACATGTATGGCTTTAGTGGACATGCCAGTTCCTTTCTGGCGCAGATCCTTGGAGAAGCTGAACTTCTTCACCTCCTGAGGGCTAATGGTGTCCGAAATGGACACATAAGGCTGTGTCCATTTTGGTGAGGTGACGTTTACCTGGACAGGGATGTTGTAGGATGACGTGATGAACAGTTCCAAGTCAAAGCCTTGCTCGTTTTCAACAACATTGTCCATGTAGACAATGAAGAATTCTTTACCACCTGTGTCCTGGAACTCCCTGCAATCTTCATCTACTTTCCCGTCACCATCATTATCTACAGACAAAGCAAATTTTAAGTCACCAAATGCTTCTATTGAGATATTTGATATAACGTATCAAATGCCATTCTTTTGACCGGATTCATTACTTTTCCTATTAGTTATACTATGATTCTTAACTCATGGAACCATTGACAGCAGAATTTCTAGTAAGATATGAAAAACATGAATCCAGAATTTTTTTAGAAAAGACTAAAGAGAATGTAATCACCGATTCCATCGCATTCTTCTTCATCTACCGAGGTGTCGCAGTCGTTATCAACCCCATCACCCGGTACCATGGCAGGTGCTGCACAGGCCTGGAGAAGATGTTCAATAAAATGTACAAATTTAATGCCGGTGCCATTTTTGAAAAACAAAAATTGCATAATTAAATGCACGAGCATACAAAAGTAAAAGGGTATGCTACACTTATGTTGTATATAAATTTAGTTTCAAAGTGCATAATATCATTATTATATGACATTTCAAATGATCTCAACATCTTCATAAAATCTAATTAAAATGATGATATATGAAAATTTTTACCGGTGTCGTCGTCGATGGGATAGCCGTAGTGGTTGCAACGGTCGTGGTAGTAGTGGTAGGCTAAAATGGCAAGAAATGTTTTGACTTACAGCAAGGCAATTTCAAAATACTTTGTTTTTGGTACTTCATTTTTCTTAACATGCCGATAAGTATTGCTGTTACGTCTAAAGAAGTTTCAACACTTTCTCATCGAAATACTGAACTATCATAGTATTCTCACCTGAGTCGTTGTTGTCGTAGTTGATGCAGTAGTGGTGGTTGAAACTGTAGTAGTGGTCGTTGTTGTTGGCTGAAAGAGAGTGACGGATGCGATGCCTTAAAATATCACACACATTAAGCACTATTACCTCTTTCATCTTTTAGGTACATCTAACGGCGATGATATATTAAATGGATTTAAAGTCAAACAACATTTTGCGAGGGTAAAACCACAATACAACCTAAACTATCTTTGTTTAAAAAGTATAACATACCTGCGTCGTTGTTGAAGTCGGCAATGTTGAGGTAGTGACTGGCGCAGCTGTAGTTGACGGCTAAAATGTTCAAACAAAATTGAAACTAGACATCAACATGAGCATCAACAGATTGGATGCAGTTCTCAAAACCTTTGCGACGTATATAATTTTTTTAAGGCGTTACTTTTGTCGATAATTCATTGCATCAAATTCAAAATTATCGCTTAAAAATAGTTGAAAATCGCATTGTTCCTAAAAATACACAATTTCAGAATATACGAAATGTGAAAAGCCCTTCTAAAGGTCAAATTTCTTATAGTGTTAATTAGGTAGCTGTGAAGAGGTTAGAATGTAAATGGAAGGAAGCTGAACTCCCTATGAGACTTACCGTTGTTATCTCTGTTGTTATGAAAGGTGCTGTTGTGGTATTAATTGCGATCGTGGTGGATGTTTGTGAAGTAGTAGTCGGGGTTGTGGTAGTTGGGATTCTGGTTACAGTGGTTAGAATGTCAGTGGTAGTTGTAGGGGTAGGGGTAGGAGTAGTAGTGGAAGTGACAGTTGTAGGAGCTGTAGTAGTTGTAGTCGGGGTTGTGGTGGTAGAGGCCGAAGTAATTGTAGCAGCAGTAGTTTTGGTTGTAGACGATGGCGTAGTATTAGTAGCAGTTGAAGTAGTGGGTGTTGTAGTTGTGAGGGAAGTTGGAGGAGTTATTGTTGTGGTCGTTGTAGTTGTCACCCCAGGCGCCACCGTGCTCTATTGAAAAACAACATCAAACAGTGGCCAATTATGAAACAGTCAATAAAGCAACACCAGCAACAAACCCCAGTTAAGCGTTATTGTTATTGTTGTTATAGTAAGTGAAGCAAAGAAATCTTTCACATGGGGCTTGAACATTCAAATTTACAAACACAACGTTGCTCCCACACTGAAGCAATAAGCTCCCAGTGTGTTGATATATAGCGATTGTTTCACAAAAATACTGGAACTGACATCCCAGAGTGACCAGAGTAAATGTTAACTGCTAGTACATCCAAAAGTTCATAATCATGTCAACCATAAGGCATAGCCACTCTCAATGAGATGGCAATTTTTTTTTTTTTTTTTTTGTGAAACAATGTATCAGATAAAGTTAATGTAAAATGACAATAACCAAAAGAAAAAAACAACTGACATCAAAGAAAGCAACAAAAATAAGCCATTGAAAAATGCGTGTTTGAAGACCGTGCACAGCAATAACACAAAAGATCACAACAGGAACTGCAAACAATAAGTTGGGGGATGCTTAATGAACTTGGACCTTACCGTTGTTAGCAGAGATGCTAATCTCATACCGATGGGGAATGCGTAGCTTTCTCTGTCTGCAGATCCGTATAGCAAGCCCATGAAGGATACTGTGCCTGTAGTGTGTCGTATGGTATGAGCTCCACCGGCCACCTCGAAAACAGTTCCCATGTAGTTGCTGTTCCCTATTCGATTCCAGGTGAGTGCTTTTGCAGTTGATAATGTCGAATTATCGAGTAGGAAACCGTCTTTACTCGCCTCTGGACTTACAAGTAGGAAGTAATGTCTGTAGTCTCCACCGGTTACGCCTCCACTGTATTCTGTAGTGGCAAAGTTATATTCGAAGGCATATTGTTCAACAGGAGGAATGATGACCATGGACGGATCTGCAACCTCTTGGGTACTTTCACTCTCTTGGCTGTATACAAACTGTGTAACGAGAACAGGCTCACTAGCCATGATGTGCATGTAGTCAGTGGATGGGATGCGAAGCTGAAGGTATTCACCACTATTTATAGTTTGAGTTTCATTGACTGGTGGGTTTCCACGAGTTGTGGTCACTTGTGTATTGGCATTTGAAGCTACTATTCTGAAAATGTCTCCGGTTGTCCTGCCAGGAATTGGCACCGTGGCAAATTCTTTTCCCCAAGATTGCACTGGAGGGATCTGTTCTACGAGATGGTCACGAGATTTAGTGCCAGCACCGATGTTCGTTCTGACATTTCCGCTGAACACGGCAACCTTCTGACTGGACATGATTCTGGTACCTGTAAGATCACCCACACTTTGTGCTTGGAATGTATCATATCTGTTCATATTCAAACGCAGCGCCTGACCATTACCATAAGTCACGCCATCATACGTAACACTAACAGGAGTATCCGCTGGGGATGGAAATTCGATAGTCACTTCTGTATTGTTGTAAATACCAACGATTCCAAACTCAGTCATAATCTCTGGTGGGGAATAGGAAACGGTGTAATAATCGGTTCCCAAAGAATCCACTGGTATGGCCAGGAAGGCATCATCGGAGAAAAGCTCTTTGTTCACACCATACACAACAACCTCAAAGTCAGATTCGATCAGAACTGCTTTAGTGGACATGCTTGTGCCATCCATGCGCAGTGTATGTGAGAGGTTAAATTTTTGGACCTCCCTTGGGTTGATGGTGGCTTGAAATGACACAGATGGGTTGTTCCATCTCGGCGTAGTGATGTTCACATTTACTGGTACGTTGTGAGACGTGGTAATGAAAAGTTCAAGCGGGAAGTTTTGAGGGTTCTCCACTATGTTAGCCATGTACATAACCAAGAACTCACGGCCTCCAGTATCTTGGATACCTTAAAGAAAAAGCATTACTTTTAATGATAAACTGTAGGCATGTAAAGAGTATTAAGAAATCTAATCAACCTTATATGTTCTACCAAAAAAATGAAACTATAATTAAAGAAAAAAAAACAATTGATATTACCTTGACAATCTTCATCTATCAAGCCATCCGAGTCGTCATCTGAAAACGAACAGATACACTTTTAGTAGGTCTTTTGTATGTGCCCATTCGAAATGACTACATCAACTTTGTTTGAGAAAAAAGTAACAGAAAACTGACGTATGTAATAGGCTGTTGATAATAAATCATCTCGGCATCATTGTCCATTCAGACAAACCTACCAATGCCATTGCATTCCTCTTCATCAATCACATTATCACAGTCATTGTCAATACCATCACCGGGTGTTTGGGCTGGTTGACTGCATGTCTGTAATTCGATTAGAAACAATCCTTTATCAAATAGGAACATGATAGATTATTTATTAGGGTTTTAGTAAATAAAATCTTATAAAAAGCTTTAACCAAATTTATTCAAGGGTGTCGATTATCAAACTTTTACTTCAGGGATTTGAACTCTATTTTATCTTACTTACTGGCTGAATAGACCCTAGATTCATTCCGATGGGGAATCCGTAGCTCTCTCTGTCTGCAGTTCCATACAACAACCCCATAAAGGACACAGTGCCAGTTGTATGTCTCATTGTATGGGCACCTCCAGGTACTTCAAACACGGTTCCCATATAATTGGTGTTGCCAATGGGGTTCCATATCAGGGCTCTGTTTGATGAAAGGGGTGCTCCGTCCAGTGTAAACCCATCCTTATTGGCATTATCAACAACCAGCATAAAGAAATGTCTGTAATCTCCGCCGGTTACGCCTCCACTGTATTCTGTAGTTGCAAAGTTATATTCGAAAGCATACTGTTCAACGGGAGGAATGATTATCATGGATGGGTCAGCAACCTCCTGGGTACTTTCACTCTCTTGGCTGTATACAAACTGTGTAACGAGAACTGGCTCACTGGCCATGATGTGCATGTAGTCAGTTGATGGGATGCGGAGCTGAAGGTATTCACCTCTGTTCACAGTGAACGTTTCTGTGACTGCTGGGTTTCCACGAGTTGTGGTCACTTGAGTATTGGCCTTTGAAGCTACTATTCTGAAAATGTCTCCAGTTGTTCTGCCAGGGATTGGCACCGTAGCAAATTCTTTTCCCCAAGATTGCACTGGAGGGATCTGTTCTACGAGATGGTCACGAGACTTGGTGCCAGCACCGATGTTCGTTCTGACATTTCCGCTGAACACGGCAACCTTCTGACTGGATAGGATTCTGGTACCTGTAAGATCACCCACACTTTGTGCTTGGAATGTATCATACCTGTTCATATTCAGACGCAGCGTCTGACCATTACCATAGGCAACGCCATCATACGTAACACTAACAGGAGTATCCGCTGGGGATGGAAACACGATAGTCACCTCTGTATTGTTGTAAATACCAACGATTCCAAACTCTGTCATTATCTCTGGTGGGGAATAGGAAATAGTGTAATAATCGGTGCCCAAAGAATCCACTGGTATGGCCAGGAAGGCATCATCGGAGAAAAGCTCTTTGTTAACACCGTAGACAACAACCTCAAAGTCGGATTCGATTAGGACTGCTTTAGTAGACATGCTGGTGCCGTCCATGCGCAGTGTATGTGAAAGGTTGAATTTCTGAACCTCCCTTGGGTTGATGGTGGCTTGAAGGGACAAAGATGGGTTGTTCCATCTCGGTGTAGTGATGTTTACGTTTACTGGTACGTTGTGAGACGTAGTAATGAAGAGTTCAAGTGGGAAGTTTTGTGGGGCCTCCACTATGTTAGCCATGTACATAACCAAGAACTCACGGCCTCCAGTATCTTGGATACCTACATGTATACGAAAAGGTGTTATATATTGATAAACTGTAAACATACGAAGAGTACCGATAAAGCTAATCATCGTTTTATGTTCTAAAAAAAAACTAAGATTAAGGAAAAACAGTTGATATTACCTTGACAATCTTCATCTATCAAGCCATCCGAGTCGTCGTCTGAAAATGAAAAGAGACATTGTCAGTAAGCATTTTGTATGTGCCAATTTAAAACTGACTACATGAACATCGTTAAATTTAAAAAAAGGAAAAGAAAAAATTGAAGTATGAAATAGGTTGTTGATAATAAATTTTCTCGACACAGTTGTCCATTCAGATAAACCTACCAATGCCATCACAATCCTCTTCATCAATCAAATTATCACAGTCATTATCTATACCATCACCGGGTCTTTGGGCTGGTTGATTGCAGGTCTGCAATTCAATGAAGAACAATAACTTGCCAAACAGTTACGTGGGAAATAATCTGAGAGTAAAACAAAAGTTTTCAATAAATTTCCATCAGTAATTAAATTCAACCTTAACAATCTATTCTGTATCTCGAAAGATTTATACTGAATTTGTCCTCACTTACTGGCTGAATAGACCCTAGATTCATTCCGATAGGGAATCCGTAGCTCTCTCTGTCTGCAGTTCCATACAACAACCCCATAAAGGACACAGTGCCAGTTGTATGTCTCATTGTATGGGCACCTCCAGGTACTTCAAACACGGTTCCCATATAATTGGTGTTGCCAATGGGGTTCCATATCAGGGCTCTGTTTGATGAAAGGGGTGCTCCGTCCAGTGTAAACCCATCCTTATTGGCATTATCAACAACCAGCATAAAGAAATGTCTGTAATCTCCGCCGGTTACGCCTCCACTGTATTCTGTAGTTGCAAAGTTATATTCGAAAGCATACTGTTCAACGGGAGGGATGATTATCATGGATGGGTCAGCAACCTCTTGGGTACTTTCACTCTCTTGGCTGTATACAAACTGTGTAACGAGAACTGGCTCACTAGCCATGATGTGCATGTAGTCAGTTGATGGGATGCGGAGCTGAAGGTATTCACCTCTGTTCACAGTGAACGTTTCTGTGACTGCTGGGTTTCCACGAGTTGTGGTCACTTGAGTATTGGCCTTTGAAGCTACTATTCTGAAAATGTCTCCAGTTGTTCTGCCAGGGATTGGCACCGTAGCAAATTCTTTTCCCCAAGATTGCACTGGAGGGATCTGTTCTACGAGATGGTCACGAGACTTGGTGCCAGCACCGATGTTCGTTCTGACATTTCCGCTAAACACGGCAACCTTCTGACTGGATAGGATTCTGGTACCTGTAAGATCACCCGCACTTTGTGCTTGGAATGTATCATACCTGTTCATATTCAGGCGCAGCGTCTGACCATTACTATAGGTAACACCACCATACGTAACACTAACAGGAACATCCGCTGGGGATGGAAACACGATAGTAACCTCTGTATTGTTGTAAATACCAACAATTCCAAACTCGGTCATAATCTCTGGTGGGGAATAGGAAATAGTGTAATAATCGGTGCCCAAAGAATCCACCGGTATGGCCAGGAAGGCATCATCGGAGAAAAGCTCTTTGTTTACACCGTAGACAACAATTTCAAAGTCGGATTCGATGAGGACTGCTTTAGTGGACATGCTGGTGCCGTCCATGCGCAGTGTATGGGAAAGGTTGAATTTCTGAACCTCCCTTGGGTTGATGGTGGCTTGAAGGGACAAAGATGGGTTGTTCCATCTCGGTGTAGTGATGTTCACATTTACTGGTACGTTGTGAGACGTAGTAATGAAAAGTTCAAGTGGGAAGTTTTGTGGGGCCTCCACTATGTTAGCCATGTACATAACCAAGAACTCACGGCCTCCAGTATCTTGGATGCCTAAAATGCAATATGAAACGTGAACAAAACTAATTTTTCATACCACAATTGTTTATGACTGTCTTTCTTCTTTTTGTTCTGTTTTTAAAGCAGCTAATGTAAATACATTTTAAATTTACCTTGGCAATCTTCGTCAATTAGCCCATCTCCGTCCTCATCTGTTAGAAAAAAACAAACTGATGTCAAATTCAAATGAAATTGATAAATAAAGGATGCAAATGTTTGAAACTTATAACTTTATAATTTATCTTTCAAATTGGACGTTTGATACTGCCAAGGCCGTGCCTGAATAGTTGCCTCATTCAACAGAATATCAATTTTTTAATTACTCACTAGCATAAATTCTAATATTTGAACATGTTTCAATGTTTTTGTCTTGATTACGCGTTTTCAATACACTTCCATTGTCAACATACCTTGGCCGTTGCATTTCTCCTCGTCAATAGTTCCATCGCAGTCGTTGTCCAGACCATCGCCTGGTGTTTGTGCCGGTTTATCACATGCCTGTATGAGATAACGATTTACTTTTATTAACCAGTTTCTCAAAATGATGGTTTTGAATTGAGTTTGGTTAACAAAGTACTTTTTATTCCTATTACACTACTTTTTAAAGTAAAATTTATGTATGTATCTCAGGAGTTCGGATTAAATGTATTCTAAAAACTGTAAGTGGTCTTATCTGTATAGTGTGTACATATACCTGTACTCACCGGTTGCAATTTAGCCAACAACATTCCTACTGGGAAGCCATAGGTTTCTCTATCTGCAGTTCCATACAGCAAGCCCATGAATGGGACATTCCCTGTGACATGTTCTAACACATGCTGTCCATCGCCGACGTTGACAGCCGTGCCAGCGTAACTAGTTCCAGGTACTGTTACCCAAGTTGGGTTTGGCAAACTGGAGCCATCTAATCTAAGACCGTCCTTTTGGTTGTCTGCTACCATGATCATGAAGTAGTTAGTATAATCTCCCCCTACTACGCCACCCGAGTATTTGGGAGTGGCAAAAAGGTAACGTGTGGCATACTGCTCTACAGGTGGGATTAGGATCATGGCGGGATCTGCCACCTCAGCCGTTGTGGCACTGACTTGGCTCTTAACTATTTGCGCCACAAGGATTGGCTTATTGGCAACAATGTGGGTGTAGCTATCGGAAGAAATATTCAGTGCAACAAAATCCCCAGCTTTAGATAATGTCACTGTTGGAAGACCTGTAATTGTAACTACAGTGTTGTCGCGACCGGCTATGATTCTGAAATGGTCTCCGATTGTGCGTCCGGGTATAGGAATAGTATTGAATTCTTGTCCCCACGACGTCACAGGAGGCAACTGTTCAACCAAATGATCGCGTGATATTCCACTCCCTACGTTGGTTCTGATGTTGCCGCTGAACATTGCAATGTTTTTATTCGAAGACACGCGGGTACCCGTGAGATCACCTGAAGTGCTCTGTACTTGGAAGGTTTCATATCTATTGAGTGTCACCTGCAAAGTTTCACCTCCTGTATATGCAAGTCCATCGTATGTAAGGCTGACACCACTATTTGCTGGGAAAGTGATTGTGACAACTGTATTATCTTCTGGTGCAGCAAGGGCAAATTGGGTCGCTATTTCAGGAGGTCCATAACTAACGGCATAGTAAAGACCTCCAAGAGTACTTAGCGGGAGGGCAAGGAAACCATCATTGGAAAACAATTCTTTGTTGACGCCATACACAACTACGTCTCCAGATGCTTGTATGCGTATTGCTTTCGAGCCTTTTGATGTACCGGTCATCCTCAGAGCATTGCTTATGTTGAACTTCTTTACCTCTCCGGCGCTCAGCCTCTCACTGAGGGTCACGCTCGGACTGTTAAACATGGGTGTGGTCACGTTCACTTGGACAGCCTCGTTATTTACACTGGTAATAAAAAGCTCTAAGTCGTAGCCCGCTGGATTTTCCACACTGTTTTCCATGAACACAACCACAAACTCTCTACCAGCACTGTAGGCAATAGCTACAAATAAAGGAAAAAATGCACTCAGATTTTGAAACACCAACAATGCAAAAGGCGAGATTTAAGTAAAAAAGGCATAATAATGGCGATTAGTCATTTACGATTACTATTCTTAAAGCTCATAGAGTAGGTGAAAATATGTCTATATTTACCTGAAGGACATTAACATATTGTTTTTAGGTAAAGAAATAAAAAATTACTTGTCGAAGGCGTGGATGTAACAGCCCTTGTGGTGCTGGCTGTTGTCGAGGTCGCCGAGGTAGTTGTTGTGGTGGGTGTGGTCGTGGTCGGTGTGGTCGTGGTGGGTGTGGTCGTGCTCGGCGTGGTTGTAGTTGGCGTGGTCGAAGTAGGTGTGGTGGTCGTTGTGACCGTTGTAGTTGTCGTGACAAGAGTTGTGCTCGGAGTTGTACTGACAGTTGATGTGGACGGCTGGAAAGGAAAATAGCAAATGTATGATTACTGTTATTTAATATTAAGATAAGCACGAGTATGTGGTGGATGTGATTTTCATCAAAAGTAGCATTAAAAAAACATTTTCCACTCTCAGAATTTATCTAATGGGTCATGAAAACAGGTCAACTATTACCTGGGTGATTGTGGCTAACTTCATACCAACTGGGAAACCGTAGCTCTCCCTGTCTGCGGTACCATACAACAGACCCATGAAAGAAACATCGCGTGCTACATGGCGGATACTGTGGGCCCCTCCAGATACCACAAAGTTTGCACCTACATAGTCTGTGTTTGGTACATTTGTCCATTNCAATTCCAAACTCAGTCATAATCTCTGGTGGGGAATAGGAAATAGTGTAATAATCGGTGCCCAAAGAATCCACCGGTATGGCCAGGAAGGCATCATCAGAGAAAAGCTCTTTGTTCACACCGTAGACAACAATTTCAAAGTCGGATTCGATGAGGACTGCTTTAGTGGACATGCTGGTGCCGTCCATGCGCAGTGTATGGGAAAGGTTGAATTTCTGAACCTCCCTTGGGTTGATGGTGGCTTGAAGGGACAAAGATGGGTTGTTCCATCTCGGTGTAGTGATGTTCACATTTACTGGTACGTTGTGAGACGTAGTAATGAAAAGTTCAAGTGGGAAGTTTTGTGGAGCCTCCACTATGTTAGCCATGTACATAACCAAGAACTCACGGCCTCCAGTATCTTGGATGCCTAAAATGCAATGTGAAATTTGAACAAAACTAATTTTTCATACCACAGTTGTTTATGACTGTCTTTCTTCTTTTTGTTCTGTTTTTAAAGCAGCTAATGTAAATACATTTTAAATTTACCTTGGCAATCTTCGTCAATTAGCCCATCTCCGTCCTCATCTGTTAGAAAAAAAAAACCCAAACTGATGTCAAATTCAAATGAAATTGATTAATAAAGGATGCAAATGTTTGAAACTTATAACTTTATACTTTATCTTTCAAATTGGACGTTTGATACTGCCAAGGCCGTGCCTGAATAGTTGCCTCATTCAACAGAATATCAATATTTTAATTACTCACTAGCATAAAGTCTGATATTTGAACATGTTTCAATGTTTTTGTCTTGATTACGCGTTTTCAATACACTTCCATTGTCAACATACCTTGGCCGTTGCATTTCTCCTCGTCAATAGTTCCATCGCAGTCGTTGTCCAGACCATCGCCTGGTGTTTGTGCCGGTTTATCACATGCCTGAATGAGATAACGATTTACTTTTATTAACCAGTTTCTCAAAATGATGGTTTTGAATTGAGTTTGGTTAACAAAGTACTTTTTATTCCTATTATACTACTCTTTAAAGTAAAATTTATGTATGTATCTCAGGCGTTCGGATTAAATGTATTCTAAAAACTGTAAGTGGTCTTATCTGTATAGTGTGTACATATACCTGTACTCACCGGTTGCAATTTAGCCAACAACATTCCTACTGGGAAGCCATAGGTTTCTCTATCTGCAGTTCCATACAGCAAGCCCATGAATGGGACATTCCCTGTGACATGTTCTAACACATGCTGTCCATCGCCGACGTTGACAGCCGTGCCAGCGTAACTAGTTCCAGGTACTGTTACCCAAGTTGGGTTTGGCAAACTGGAGCCATCTAATCTAAGACCGTCCTTTTGGTTGTCTGCTACCATGATCATGAAGTAGTTAGTATAATCTCCCCCTACTACGCCACCCGAGTATTTGGGAGTGGCAAAAAGGTAACGTGTGGCATACTGCTCTACAGGTGGGATTAGGATCATGGCGGGATCTGCCACCTCAGCCGTTGTGGCACTGACTTGGCTCTTAACTATTTGCGCCACAAGGATTGGCTTATTAGCAACAATGTGGGTGTAGCTTTCGGAAGAAATATTCAGTGCAACAAAATCCCCAGCTTTAGATAATGTCACTGTTGGAAGACCTGTAATTGTAACTACAGTGTTGTCGCGACCGGCTATGATTCTGAAATGGTCTCCGATTGTGCGTCCGGGTATAGGAATAGTATTGAATTCTTGTCCCCACGACGTCACAGGAGGCAACTGTTCAACCAAATGATCGCGTGATATTCCACTCCCTACGTTGGTTCTGATGTTGCCGCTGAACATTACAATGTTTTTATTCGAAGACACGCGGGTACCCGTGAGATCACCTGAAGTGCTCTGTACTTGGAAGGTTTCATATCTATTGAGTGTCGCCTGCAAAGTTTCACCTCCTGTATATGTAAGTCCATCGTAGGTGACGCTGACACCACTATTTGCTGGGAAAGTGATTGTGACAACTGTATTATCTTCTGGTGCAGCAAGGGCAAATTGGGTCGCTATTTCAGGAGGTCCATAACTAACGGCATAGTAAAGACCTCCAAGAGTACTTAGCGGGAGGGCAAGGAAACCATCATTGGAAAACAATTCTTTGTTGACGCCATAGACAACTACGTCTCCAGATGCTTGTATGCGTATTGCTTTCGAGCCTTTTGATGTACCGGTCATCCTCAGAGCATTGCTTATGTTAAACTTCTTAACCTCTCCGGCGCTCAGCCTCTCACTGAGGGCCACGCTCGGACTGTTAAACATGGGTGTGGTCACGTTCACTTGGACAGCCTCGTTATTTACACTGGTAATAAAAAGCTCTAAGTCGTAACCCGCTGGATTTTCCACACTGTTTTCCATGAACACAACCACAAACTCTCTACCAGCACTGTAGGCAATAGCTACAAATAAAGGAAAAAATGCACTCAGATTTTGAAACACCAACAATGCAAAAGGCGAGATTTAAGTAAAAAAGGCATAATAATGGCGATTAGTCATTTACGATTACTATTCTTAAAGCTCATAGAGTAGGTGAAAATATGTCTATATTTACCTGAAGGACATTATCAAATTGTTTTAAGGTAAAGAAATAAAAAATTACTTGTCGAAGGCGTGGATGTAACAGCCCTTGTGGTGCTGGCTGTTGTCGAGGTCGCCGAGGTAGTTGTCGTGGTGGGTGTGGTCGTGGTGGGTGTGGTCGTGGTCGGCGTGGTTGTAGTTGGCGTGGTCGAAGTAGGTGTGGTGGTCGTTGTGACCGTTGTAGTTGTCGTGACAAGAGTTGTGCTCGGAGTTGTACTGACAGTTGATGTGGACGGCTGGAAAGGAAAATAGCAACAAATGTATGATTGCTGTTATTTAATATTAAGATAAGCACGAGTATGTGGTGGATGTGATTTTCATCAAAAGTAGCATTAGAAAAACATTTTCCACTCTCAGAATTTATCTAATGGGTCATGAAAACAGGTCAACTATTACCTGGGTGATTGTGGCTAACTTCATACCAACTGGGAAACCGTAGCTCTCCCGGTCTGCGGTACCATACAACAGACCCATGAAAGAAACATCGCGTGCTACATGGCGGATGCTGTGGGCCCCTCCAGATACCACAAAGTTTGCACCTACATAGTCTGTGTTTGGTACATTTGTCCACTGTATGTTGCTGAGAGGCTGTCCGTCAAACAACAGACCATTCCTCTGCGTATTTTGAATTACCAGCAGAAAAAAGTGAGTATAGTCTCCGCCAGTTTCACCCCCACTGTACTGTGTAGTAGCAAAGTTGTACTCTGAAGCCCACTGTTGGATGGGTGGAATGATTGTTAGGGCGGGATCTGCCGGTTCAGTGGAAGAAAACTGACTATAAACGATCTGAACAACCAATATTGGATTATTAGCAACAATGCGAGTGTAGAGAACAGACGGGATCACTCTTTCAGCATACTGCCCTTTGTTAAGCACAATCTGCGGTTGCCCGGTTAATTCAACGACAGTGTTATCAGAGCTAGCGACGATTTTGACTATATCCCCAACAGTGCGGTTCGGCGTGGGCACTGTGATGAACTCTGTTCCCCATGACGGCACTGGCGTCATCTGCTCCACAAGATGATCACGTGATCGGGTGCCGGCGCCCACGTTGGTTCTAATGTTGCCACTGAAGACTGCAACTGGCTGGTTTGAAGTAATATAGGTTCCCGTTAGATCACCTTTGTTAGAATCTTGGACCTGGAATGTATCGTAACGATTCAAAGCCACCTCAAAAGTGTTGCCATTTCCATATACGACGCCATTGTAGTTGACCGAAACAGCCGTGCCAGAGGGAGAGGGTAGAGTTATTGTAACAACGGTCCCGTCATAGACACCAGCAACACCGAAAACACAGGCCGTTTCAGGGGGTGAATGCGAAACAGTGTAGTATTCTTGACCAATGACATCGGTGGGCAATGCCAGGAAAGCATCGTTTGAAAAGAGCTCTTTGTTGACACCGTACACGACGACCTCGTTATCTGCCTGCACCAACACGGCCTTGGTGGACATAGAAGTGCCGCTCATACGTAGATTGCGAGAAACATTGACAAGCCGCACCTCTCTAGGTTGTATGGTGAAGGTCTCCATCATGGGTGGGCTATTCCATGCCGGGGTGGAAACATTCACACTGACAGGCACGTCATATGAAGTTGTTACGAACAATTCTAGAGCAAACCCTTTTGGAGTTTCGACTATGTTGTCTAGGTACATAACTATGAACTCCCGGCCACCTGTGTCCTGGGCTGCGGCACAATCTTCATCGATCTGGCCGTCGTTATCATTATCTAGAAGTAATAACAAAAGAAATAAGTATAAAACAAAAATAATTTTGGCATTTGATTGGCATATAATGTTGAGAGTCTGCATAAGTTTGGTATCCAAAATATGTTTTAAGGCAGATTAATAAACCTACCAACGCCATCACACTGTTCCTCATCCACTGCCCCATCGCAGTCTGTGTCGATTCCATCACCAGGTACCATGGCAGGAGTATTGCATTCCTAAGGATAATCATTAAATACCAAGAATCATAAGAGAGAAAGTCCTGAAATAATTATACTAATTAAAAAAAGCCCTTAGCTATCAATTATATCAGTTATATAAAATTGGTCTTATCTGCAAGCTAGGACAGTTGTTAAAGTTTTACAGGTAATAGTCAATTTAAATTCATCGCAATGACCTCAATGTTTTACATATATTACCGGTTGTATTACACCCAGCCTCATGCCAATTGGGAATCCATAGCTTTCTCTGTCAGCTGTTCCATACAGCAGCCCCATAAAGGACACTTTGCCCGATTGATGACGTAAATTGTGTGCGCCACCTGGAACTTCAAAGACAGTGCCGACCAAACCCGAGTTGCCAATCTGGGTCCAACGTAAGCCCCGGGGTACCAGGGAGTTTCCATCGAGAAGGAGACCGTCAATTTCTGTTTGATTGATAGCCATCAGCACATAGTGTCTGTAGTCCCCACCTACAACACCACCAGAGTACTTAGTTGTTGCAAAGTTGTATTCGTCGGCAAATTGTTCCATTGGAGGAATCAGGATCATAGAAGGATCAGCCACTTCTTGTGATGTTGACGTCAGTTGGCTGTAAACAAACTGGGTAACCAACACGGGCTCGCTAGCGACAATGTGTGTATAAAAGGTGGAGTTAACAAGTAGCTGGTGATATTTGCCACGGTTCAAAGTAAAAGATGTGCTACCGCCGCCATTAACGGTAAGGACGACTTGAGTGTTGTCTTTGGAAGCGACAATGCGGAACACGTCTCCAGTAGTTCTGCCTGGGATTGGTACTGTGACAAATGCTTTGCCCCAAGACGTCACAGGCGGGATCTGCTCCACCAAATGATCACGTGATTGGGTTCCTGCTCCAATGTTGGTTCTGACGTTCCCGCTGAATACTGCAACCTTTGAACTGGCAATGATGCGGGTACCAGTGAGATCGCCCTTAGATTGGGCCTGGAAAGTGTCGTATCTATCCAGAGAGATACGAAGTTGTTCGCCGTTTCCATATGTTCTGCCTCCGTAGGGCACGCTGATCGGAATACCCTCGGGAGATGGGAATATGATTGTGACAGATGTATTGTCATAGACACCAATGATGCCGAATTCGGTCATAATTTCAGGAGGGGAATAAGACACGGTGTAGTACTCGCGACCAAGGGCATCCACCGGTATGGCTAAGAAGGCATCGTTGGAGAAAAGTTCCTTGTTAACACCATACACGACCACCTCGTAATTGGACTGAATCAAAATTGCTTTGGTGGAAAGACTGGTCCCCGCCATTCGCAAGTTTCTAGAGATTGTGAAGTTAGTGACTTCTCTCGGATTAATGGTTGTGGACAGGCTAACAGCGGGGCTGTTCCATTTCGGTGTTGTAATGTTTACTTGAACGGGGACATTATGGGATGTTGTAATATATAATTCAAGCGGGAAGCCTTGAGGATTTTCAACGATGTTTTCCATATACATAACAAGAAACTCACGACCACCGGTGTCTTCTATACCTAAAAAATATATCATAATGAATCAGGCATGTTCAAAACCCTATTTTAGTAAGCGGGTACAACACCGTTTCAATATCTATGTCAATTATCATTATCATTTCATTACATACCTTGACAGTCTTCATCAATGCTACCATCCTCGTCGTCATCTGAAATTACATTTATATAACCGCTGAATCAAATACTTTTTCAAGCAACTTTTAATAAAAAAATACCAACCTTACACTTTTTATGTCAAAATCAAAGATGAACAGTTTTTCAATGTTAGACACTCTCGTCAAGTAATTTACATCAATAGTTTCAAAATAAAATTCTAGTTTATTTCAAAGTCTGATAAAAAATCTGAAACATCGTAATTAATACCTAGCCCATTACATTCTTCCTCGTCTATTAAACCGTCACAGTCGTTATCCAAGTTGTCCCCAGGAACCATTGTGGGCTGGTTACATTCCTTAAAACCATTTATGAAAGATGATTAGAAATTATCATATTTAATTTATAAGAATGATGTGTGCGCGCAATAATCACTTATCTAGAGAGTAGTTGCATCGTTTAAAATTAAAAGAATTTTAAAAAGCACAAAAACGAATACATTCTTTTTTCTGTATTTATGAATGGGTCCATCTTAAATACACTTTTCTTTACCTTTGTTATTTTAGCCAGCAGCATTCCAACGGGGAACCCATATGTCTCTCTGTCTGCTGTACCATAGAGTAGACCCATGAAGGGGACATTTGTATTATTGTGCTCTACGACGTGCTGGCCTGAGCTGACTTGTACAGATGTACCAGAATAAGACGTTCCAGGGATAGGACTCCAGGTGACCCCTGCTAGAGGGGCACCATCAAGTCTGAGGCCATCCTTCTGAGAATCTTCCACGACGATCAGGAAATAGTTGACATAATCCCCGCCAGTGACACCGCCCGAATACTGTGCAGTAGCGAAAGTGTACTTCTTAGCATACTGTTCTACAGGCGGGATGATTATCATGGAGGGATCGGCAGGCTCGCTTGCAGTAAGCTGGCTCTGAACAATCTGCACGACTAATACTGGTTTGGTGGCCACGATGTGGGTGTAAGCGTTTGATGGAATGGTCACGTTGACAAAATCTCCAGCACGGTTCAGAGTGATATCAGGAAACCCTGTAAGGCTGACAACGGTGTTGTCACTACTTGATACAATGCGGAAATGGTCCCCAATGGTACGTCCTGGTATGGGCACTGTGTAGAAGTCCTTCCCCCAAGACCTTACAGGTGGAAGGTGTTCTACGAGATGGTCGCGTGAGATACCCTCGCCGACGTCTGTTCGTATGTTACCACTGAAGACAGCAACTGGTTTAGACGATGCAATTCTTGTGCCTGTCAAATCGCCAACGCTCTGAGCTTGAAATGTGTCGAAACGATTCATTTCAAGTGTAAGAACGTCGCCATTTTGATAAGTGCGGCCATTGTATGTAACACTTACTGGTGAAGTGCTTGTTGGGAGGTTAATGTTGACGACAGTGCCATTTTCTATAGCAGCAACAGCAAACTGTGCAGCATTTTTCGGAGGTGCGTAGCTGACGGTGTAGTACAAGCTCCCAAGAACGCTGATAGGCAACGCCAAAAACCCATCATTTGAGAACAATTCCTTGTTGATGCCGTACACAACCACATCGCTCGAGGCTTGAATATAGATGGCTTTTCTACCCATAGATGTGCCAGACATCCTCAACTGAGGGTTGACTTCGAACTTTTTCACTTCTCCTGCTGGAAGCATTTGACTGAGGCTAACACTCGGGTTGAAGAACCCCGGCGTAGTCACGTTGACGAGCACAGGGGCATTGGTAAGACTGGTCATGAAGAGTTCCAAGGCATAGCCGGCAGGATTTTCAACAAAATTATCCATGTATACAATGATGAATTCAGTGCCTCCACTATAGTCAATAACTGAAAAAATTGAACGTTTTAAATCTAATGTAAACACTGAAAAAAAGAAAACTAAAATGCAAAATAAGTCTATCTCTGTACTAGATCTAAAGATGAACATAAATTATTTCTTTGTGTAGCACACAATAAAAAAAGGCAAATGCAAAAATGATTCGCCAATTAACACGCACGAGTGAAATATAATGACGTAGACGAACCATAGACTCCACAATAATGATTTGATAAGATAAAAAGGTACTCTGTGAATTTCTGAAAACAATACATGCATTTGAATTGTGAATGCTCACCCGTTGATGGCGTAGTGGCTATTGTTGTTGGCGCAGCAGTAGAAGTGGTGGTGGTGGTAGGCGCAGCTGTAGTTGTTGTTGTGGCACTGGTGGTAGACGTAGTAGTTGTACTGGTGGTGGTGGTGGTGGTCGTTGTCGTTGTTGTAGCGGTGCTGGTAGTTGTCGTTGGAGCTGGTGTCTAGAAAGCAACAACAATGAGATATTTGATATCTTTCAAAAATGTGTTGTTTGGCAAAATGTTGTCTTTATTAAATTTATATCCTTAGTGCAAAAAAGGAACAAAAAGTAAAACGAGAATTAAGTGAACTCTTGCGTGAAATCGTCGCTTAGAAAATGAATCACATCGTTTCGTTTCATTATGGAGGATTATATAGAACTGACACTACTTATTTTAGATAAAGATCACCAGCATGATCCCTGGTCTAAAATGAGTTATTATCTCGTGTAGAAAAGACTATAATTGAACTTACTGGTACAATTGTAGCCAGATTCATGCCGACTGGGAAGCCGTAACTCTCTCTATCAGCAGTGCCATAGAGAAGACCCATGAAGGTCGTCTGCCTAGACTGGTGTCGGACGTTATGTGCACCAGAGGGCACCACAACCGAAGCACCAACATAATCTGTCCCAAAGATCGGGTTCCAACGTATATTTGGGAAAGCAGTGGACAACAGCACATCATCCAACAGAAGACCGGCCTTGTCAGCATCTTTGACAGCAATGGAGAAGAAGTGCATGTAGTCGCCGCCTGTAACTCCTCCGGAATACTTTGTAGTTGCGAAGTTGTATTCCGAAGCCCATTGTTCACTTGGTGGTAGTATGGTCATTGACGGATCTGCGGGTTCGGCCAGGCTGAACTGGCTGTAGACTATCTGCACAACCAGCACGGGTTTGTCTGCTGAGATCCTTGCGTAAAGGGTTGATGGGATGTCGATCTGTCTAAATTTACCAGCATCAAGATTGAAGAAAGTGACTCCGGTGATTGTCACATGGGTATTGTCGCTACTTGCCATCACTCGGATGAGGTCACCAACTGTGCGATTTGGTGTCGGGACAGTGACAAACTCGTAACCCCAGGACTGAACAGGAGGGATTTGTTCCACGAGATGGTCACGGGATGATGTGCCAGTGCCAACATTTGTCCTGACGTTACCACTAAAAACGGCAACCGGTCTTGAGGCGACAATGCGTGTCCCAGTGAGATCTCCCCTACTCTGGCCCTGGAAAGTGTGGTAGCGGTCCAAAATAATTGAAATGGTCTGCCCATTGCCAAAGGTCTGCCCGTTGTAAGTGACAGTCGCAGCTGTGCCTGGGAGCGGGGGGAGGGTGATGTTGACGACGGTGCCATTGTGGACGCCAACGATCCCAAACTCACACATATTCTCGGGAGGTGAGTAGTGGATGGTGTAATATTCTGTACCTAAAACGTCCGTTGGAAGAGCTAAGAAGGCATCGCTTGAAAAAAGCTCCTTATTAACGCCATAGACCACAACCTCGTTGTCCGATTCAATGAGAACAGATTTAGTCGACTTTCCAGTTTCTATCATTCTAAGAGCGTTGGAAATGTTAACGAGTCGTACTTCACGTGGATTAAGGGTAAATGTCTCTAGGACAGTTGGGGTATTCCACAGAGGAGTACTCACTTCCACTTTGGCGCTGACATTAAAGGACGTGGTGACGAAAACTTCCAAAGCGTACCCCCTCGGATCCTCTACTTTGTTTTCCATGAACATGACTAAGAATTCTTTTCCTCCAGCATCTTGGGCGGCTGTAAGTGAAATTTATATACATATTGTTTAATGGCATCAGTCTTTTTACAGGCGGAGGTTGGAAGCCTTTTTTTCACTGACTTCATCCTTCAGAAATCTTGAATTTTTAATGAGATAATTTCCTTATATATCTTTATGGGGATTAAATTTTCAATGAGACAACGGATAGGTGTAGAATTTAATTGAAATATAAGACGTCGTTCTGAAAATTAATGAAAATGCCATTAGCAAATGAAAAGTGTGAAGTGGCATTTTCCAAAACAAAATTAGCACACAAATCCTTTCGTATATAGAATGATGAGGTTATACAGTTGATGTAGACTTCACAATTTTGATTAATATAGGCCCTAAGGATAACCTTAATTAAACTTTGTGTTTAAAAACATTAAGTTGCTTAATGTGGGAGCATGTTACACCCCCACCCAACCCCATCAGTGTCTAAAATAATCGTGCTTGGTGGAATGTGACTTAAAAATGGGGAAAAAACTACTCCAAAGTCTAAATTACGAGTAAAAATTACAGCATCATTAGTGGCTAACGTCGGCTGTTTCCATATATATATGGAAGTGAAGAACAAAAGACTCAGACGTCTCGCATGAATGCGTCATAACCTACTAATGAACCGTGGTCTAAGTAACATAGACCCCTTGTCAGCGAAGGTTATCGGACATCCACTTGTGCTGCGCACTCATGCATGCCACATAACTCTCGCTGACTCGGGGTCTATCTAATATATATATATATATATATATATATATATATATATATATATATATAAGGATACACGTATCCTAACAAATAATACGTTTATGCATTCTCGGGGAAGGGAGGCACTTCCCATTTTAAAAACCCTGGATTCACCCATGCTTGGTGTCCATATTGTGGTCGTATTGAAGTGTGCACTCATCATCAAACCGTCAATGCAACGGTTTGAATTTTCGTGTGTCCGACTTTTATATGTTTTTATCTTGTTTTCGAACTTTTTCTTTTTGCCAACTGTTAATTTCACACATTCCTTTCATTGAAAAAAGCAAGGTGCTAATTATTAATTTCGTTTGTCGTTAATTTGGCGAAGTTTGGCACCACCTAGATCAAGTTTCCTTCAACAAGGTTAGTGAACCATTCAGTGCAACATGCCATGCAATTCACACATGCAGTTCGACGACCGTTATTATAATAACAATTAAGAAAAGGAAAATATTATAATGTGTTATTATGATGTATTTATGTCAAAACTGATTTGTCATGCACTGTTGATACGTACCGGCTGACAGGAAGAATGAAAATATCAAGCATTATCAATGAATTTAGAAGCGTGTAGTTATTTTCGTTATTTTCGTTTTCAGACCACAAGATAAATATGTTGCATCACTCTTTAGACTAATATCGTTACAACACCCTACTCTAGCAAATTAGTATACCCTGTGCGGTAAAAAGACAACTATACTTTGGACATTCTATGTGACTGATTTGGCGTCACCTGAAGCGACGATCGAGTGACTCTAGCTACTGCTACATTTTAAATTTCATGTACCAAGCCAAGAATTAGTCAATATACCTTATTAGAAAATCATAATATTATAAGTTTTTTTTTTACCTGCACAATCCTCGTCTATTTTTCCATCCAGATCTTGATCTAAAAAAAATGTTGAACATTAGTTTTCTTTACACAATTTCAAATATTTTCTGACGATAAAATGTCATTTGAGAATTAGTTGTTTGTTAAGAGAAGCCGGTGCAGCCACGCTACGGTTTACTTGTTAGGATCTAAACATTGACAATAAACATGATAGATCCCATTTAAAGTAACTGTAATGAAATATCAATTTCATGGCGAACGTGAGAAACAGACTGGTAAATGACTCGACAGGGATACGACTAAAACCTCTTACCTAACCCGTCGCATTGTTCTTCGTCAATGGTCCCATCACAGTCGTTATCAACGCCATCGCCAGGGACCATGGCAGGGGCACTACAAGGCTGAAACGTTAAATAATTGCATAACCAACCATTTTGGCAGTAAGTCTAAGCACTGTGGTTAGGTTAAGTAACATGCAGGACGCAAGTAATTGGATCTCCGGGTCATGACTGTTCAGGCGATCCATTTAGCACAACTAATGACGGGTTTTATGCCAAATTTAGTTGTATCAGATGTGAACGGCTGAACACATCACGTTAATGTGACAGAGTAATGTGATAGCCCCAGGCTCATTTCATAAAATATCTATTGCAGTGACATCACGGCTTGTGTCTCGCCAAATAAGTCAGTCACGAACCAAAAACAGAATGACTTTTTTATGGTTCTGATTTAAATCAATTACTTCTCTTTACTTCTTCCGGCCTCTATTGAAAAAAAGGAGAAAGAGTAGTCTGAATGAGAGTTTCAATTCAAATGTTAATTTTTACATCCCGTAAACATGCTGCTTATGGGCAGTTTCATTATCTAAAGAGCAACACCTTAGGATATTTTAGCACTGGCTGTATTAACAGCTCAGAGAAAGATCTCATTCAGTTAAAACTCCACGCACTGTCACCTTCACTTTTTATATTTAATAATTTGCTTTTATGTAAAGATATAATCAATTGTCAGTTTTATACCTACCGGTACAATAGACTCAAGCCTCATACCAACTGGGAAACCATAGCTCTCTCGGTCTGCGGTGCCATACAGCAAACCCATGAAGGTGACATCCCCATTCACGTGTCTGAGAGAGTGTGAACCACTCGAGATATTCATTGCTGTCCCCACCAGGCCACTGTTGCCAATAGGGGTCCATACCAGGGTGTCTGGTAAAGGGTTTCCGTCTAGGCGTAACCCAGCACGGTCACCAGCCCTAACAGCCATCAGGAAGTAGTGGATGTAATCCCCTCCGACCACACCTCCCGAGTACTGGTCTGTTGCGAAGTTGTACTCAATTGCGTATTGTTCTATTGGTGGGACAAGAATCATGGAGGGGTCGGCAACTTCTAAGGAATCGTCACTTTCTTGGCTGTACACGAACTGGACAACCACGATGGGCTCAGTGGAAGTAATGTAGATGTTAAAACCAGACGGGATTAGAAGTTCTCTGAACTCGCCCTGGTTTAAAGTGAAAGACGTTCCAGCACCGTTAATGTTGACCTGGGTGTTGTTCTGTGAAGCAACGAATCTGAAGTAGTCACCTGTTGTCCGTTTCGGGATGGGCACCGTGGCGAACTGCTTGCCCCAAGATCGAGCCGGCGGAAGTTGCTCAACCAAATGGTCTCTTGATGCGGTGCCTCTACCAACATTTGTCCTCACGTTACCGCTGAACACGGCCACCTTCTGGCTGGCGACAATTCTGGTTCCAGTTAAATCGCCCTTGCTTTGGACTTGAAAGGTATCGTACCTATTCAAAGTAATCTGCAGAATGTCCCCATTGCCGTAAGTTATCCCGTTATACGTTACGCTCACGGGAATGCCATTTGGTGACGGAAATTTTATAGTAATCAAAGTGTTATCATATACGCCTACGATACCAAATTCGGTGTACAAATTGGCTGGGGCGTAAGACACCGTGTAATATTCGGTGCCGAGAGAATCTACAGGTAAAGCCAAAAACCCATCATTGGAGAAAAGCTCCTTATTTGTACCGTAGACTACTATTTCATTTGAGGCCTCGATTAAGATGGCTTTGGTCGATTTGCTGGTATCAGTCTGTCGAAGAAGATGGCTTATACCAAGCTTTACAACTTCTCTGGGATTAACAATAACAGAGTGAGAAACACTGGGGTTGGTCCACGCTGGGGTTGTCAAATTAACCTGGACAGGGACGCTGAAAGATGTGGTCACAAAGACTTCAAGGTCAAAGTTACGTGGGTTTTCCACAATGTTCTCCATGAACATGATGAGGAATTCTTTGCCGCCAGTGTCTGACGATGTACGACAGTCTTCGTCTGTTCTACCATCATTATCATCATCTGGAAAAGACCAAAATAAGTACATCCCTATGCAATAATATTCACCCCTATACAATAACGTTCACGTGAGAATACAATTGGCGAGTGTCTGACCTATAACAACTCCAATATTTAGTGATCGATTAAGAATGTATTACTCTGAAGCAAGCGGTTTACCTAAACCGTCGCACGTTTCCTCGTCAGTCTGTCCATCACAGTCATTGTCAATGCCATCTCCTGGTACTTGGAAAGGTTGCAGGCATACCTGAAACATTAGTAAAAACATGTACTTCTAATTGAGTAAAAGCCACTAAAAATACGATAATAAACGTCCGATTCACCTGTTCTGAAGTCCATAAGATAGTAATTTTAAAGTAAAAAGAAATTAAGATAGAATATATTAAAAGTTGGTATTGCATGAAACACTTACGTTCTGAATTGATCTGAGGTTCATTCCTACAGGAAATCCATACGACTCTCTGTCAGCTGTGCCATACAATAGACCCATGAATGTCCCGGAAGTCTGGCTAAGCCTTAAGTTGTGTGCCCCAGGTGCTACTGTGATGTACCCTCCGACGAAGTTAGTTCCAGGAATAGCATTCCAGGTAACACCTTGAATAGGGGACCCATCCAGCAGTACGTTGTCTCGGTTTTCAGAGTCTACCACCATCATAAAATAGTTCGTGTATTCTCCGCCTGTGATACCACCGGAATATAAGGTGGTGGCGAAGGAATACTCGGACATGTACTGCTCTGTAGGTGGAACGATGATCAGGGAAGGATCGGCCGGTTCGCTGAATGACAGCTGGCTGTACACAATCTGTACCACTAGGATGGGCTGGGAAGATGTGATCAGGGAGTACTGGTTTGATGGAAGAGTCACTTCGAAATAGTCCCCCGCTCGTCTTAACCTGACAGGGTCCTGCCCTGTGATATTCACCTGGGCGTTGTCCTTGCCGGCAACGATCTTGAAGACGTCCCCCGTGGTACGATTAGGAATGGGCACCGTGGCAAAGCGCATACCCCAAGTATTAGCTGGAGGCAATTGCTCAACCAGATGGTCTCGTGAAACTCCGGTTCCGACGTTGGACCTTATGTTCCCACTGAATACTGCGATCTTTTTGCTTGCAAGGATTCTGGCACCGGTCAGGTCTCCTTTACTTTGGAACTGGAAGGTCTCATACTGGTTAAGAGTTAATGTTAATGTGTCACCGTTACTATAGTTGCGACCGTTGTACACCACGGATAAACCGGAGCCAGGGCTGGGGAACTGGATAACCACGTCAGTGTCATCTTCAGAAGCCACAATCCCTGCCTGACAGAGATTCTCCGGCGGATAATAGGTGACAATGTAGTACTCCTGGCCCAGAACCTTTACGGGCAGAGCCAAGAAGGCGTCGTTGGAGAATCTCTCTTTATTGACCCCATACACGACAATGTCATCAGTGGAAGCAATAACAATTCCCTTCGACCCAATCCGAGTCTGTGACATACGAAGACTATTTGAAATATTCACTAATTTTATTTCGTGTCGGCGCACTTGTATTGTAGTTGACACCACGGGTTCGCCACCAGGAGTAAAAAATATTGGACTGACGACAGTCACGTCAGCTATGGATCTTTCAGTGGTTATAAAGAGTTCTAAAGGAAAGTTCTGTGGCTGCTCTACATTGTTCTCCATGAACATAACAAGAAAGTCCCTTCCAGAATTGTCTAAGGACACTGGCACTGGAAAAAATACGTTCATGTTAGAAAATATTGATCGAAGACATACCCATGTTCATTTGAACTTTGCGTAATTGCAGACTTATATAATATGCAGTTAATTGCGCAAGAGTGCGCATACTGAATCATTATGAAGCGGTATATTGGAATAATTAATGTAATCCAAATAAAGCACGGCAAATGAATTACCACTGTCTTAATATAGACTATAATAATATGACGAACTGACAAACCAAGGCCCATACGTACAGGTAGATGCATACATGATTGACACTGAAAACAGGTGGTAAAGACCAACAAGCTTTCCTTCTTAATCAAAGAAATTACGTTTCCCCGATATGTGAAACACCGTCAAGTCTAGCTATCACGTTGAAATATGAAAACCCAGAAAATCCAGCTAACACCAAAAAATTAGTTTGTAGGCTAAAGCCAATTGGACGTTTCATTTTATTTAAGCAAAGCAAAGGAGAGGAAGAGGGTAGAATTAAAAGGATATTTTGGTATTGATACGGCAGTCAGACAACTCTAGGGCGCATACGTGTATATTTATTTCAGCAAAAAATGACTGGAGATAAGAGGGGTCTCTTTCACTTATGCTCGTTCTCGAATGCTACTTGTAAAATTACTATAGGCCACTGCACAATTAAGCGCGCTCTACATTTAATTTTTAAGGGCTCTTTGGTACTAGTAACTATATAGAAAGGTCTACCACCTGGGTCGAAAAGTTTAAAGTAGACTTTGCTATTGCTGAAGCAAACAGCTGATGTCGATATATCTTTGATATTTTAATTCTTTGCCACCGTGTAATAAAAAGCGACAAAACAGGAATGTGAAAAGATCAGCATAATAGAAGACCGATTTCTTTTGACAACTGCCGTCAAAATGATTTTTGTCACAATTAAGGTTATTTACAGTTCATACTAAGTGTTTGGATTTTTCAAAATGCACAATTGGTGCATAGGATCTTTACATTTGATAACTGTAGTTAACAGGTTTGTTAACTGTAGGGAAATGAGGAGGACGAACGCACCATGGCCACAGTTACTCTACGCATTTACTGGAGGGTGGCGGAGGGGTAGCCGATTAGGTTACCAGACGTGAAGGCCGAATCCGTGTGGGAGATCTCCAAATCGTTATAGTCACGCACATACAGTGACTACAGTATTACAGACACATAACTCCATTTCCAACAACTTAATTCTGGTGGCTGAGGGTCAGTCAGAACATAAAAAAACGCACTTTTGAATCAACTTTCTGGTGTCTTTGTAGCATACACACACATCAATATTGTTTGTCATTCAGGTAGATTGAATAACCAGTAGGCGTTGTAGGCGTTGCAACATTCCGCCAGTAACGAGTATCGTACCCCGAACAGAAAAGCCTTTATAAGAGTGACACGATTTCTAACCCTGGGTGTTCAGGGTCATTAATAGCTATTGGTTACTGTGTAAGAACCCAGTGGTTGGGTGCAGTGGAAAAAAAAAAAAAAAAGAAATTCTCAATGTGCTGACAACTCTAAAATAAATAAATTACTCCTCTCTCCGTACTGGAGTGTGAGTATGTAATTCTACAGTTTGAAAATATGACTCTTGAAAAAAAAATCAACATTTAATATGACCTCTTTTTACATCTACTGGCACCTCTATATGACGATAAAATTTCATAACTTTCAATATTTTACACGATAAACATTTGTATACCTAACCTCTATAAAAAATAGAAATTTTGGTACAGTTTAAGGAGGGTTTCAAGGGTGTGGCACCTTTTTCTACGGGGTGATTAATGGTCTTCGGGCTGGAGGACACATCCGCTCAGCCTGAATGTCGCTAATTAATCATGTTCCGTCAGCCACTATTGGAATTATTTCCATTCGGACTACAGCTACTTTGACCAATATGTAACTTCTAACCGGGGCTTCTGATTTTGTCATAGTAAGCCTTTTCAATTGTATCTCGGTTTGTAATTCAGACGTTTTTAGTTAGTAGGCCTAATGACAGCAGTTTAGAACTGCTATTAGGGTGTCAGAATTCAAAATCCAATGTACTGTTATCCAGGGTATGATACTTTTGGGTTTCTAAGACGGTAGGTATATTAGTGTTCGGAAATTCCGATTAAATGCCCAATACACTTAATATGTGTCATTTTTTTTTACAAATAAATGCAGTAAAATTGCAATTGCAATTATATTACAGTAAATTTCCTTGCTACAAATAACGCGTGCTGCGTTACTTGTCACACGGCATTTAAGCGAATTTTGTATTTTAAGTAAACATGTTGACCGTCACCATCTTCTACATATATAGCTTGTTCTTAAGAAAAAATTCCCGTCATTCAATAGCGTAGAAAAGGGCTATCAACTCCTGAGACGCGTCTTAAAGAATGTGAAAAAATAGACAAACACCATTATTTTCACATTCCTTAATGCATGTTCCGGAAGATCGACATTTTTTTTATGAAACCTGAGAAACCCGAGACTTCTGGTGTGGAATTCTGTTTTTTTTTCTTTTTTCTCAAAATTTTCTCCACATAGTCATTTAGCTTGAACACCAGCTGCACAGCCATAAGTTTAAATGTCTATATTATTATTACTAAATATCAAATACACCTATATCACAAATTATTTGACGATGTAATTGCAATGACCCAATAAACAGTTTTTAGCTTCCGTGAGTGAGGCAAAGATCAACATTTGTAACCAGGGAGTATTCTACCTCTACATACCACAACTTGAAAAAACTATAACCATGAAAATGATCGTAATAATTATACAAAACGTGCCAAAAACAACCCTACTTACCAGTTGATGTTTGTTGGTGCGTCACTTGTAGCACTTGCAGGACCACCAGGCCCGCATAACACACTGTGATTAAGGAAGGCATCCTGGAAGAAAAATAAAAATAACTACCTAAAATTTGTATTTCTCAAATAATTAAGAAATTACATATTTGCTCTAATTCTATAGAGAGATTGGGTGTGACGGCACAATGGAGGAAAAGAAAAAATATAGGGACAGGCTGGAAGGCAGGGAAGCTGAGAAAAATAGAGAGAGAGAGAGTAAGAGAGAGAGAGACGGGGTTGGGAAAGGTTAAGGCCAGGGATATGAAAAAAACATTTAAAAGGAGTCGATGAATAATGCAATTGTAAAAATACTCTTGTAATGCAAGTGTTCTCCAAAGGTAAGGCGTACAATCAAATCCCAGGCCTGACAATATATTGACCTAGTAGCTGACAGATCAAATTCGATTCAATGATTTGTTAAGAAAATATATGCTTAGTCTGGTGGCAAAAAGAGCATATGAAAGAACTGAACGATCAGAAAGGTGTGCAAATAATCTACAAAAACCGGTTTCATATGATTTTACACACAGTGCAAGTAGGAATGCCTTTACTCTCTACGTATCAAGTGTGATATCTAATGACGAATGTCAGAAAAGAATTTTTCGTCGATCACCCTCCAGTTGTGAAAAATATTTGTTTTTATAAAAGAAATACTTGTGTAGACGTTCCATGGTGATCGTGTGACCAAGCAAGTAAAAATTACAAAAGGTAAACTGGTTTGGCCACAATGACCAATGCCTTAGTCTCAATAAACGGCTTGGACCCACATTACATAATGCACAAGACTGGCCTTTTTTATTCAAATCTGATCAACAAATCACAACCTGCAGTATAAGTGAGACGAGATGGTAAATAAAGTATTGAGCTAAGGGTAGCTTGGTCATATTGTCAATGAAGTCAGCACATACAGGTCCGAGTTTCAAGTAGGCTTAAGAAGGTGCAGATAATCTCGAAGAGCCGACTGAAGCATGCGCGACAGCATTCATAAGGCATTCCTATTGACAAGTACCATTTTGGCAAAAGCACTTTCGCCAGTCCTAATACATGTCTATTCAGTGTATCCAATATATCTGTGGTCCTGCACTTGCAGTTTTCATACTTCAGTAGCCTTTGTTCATTAATCCAGATCCCCGTGCCAGCCTTTCAACATTCCACATTTCAGTGTCTATACATGGCGTAATTATGCAGTGCAACTATTGTTAATCAGTAGTGATAACATTTTAGGAAAACATTTACAACGCAAACATTACCACGCTCTTTTAATGGATGTAAGAATGTGGCCCTGTATTGGATTGTGTACAATTGCAATTCATACCGCATACATTAGCAAAACCTATAACAGAACCACGTTCCGGAACAATTAAAGGAAATGTAAAATAGAAATTCCGTAGGATTAAGTTAAAGTTACTTCTCACTATTTTTCAGAAGGCAAAAGTGCCACACGATCCTTGCAGACGGAACTACGATATCACGATTCATATTAAAGGAAAGTCACACCCGGGTGAATGGTAATGAATCTATACTCTGAATGATCAAAGTATAACTTAATCGGAAACTAATGTTCTTAGTCTACACAACAGGTAAATGGTATCCACGGCAACCATGGATTAATGAAAGCCCGGGTTCCGGTCGATCCCGACTTGCAGATAAAACTCATTAGGGCTTGTCAGTTACCTGTTAATATACGACTGCGACGTCCAGTTCAGAGAATGAAAGTGTAAAAGTGTCACTGGTCATTATAAAGAAGTTAATTAACGATGGAAAAAGAGAGAAATTATTCACGAGCACAGTGTGGGCCTTCAATAGCTGACTCACTGAAATGTCATACGAAAAGGCATTTTGCACACCAACGTGTAGAGCCAAGGCGAAAGGTGAAGATACTATCTAGGGGAAATTATGCAATGTTCAATAATTTATGGGCTGTTGGAGAAGGTGACGCCCTGCTTGTGAAGGTTCGACGCTGAGCTTAATAACGACGGACATGTTGTCAACAGTTCGGTAATTGCACCTGAACTTGCATCCGAACTGGATAATAACTACCCCATATCAATGAAAGTACGGGCCGATTTCATTTAGGGGGACTATCAAATGTGGTAAACGTCTGGGCTTTCGACGTCCGGGACCAAAGAGCTTCTATAACATAGATTAGCACGAATGTATCTTACTCAACACTTTGAGTGGCCTGGAGATAGAAAAAGGGTGAAATATATTGCCGTCCCCATGGGCAAATGGGTGCGGACGTGTTGATGTTATCAGCTGTATGGCCTGACGTAAATCAGAAATTTTGCAAAGGACTGTCATTTCCCTGTACAGATCTTGTGACACGCCTATTTCCTTCTGGGTGAAATAATGCTATGATCAGCGCATGAGATCAAATGGCGCAGAAATGTTTCTTTCACATGTTTTGCGTAAACGATATCAGTATCAGCGATACCTTGATCCATCACTAATCTCTGCCATCGCAAACTATACATACCCTCTGTGACGCGTTATAATAAAGTCTACGGAAAATTTTCAGGTTCTCTCTTTAATCTGCGTCTGATATTGACAGCAAACCTGATGAATTTAATGAATAGCCTAAAACATTTTTTAAAACTCTTATGTGATAAAAAGAAATAATGATAGGTAGGAATTCGCCAAAATTTTCCAGAATCTCACCTAATGCTTGATTGCTAAGCTAGCGATGAGGTTCATGATATTATTCATTATACAAAAAAATTATGAAAAGCTCTAAAGCTACCAATGCGTCAAGGGAAACTTCCTTTTTGTGTTGAGCCAACGCCCCGCTATTCAGCTGTTCACAATTGAGCCTCCATAATCCTAAGATCGATATTCTCATCGCCTCCCCCTGCCATTGTTTTACACTCAATACAATTAGTGGGCAGAATTTTTCTAGGTACAACAGGGGGCTATTGAAATAAACGGCAGTGTCATTTTACACAGCCTACGTATTTTTTACAGACACACACTACATTAAACTGATCTGAATGAGTAGCAATGCTTTTGCCTGTATTTCTGAAAGGCCTACTGTTTACATTCAGCTTGCTTTCCTCCGATTCATTTTCTTAATTTTGTATCCATGTGCTTTTGGCACAATATTTGTGGAGATAATATTATTAACATAAACTGAGTGGAAATTTGAATACAATACGTGTAACAGGCTCGATAGTATATTTATTTTGAAATGACGTAATATAGTTATAATGGTTGCTGCATATCCACATCTTGGATAATAAGAAAACATTATAGCCAAAACTCAGCAGTATGGCAGCCTATGCTGTCGGCCAAACAATTTTGATAGAAGGCAAATGACAAGAAAGTAGATTTAAACAGTGATATGCAAAAACAAATACTCAATCACTACTTATATTAGAAGTTGAACCAACGCCCCACTATAAAGCAGTGCTTCTAAGTCTGATCAATAGTCAAGTCAGCTAACTCTCGCAACACGACATCGCTTCAGATTTGCCTACCTTTACGCTGAGGAGCGTAACAGGATTCTCCGGCGTCGAATCCCTGCTTTGGAGATAGTGTCGTTTCTTCAGTTCAGTTTCATAGACAAGTTCTGCTTTTTCCCCCTGGTATTACTCCCGGTATGTTGGGACAGCGAGTCGATCGTAATCAGCGGCTCGCGTTGACGTGCACGTTGTTCACTCAGGGCGTGACCCACTAAACAAGCTCACCTGGTTGTTCCGAGCTTCATTGTGCGCGCTGGCCAATCGGAGAGCGATATTCTCATACTTATCCTCCAGTGAAAGTAGTCAGATGGTGCGATAACAAAATTGCAAAATTATGCATCTTATGTGTAAAAAGTAACAACTTTTTCGCGATTTCAAATAGTTATGTGCGATATTGCCGATGTGTTAAAACGCTTTTCAGGGACGGGTCGTAGATTTGGTCACGCTGTTTTTAGGAAGTCCACCCTACCTCAAATTTTCTTCTTCATATCTGTTTTATTAATGGTTTATTAAACAGCAAGCAAAATATTTTCTGAAAACGACCCAAAACATAGGCGCAACCTATAACACATATGCTGCAAGGGAATAACATTCCCTAACACTGCAGACGCTGTTACAGACATGCATTCAATGTAGTTTATTCTACATTGTTGATCAACTTCGAGAGCACAATGACTTATGCACTGGTTCATTTCACTTGCAACCCAGTCTCGAATTGTGAACCTTTATCGATTACACTGCCTTAGAGAAGGCTGCCGGAATCTGTTACTTAATTCACGCTTATTTTTCTTTCAAGCTACCAGGAAGGGACACAGGGGAGGGGCCGTTCCCGGCGACGTGACAAATCAGGCTATCTTTGTAGGGGGAGTAATGCGTAGGCGAAATTCGTTAGTATAAGGTCTCTGGCTGATCCAGATAACTATGTGATACCAAGTGATACTGAGTTAATGCTAACAGTAAAAAGTACACAATGTACAATAAAAATAGCCTCTAGATGTAGTGCTGGGTTTCTGAAGAAAAAAGAAAAGGTCATTGTAAATGGCCAAAGAAATCGTCGCAACCTGAACATGGGCTTTCGGTTAGAATTTCTTTTCATTTCTTGACGCGAATAAGATGAATTATAATTAAAAAAAAAAAAAAAAAAAAAAAGGAGAAGAAAACGAGGCAGCGTATTACGTAAAGAGTATGAGGTCAATATCTTTTTACAGCTGATTATTTATTTATTTATTCACAAATGACAGAATGGAAGTTAACGCAAGGAAAAACACAAAGAAATTTAGTTACAAAACACAAGATTTATTTCTCGAGATTCCTGTTAGTTTGTGACACTTAGATTTATGGACTGACCGTGAGTAATATCCACAAGGTGAGTTTGTAGGAACTATAGCAGTATTTCATGATAAGGTGACACATTTTGCACTCGGTTTGGCGCTTGTGCATATGCATGTGTGTGTGTGTGTGTGTGCAGGCCCGTAGCCAGGGGGGTTCGGGGGGTTCGAAAGAACCGCCCCTTTTGCTGGGAAAAGGTCCACTCTGGGTAAAATTTAATCTAAGTACATGATGTTTTTATGGAAAAAGGTCCACTTTTTCATAAAATGAACCCCCCTTTTGAAATTGCTGGCTACGGGCCTGGTGTGTGTCTGTGTGTGTGTGTGTGTGTGTGTGTGTGTGTGTGTGTGAGAGAGAGAGAGAGAGAGAGAGAGAGAGAGAGAGAGAGACTTTAGTTCTAACTTCAATAACAACACGCTCTTTACATGGTTTTCATCGAAATAAATCGGTAAAAAGCCATCGATTATAAGTGATAATCCTGTGAAGTTTCACATATAATAGTTCTCCACGATATTAGGCCTACCTCTGACTGATAAAATTAAATGTGTATTTTTTTAAGTTACATTCGTAAAAGCGCAATGCTAGTGTAACACTGGCAGTAGCGGAGGTCTTCTGGAAACTGTGCTAGAGGCTAAAGATATCTTGTTGAATCATTGTGGCAATTTTTTTTATTATCCACTATATACTATATATACTTGGCCTGGCGGGCCTAGATAGTACATGGGATTGCTATTGTCTAAAATGGGCCATAAAATCTTCCTATTTTAAACACCCTGTAATTATTTTTATGTGCGCAGTGCACCCTTTTATGAATACCATAACATAAATTGCATTTTATGCAAAGTAAATTTGTGTAGAGAACATTCAATCAATTACTCATCTTGAGACAAGTCCAGATATATGGTCTTAAAATCCGTATGAATAATGTCTTTGTTAGTAATGATGGGTGGTAAGAACCCTCAGTAAGGTTGTGTACATGTTGTAATTGGATTTTTAACCCAGCAGCCGTAGGTATTCATTACTGATGCACAACTCTCTTACTGCATAGCAACTGACATTATGATTAATAAAGAAATTAAGAAATATGCCCTATACACACAGATAGACCAGCAGTATAGGCTATCGGTAATTTTAGCCAACGGACCCTCTCAGGACATGATTCGCTGCACAGCACAAATATTGAATTTTTAAGCAATTTTATCGACGCTTAATATTATCATAAGCAATGAGCCGTAGAAGACCAATCAATATTTATCAAGTAGGATTTACAAAGGCCCTGAAACCAATGACACAATAATATTACGTCATAGAAAACTGGATGCGCGAAAGAGTTGTCTTTTTTGACACCCTGTGAAATTTAAAAGTTTGAAATATTAAATATTCCTACATAATTGCCACATTTACATCGAAAAATCTCCTCTTTGCCTTAAATGAATGATTTCCCTTGTTGAACCAGTTCCTTGCGTGGTCTAATCAAGCGTGTGAGCTTTATTCTGGGGGTCAATAGGGTCAAGTCAACTGTTTATGGACACCGACTGCATGCACTGGACATTTGAAAGTATTTTTAATAATTTTATTCGGTCATTCTTAAAAATTAGTGTACTTATTTGTTTTATTTTGAACTTTTCCCATGTTTCATCCTAATTTCATCCTGTTTCGTCCTAGTTTTGATTGATTAAGTTCTTGAAAGAGGGTTCGATAAATAACCTTTCAAATACAAAGATAAATTAAGCGAACAACGCTGTAAAGATCATAGCAATAAACCGTTGGCAGCTTTGCAAAACTGAACACCGGCTGTATTTTTACGAATAACGCCAATTAAACTCTGAGACAGTACGTGATATGACTAATATCACTGTTAATCAGGCCTATATATGTTAAAGGTCTAGGCCTAAGCGTTAAGTTCTTCAAGTTTTAACAATGTGATAAATGGAATTTAGCTGTCTTAGTCGTCTTTGGTGTACTGGTATGTAATAGTATACTAGCGTGGGTTCATCCGTAAGCGTCAGCGTAATTGACATACACCGATAAAAAGCGGCTATTTAGTTGGGAAAAATCATTGGTTGAGGCCCAGATAAATCTTTTTGCATTTTAAGAAAGGCTGTAGATTTAAGCACTGCTTTCTTCACTGCCCTTTTCTCTTTATTGTCCCTTTTTGTTTTACTTCATCCCACCATGTCTGTCAATTGTTCCTTTAAAACATCTGAGATTCTCTATGCTTAATCAAAACTATTCACAAACGTACCCAGAACCAACCAGGTTATAGCAAATATAGGATGCTGTCTCTTCTTGCTGGCTAGGTGGCGCTGATGCTGTGCGCCAAATTGACTGCGCAGTCACGAAATAAAAGACAAAGATGGCTTCCTTTGTTTTGCGGTAAAACTGCTAGATATGGATTTGCATTAAAGTTAATACGGTAAGGACATTTAAATGAGTAGATCCGCGCATACAACATGTAATAATATTGAAATATATGCACATGTAGTGATTTAGTTTGTGACAGGTGAATGTTATCGCCTGGAAATGGTCGCTAAATTTGACCTTCCGGCAGAAATTCGAGAACGTGGATTTCCACCCAGTCTTTCATATAACTTTTATTATGTACATTTGATACATTATCAAATAAATGGATCGACAGATATTTTATTTTAAACTTCAGTGACATACACATATCTGTTTAAAGAAGTTCAGTCTAAAGTAAAGGACGGTCTGGCCATTCAAAATAACCTAACTAGTATCCTTAATGTAGGTATATCAGAAAAATTTTCAAACTGATCAGAAAATTAAAATACTTATATCATCTGAAAGGTAATGCAAAAACCGGATGAAATCATTTGGAATTTTTTAAATATTCCTACAAGCAACAAAGATATTGAAGTTTTTTAACTGCAAAAATCCACCAAAAGTGTCCACACTTCTCAGCTCAAAACCTGTGACCACTGACCAGCAGTGATCACTCAGGCGCAGCAGAGCACCCTGTGTGTCTTTGTGTGCTCAGCCTATTGTCTGGCTCACATAGCCTGTGACTAATCAGGGCAAAGCTATTTCCCTGTGGTAATTTTCACATCATGTAATATTGCGGATTAAATTAACTATACTTCGCAACCTTNTACTTAATGCTCCCATTTATTTTTCAACACTGTCAGTGTCTCAATAAAGCCAGACCTGCGAATACCGTATGCATAAAGCAGTGTTCATTTAATTATATTTGGGGAACTCCCATCAAAAATAAGTAAATGAAATATATGAAGGCCTTAGAGCGTTGACAGAGATAGCTGTTTTGATGTATGCTTAATGTCTTTGATCTGCTACAAATTGCATTTACAAAAAAACAAAAAATAATGGAATTTGATATTTTAGGTAATATCCCACTATCTTGAAAGAAAGGAAAAATACAGACAATGTCTGCTCCTGCTGAGGATGGTAGTCTGATGACTGCACCTGCTCCAGCCTCAGCTTACCAGGATAATTTACAGATGTTGCATAAGGTATTTTCCCATAGATGTTAGATGATAATTGTTTACCATAAAAAAGTGATGTTTGATTGAGTCCTGTATTTTTAATTAAACAAAAGACTTGCACCACACAGTCAGTATTGGCACCATTAATAGTAGAACACATAATTTCTTTATATTTTTTTCCTTCAAGATTAGATTTTATAAATATCAGTTAATATGTTGCAAGTGTGACACAAATTATTTGATGTACCTTTCTGTGTGTAGGCTATCAACTCACTGGAGGAGAAAGGCATGCAAGATGATCCCCGCTATGTTCAGCTGATGGCCATGGCAAATAGAGCCAAATCTGGGGTGCCTCAAGGTGCAGACTCTGGGAGTCAGGGTCCTGGCAGTACTGGTGGGAATATGGGGCAGCAGGGCATGGAAGCAGGGGACATGGGAATGTCTGGTATGGCTGATCAATTTTAACTTTGTTTCAAATGTGTATTGAGGTGTTGTTTGAGAAAAATTGTTATATATGGTTGATCGTAATTTTTGTCTGTAAGGGAAACAAAGACATATGCATTTACACAGTCTGGCCCTCTACATCAATGCCAGATAATTTAAAAATTCTTTGATTCAAAGCTTCAGCTGAGGTGTGGATTGTTGGGGGTGATCATAGGTATTATTGAGGCTACTACAGCAGTTTGTGATATAAACACTTGTTCCATGGCTAATGCCAGTAAAATTGAAGTCGAGTGAGTGGATTTTTGTTAAGCTGTTCAGTTACTGACCACTTTTTGTACTCTGGTCAATAGATTCCTAGACTTGACGGTTTAAAGGACCAGTAAGCTATAAATTATTTACCACTGTACAAATACTTTGTTCCAGGTGGTGGGTTCCAAGGTGGTCCCATGCAGCAGAATCAAGGTCACCCCAACCCCATGCAGGGCCACCAGGGAGGAGGAGGGGGCAGCGGAACAGGTCCCATGCCAAACCAAATGGGTGGTGGACAGATGTCTAACCAGATGGGGAATACACAGATCTCTGGCCAAATGTCCGGTGGTCATATGGGTGGTCAAATGTCACAGGATGGACAACAGAGGCAGTCCACGTTTAGCCCCCCACAGCTCCACCAGTTGAGAGCTCAGATCATGGCGTACAAGTTGCTGTCTAAAAACCAGCTTGTACCTGAAAATATCAAATTGGCCAGTGAAGGGAAGAGGCCTATGGGGCAGTTCCCAAGACCAGGTAAAAATGTTTGTGTTGAAAGGTTATGTTTATTTGCAACTTCTTTCAATAGCATCTTTTACATTTGGCACTTAAAAATATAGTTTGTGATTTTAGAATTTTAATTTGTTGCTAGTTTTAAGGCATACATTTTCAATTTTTCTGACTTTTGATTAAAAAAGGATGGTAGCATAAATAGAGAATTGTCAATCTTTAATCTTTATAGCTGGTGGTCAGATGGGAATGCAACAACAGCTGAGACAGCATGGCATGGGTGTCCAGAACTTCCCCCAGGGTCAGATGATGGGGCAAACCCAGAGCAGTCAAAGTCCAATGCCCCCTCAGCAGCCTCAGCAACAGCAGCAGTCCCCACAGCAGCCCCAGCAACGTCCCCCAGCTCCAGGGACCATGCAGCCAGCCATGATGGGGATGCAGCCCAAGTCTGCAAGGATAACTCCTGTGGCCAAACCACAAGGGATAGATCCTGTGGAGATTTTAAATGAAAGGGAATACAGGTTAGTGGTCATTTTCATAATAGGGTGAAGAAACGTGTTTATGCATTGTTATCATGTGTGTAGTTCCTCTATGAACAATGTATATGAACATTGTATTATTTTCTTGGATGAAGAAGTTTGTGAGAAAACTGATGCATCTTTATGCATCTCTATTATGAATTTTTTAGCTGTGATTTAAAATAGTGGTGATTACTGTTCTCATTTGCTCTCCAGGCTTGCAAATAAGATAGCACTACGTATCCAGGAATTGGAAAATCTTCCTGCTAACATACCAGAAGACCTGAAAACTAAGGCAATGATTGAACTGAGAGCACTGAGGCTGCTGAATTTCCAGCGACAGGTATTTTGTAATCAAGTTCTGGGACTTATATAAAATAATATGAAAGTAAAACAGATATCATACAGAAATAAGTTTTTACCATGTCTGTTAATTTCTTTTAAATTGTTTCAACCACATACTTTAAACTGTTGCATGACCTAAAGAGAAATGGAGGTGTTTAATGGCATCCTTACATTTAATATTTCAGTTAAGGGGTGAAGTTGTGACCTGTATGCGTCGTGACACAACACTGGAGACTGCTCTGAACCCGAAGGCTTATAAACGCAGCAAACGTCAATCACTGAGAGAGGCTCGCATCACTGAGAAGTTGGAGAAACAGCAAAAGATCGAACAAGAAAGGAAGAAGAGACAGAAGCACCAGGTGAGATATTAAGCTTTACAAGTTGTTTTATCCACAGTTATTGCATTAAAAATGTTTGCTATTGATGCATGTTGCAAAGAATTTATGAAAAGAGTTGTAAATGATGATTTTACAGAAAAAGAGTTGTGATTATTTGAAAAGCACCTGACTTTAAAATATAATATAATTTGAGATGTGCATTATTAATTATTTGTTCATTTTCTTACTAGGAATACCTTAATGCAGTCCTTCAGCATGCGAAGGACTTCAAAGAGTTCCATCGCAGCATGTCAGGAAAGATCAGCAAAGTCAACAAGGCAATCATTGCCTACCATGCTAACACGGAGAGAGAACAGAAGAAGGAACAGGAGAGGATTGAGAAAGAAAGAATGCGAAGGCTCATGGTAAGCTTTTCTTAATTTTATTTGTTCTTTTTATTTTGCATATTTTCAAATGAATTGACAGTGTGAATAGTATTTGTTATGGCAAAATCAAACATCTGATTTTTGAATTGATGGTTTGATTTAATTTTCGTCTCTTAGATTTTATTTGTTTAATTAGTAGTGTGAAATTTTGTCTAAGTTTGTGTGTTTTAATAATAATGATTCTGTTTTTCTAGGCAGAGGATGAGGAGGGTTACAGAAAACTTATTGATCAAAAGAAAGATCGTCGTTTGGCCTACCTGCTGCAGCAGACAGATGAGTTTGTGTCAAATCTGGTCCAACTTGTGCAAGAACATAAAGATGAGCAGAAAAAGAAATACAAAAAGAAGAAGAAAAAGAAGAAGGTTGGTACTAGACTATCAGGCCTCCTGAAGTCTTTGCTGCTGCTTAGGAGTTTTTGTGCCAGATAGGCAAACTGTTATGATTCATCAGATTGTAAATTTGATATTTATTAAGGGTTTAACATTTTATTCACTTATTTTTAAATTAAATTAGTTTTACAAATTCTAATTTATTTCTAATTGGACTATCTTTATTTACAGGATGAAAACCTTCAAGAAGGGGTGAGTCGAGTTGTTAACTTCACTTTCTCATAAGTTTCTGTTTTTAAAGGCTAGTTTACAATTTTCTGTGAAATTTATGTTTTTCATCTAGGTGGATAAGGATATATAGCAAGTTAAATGGCATCATTCTTTAAGTGTTAGATTGTAACCAGGCAGAAATGCCTATTTCAGATGATGGATGAAAGCTCCACTGCCAGTGAGATGAGAGTTCATGTCATAGAAACTGCCACAGGAAATATTCTGAAAGGAGAAGAGGCACCTCTTGCTTCACAACTGGATGCTTGGATGGAAATGCATCCAGGGTATGGAATAAACATCTTATTGTTTAATTGCCATGACTAAAAATGGAAAATATCGAATCAGGAATTCATGTTGAAAAATAGACCATTTATGATTTTAATAAGATTTTTAATTATTTGATTAATTGTTAGTTTAAAAAAAATCATGTTTGCATAATAAAGCAGTGTGAATAAGTTTACTCTCTGCATTGTTAACTGATTTACTTCATTTGCTTTTCATTTTACAGGTATGAAGTCGCTCCCAGAGATGAAGAAGAATCTGGTGAAGAAGAGGAAACTGATGAGGTACGTGGAATATTAACATAACAGTTTTTGCATTTTGTCATTTTAAAATGGTTCTTTTAACTCTGGTAATAACATAACTTGTTAGTTTTCATGTGACTATAATTTGTGAGACTTTGTCAAGCAGCTCAGACAACAAATTATCAGAACTGTAATGAGTTTGGGTGACTTGTGTTCCTCTGCTTAAATCTTGGGTTATAAATAAGTCATGATATCTGTTAATGTTATTCCCTGTTTATTTGTAATTTTAATTGAGGGAATAAATGCATTTATTTTGGTGTGTGCAATGTTTCAGGAAGAGGAGGAGGAGGAAGGACAGGAGAGCCAGGAGTCTACTGCAGATAAGACCGCGAAAGAAGATGCTGAAAAGCCAAAGGATGATATGTCACAAGGAACAGAAAGTGTTGATGAGACCATGAAGATAATTCAGTCAGTACCTTTGGATATTTGTATAGATTGAAGGTGTTTTTTTAAGGCATGCAATGGGCTTAAGATCTGTATTAGAAAATATACTATTTCCCTGGAATTTTCAGCTTTGTTCACAGAGTTGTGATCCATGAAAAGTTTTTGATAGGTTATACTTTGGTGATGAAGAGAAATTTGATTTTTTCTTTTTTGCTAGATAAAGGGTCAATATGCATTGCCTGCCTTAAGAAGTAATTGAGTCTAAAATTTACTATGCTTGATAACCTTAAAGTGTAAACTTTGTCTAGAAGGTGCCATCATTTAAACTTGGATCTCCTTTTTATTTTCAATTTCCCTTTTAACAAAGTATTACAGTGAAGGATGGGTGAATTTGGGCATTTGTCACATGCAATAACAGCACTTTCTTCCCAAGGCAAAACTGATCATGGTTAACAGGGGCAGTTAAGCAAACCATTGATATATGAATACGCTTGTTGTTGACATTAATTTTTTTAACTAAGTAAATTGTATTTTTGAAAACCTTGTTGTAATTCTTGTTTTTATTGCAGGGCTGCAAGAATGGATGATGATGAATACAAAGAGACTGGCAGTGCCAGGCAGAACTATTATAAAATGGCTCACAGTGTTACCGAGAAGATCACTTCCCAGTCTTCACTGTTGGTGAATGGTGAACTCAAAGAATATCAGGTACATTGACAAAAACATTTGGATTGTCCATTCATTTTGCATTGAAAAAAGAAAAAAAATGATTTAATCTTCACATTTTGATAATGAATAGATTGGACAAAATATTTTGAATGTTTAACCCCTTTATAGTTACAACATTATTAGGATTTAGAACTTTTTTCTGTTAATTTTGCATTATTTCAATTGATTGAATTGATTAAGTTTGAATTGAATATAATATTGATTACATTATAGCTGAAAGGTCTGGAGTGGCTGGTCTCCTTGTTTAACAACAACCTGAATGGCATCCTGGCAGATGAGATGGGACTGGGGAAAACTATTCAGACCATTGGGCTCATCACATACCTTATGGAGAGGAAGAAAGTCAATGGACCCTATCTGATCATTGTGCCCCTCTCGTAAGTAAACTTTTACACCAAGTATATAAACTTGGAAGTTTAAATGACAGATGAACTGCAATGTATATACATATATTTTTTTCTAAATGTTTGAATTGTTAGATAAGTTTGTTACTTAAGTTTTATGTTACTCCTTTAGTTTCATCACTTTTAATTCATGTGTTAAATAGAATTCTTTAATATAAGTAGATTTTACTCATAGAATGAAGAACCACCACTACAAAATGATACATTTTTAGGACCTTGTCCAATTGGATGCTGGAGTTTGACAAGTGGGCTCCCTCCGTGGTCAAGATTCCTTACAAAGGTGGTCCCAATGTCCGCAGAAACATCCTGATGCAGATGAGAGCTGTCAAGTTTAATGTGCTACTAACCACATATGAATATGTTATCAAGGATAAAGCAGTTCTGGCCAAGGTGGGTGTTATAAGTATATTTCAGCCAGGGTAATATTATCAATGGTTCCTTTTGAATTATGTGAAATTTTTTGTTAAACGTTTTTATTTTGAATATCTATCTATCTATCTATCTATCTATCTAAGTTTATTTGTACTGATGCTGAAATTTAAATTAAAAAAATGAGTTACTCAGGTGTATAGGCTGATTGTTATTTCAAGAAGCCAAATTGACTTTGAAACTGTTTGCCTTAAATTGACAATTAATTATAGATTCGCTGGAAGTACATGATCATTGATGAAGGTCATAGAATGAAGAACCACCACTGCAAGTTGACCCAGGTGTTGAACACCCACTACACTGCCCCCTTCAGAGTGCTTCTCACTGGAACTCCTTTACAGGTAAGAATGATAGATAAGAGTCACTTGGGTGTGTGTGAATTATTTCATTTAATGCAGGGCAGAAATGCTGTTTACTCTTCACAGTGCTATGCCTATGGAGGTAATGCTTTTGCTATAGATTTTAAGACTCTGGAATAGTTTGCTTTGAATAGGCATTTTGATATGAACAGTGTGTAATATGTATGTGCACTTTGCAGTCATGTATATAAAAGGAAAATTTAAAAAAGGGTGAAAACTGAGGTATAGTATTACAATGCATATATTGTTCATTGATGAATGGATACATGCCAGCTGTAATCAACAGAAAGTCTTGTAATTGCATTTATTATTTTATATTATTTATTTCAGAATAAGTTGCCAGAGCTCTGGGCTCTCCTCAACTTTCTGTTGCCCAGTATTTTCAAATCATGTGGCACCTTTGAGCAGTGGTTCAATGCACCATTTGCAAACACTGGAGAGAAGGTGAGAATGGCCAGGGGTCAATTGGCACAGTATATTGCAATTTTAAATGGAATGTTAGAACTTATCTATGGGCAGTCTAACTGAGAATTTCATAACTGGTGTTATGCCCTCTAAATCACAATTATAGCTTCTTTACATTGCATCTTAACAATGTTATTACCACTTTAATATTTCATTGTCTAACCGACACCTTTATTAGGGAATGAGATTGGTGTTATAATAGCCTGTTCTGTGAGAAGACAGAATATGCTTTAAATTTGTGGATTTTCATGGACTTTTTGTACATTATATGTGACAATGCTGACTAAAAAAACTAAACCTTTTATGAATCTAGAATGAAGGATGTATTTTCATAAATATTTTCATTTCATAGGTTGAGCTGAACAGTGAAGAGACGCTTTTGATCATTCGCCGTCTGCATAAAGTTCTACGTCCTTTCCTTTTGAGACGTCTGAAGAAGGAAGTGGAATCTCAACTACCTGAGAAGGTCAATAATATATTGCCATAATAACATTGTACTAGTTTATGGGTAAACAGCAAAACAATATGTTATGAATATAATTCCACATTCAATCATTTGTCAAATATCTTTAAAAATAATTTTATGCATAATTAAAAAATTATATTATGTACTATAGTTGTGACTTTGTAAATACAATGTGCCATTCTTTTGTTTCTAGCATTTCTTTATGATGATGTCAGCCATCCTGTGGGGAGCAGCAGTTTTATTTCAGGGGAGAAGAAGGAATAAGCTCATTTTATGTTTTGATATGTAAACTTGATATATCCTCATAGGTTGAGTATGTGGTAAAATGCGACATGTCCGCTCTACAGCGGTTCATCTACCGGCACATGCAGGCCAAGGGAGTGATGATCACAGACGGGTCTGAACACGACAAGAAGGTATTGATTACACTCTGCATGGTGTGACCAGAACTCACACCCACTAACTGCCGTCTTTGCAGCAGTTGTGTAGTTTGCCAGCAGGAGATTTTTTGATACTAACTTTATTTTTTTGTCTTCTCTCTTCTGTCTAATCTGGCCCTCACACAGGTTGAGTATGTGATTAAGTGTGAAATGTCTGCGCTGCAGCGACTCCTCTACAGTCACATGCAGTCGAAGGGAGTGATGATTACTGATGGCTCTGAGAGAGATAAGAAGGCATGTGATGTGTCAGGGATAAGTACAAAATGAACAGTTGTATTTTATTGTTTTTGTTGTTGGTATTTTTGCATGTTACCTGGATGTAACCTCTGGATGGTTTTGGATGTACAGATTTTTAAAGACATTTCCTGAAAGCATGATGTTACCTTCATTTTTTGCATGCCCTACAAAGTCTTCAAGTGTTGTTTTGTTTATTTATTTATTTTTTTACCCAGATGATATTTTAAACAATGTACTCTTGTGTTGCAAGGTTTTTGTTGTGGGCAATTGGCCTTGTGTTACATCAGTGAGACTGTGCTAGCATCGATAATGCACTGTTGACTTTTTCCCTAGTTTAAATTACTGAATATTGGTAAATCTTAATATAAATGGCATGTGACCTCTTTCTTTCTATTGTTTGTCCGCTTTCTGGGTCTGTTTACTTTATATAAGTTTATTTTTTCGTCTGATTTCCTTGAATAGTAAAAAAATTACTAGTTGCTTCCTGTAACAACTTAGCCTTCATGTTTTTGTTTTGCACTGAATTTCACTTATTATCTTAGTACTCGAGATACTGCTTTTTATGCATGTCCTTAATTCAGTTTGGTTCAAAGAATTTATATAAAACTTAACATTAATCAAACTATTTGAGGAAGAAACTAAAAGAATTTTTAAATAGTGTTTTTCTACCTTACTCCCAGAAGTTGATCTTCAGTTATTGGAAAGGTTATTAGTTTTGAGATTTGATGATTCAGGGTCGTGGTGGAGCCAGAGCCTTGATGAACACCATCATGCAGCTGAGGAAGATCTGCAACCACCCCTTCATGTTTCCACACATTGAGGAGGCAATGGCAGAACACACAGGATTTACCAATGGGATTGTCACTGGGTATGTAGCCTTTGAAACAGCTTGGGTGCAATCAAATATAGTTCATTTTTTGTTGTTGAGGGGTATAACACTGAATAAGTTCAATAAAAATTGCTTCAGAATTGAAAGAAAATTTAAACTGTATTTTACCTTTTTTATCTATTTATTTATGCAAAGTAGTTGCTGTTAAAATCCCCATACTTGCCGTATCGTCCTGCTCTAAAAATTGTGTATTATATTTATTTGTGTGTTTTTGTTGAGTTAGGCCTGACCTTCATAGAGCAGCTGGCAAGTTTGAGTTGCTGGACCGTGTTTTGCCCAAGCTGAAGGCTACTGGACACAGGGTGCTACTCTTCTGTCAGATGACTTCCTGTATGAGCATCCTGGAAGACTATTTCCTATGGAGAGGTAATGTTGTACACAGTAAAATTGTGTTGCTTTCACTATTTGTGGTACAGACTTGCAGACATACATGCATGTGGTCATGTTCACGTGCACACACACACACACACACACACACACACACACACACACACACACACACATGAAGAGAATATTAGTAACATATTAAGGGGCTCTTTAGAGTCTGTACAAGGTTCGTCTCATCAATTAGTCAGCTAAATAAAATGAAACACTGAGCGTTTTAAAAATACTAAAGCAGTCAGACTATTTAAAGACTACTCGATTTTTAGGCTTCAAGTACCTTCGCTTGGATGGAACAACAAAATCTGAAGATCGTGGCAGCCTGTTGGAGAAGTTCAATTGTAAGAATTCAGAATATTTCATCTTCTTGTTGAGTACAAGAGCTGGTGGCCTTGGGTTGAACCTTCAGGTGGCTGATACTGTTATCATCTTTGACTCTGACTGGAACCCACATCAGGTAAGTCTGGATATGTCAGCGGTGTGGATAATTATTTAAGAAAGAGAAAAAAATAGTTTCCATAAGAAATAGAATATGTGCAGTTCCTGTTTCAGAAATATTAGAGATGCTTCTTTGTGGCTTGATCACAGACATGTTGTGGAATAGTTTCATAAAACAGATAACTGTCCATCTGGTTTTGAGTAAACTAAGTTACAATTGATGAATAGTTGAAAATGATATGTGGAGGTAAAAAAAATAGAATGTAACAAAAAAGTCAAAGTGATGCATAGACAATGTACATATGTCATAATATGAATAATATTAATATTTTATCAGGATCTTCAAGATGTATAAACAGTGTACATAGGTCACAATATGAATAATACAATATTTCATCAGGATCTTCAAGATGTATAAACAGTGTACATAGGTCACAATATGAATAATACAATATTTCATCAGGATCTTCAAGCCCAGGACAGAGCACATCGTATTGGCCAGAAGAATGAAGTGAGGGTGCTTAGACTGATGACAGTCAATTCTGTGGAGGAGAAGATTCTTGCTGCAGCCCGTAACAAGCTGAATATTGATGAGAAAGTGATCCAGGCTGGGATGTTTGACCAGAAGTCAACAGGGTTTGAGAGGCAGCAGTTCCTTAGAGCTATCTTGCAGCAGGAGACTGAGGAAGAAGAGGTATGAAGGTTTGAAAATAAATAAAAAATAAAAAAGAATGTTCTTATATTTATGCATAAAATAGGGCCCATGTCTTGAAGTGTTGCTGTTATAACTTGTTGAGAATTTTTATGTGAAGTGAAAGGAATTGATATTGAATGAAGACAAAAGTACATTCAGTAAATTTGACATCTGTAATGCGTTATGATAGAAGGACAAAATAGAGATATTGCTGTTGTTTACTGGTTACAAGTGACAAAGACTGCATTGGGTCGCCAAGGTAATTTTTCAAGGAAGTACAGTTCATTCATAAAACAGAGTTTCATTGCAGGATGAAGATGAGGTACCTGATGATGAAACCATCAACCAGATGTTAGCACGTACTGAGGATGAGTTTGACATCTACCAGAGAATGGACCTGGAGCGTAGACGTGCAGAATCCCGGGAAATTAAGCGCAAACCTCGTTTATATGAGGAGGAAGAGCTGCCGTCTTGGCTTGTGAAAGATGAGAAAGAGGTAGATTTTTGTTCTCAAAAGTGCTACAAGTTCAAAACAGTAATTTAGCACCCTAAATTTTCACATTTAAATCAGTCAAATAATCCATAGTAAGATAGTCACAGAACGCTTTTTTCAATTTACAGCTTTTAGATATAAACTTTTTGATCAGTAAGTGCTAATTGCCAGCATTTTACAGTACAAATATAGATGATAATGCACTGACAGAGTTTTTGCAAAACACTTAGCATTGGTTTGTAAATTTTAGCTGGAACGTCTGGCATACGAAGATGAAGAAGAAAAGTTGTTTGGCCGTGGCTCAAGGCAGAGGAAGGAAGTAGACTATTCTGAAGGGTTTACAGAGAGGGAGTGGCTGAGGGTGAGTACTTTTCATGTAAGATGTTGTATTGCTCAAGAACTCATATTAGATATTTAGCCTGTCCAGTGTACTAGACATCATGTCATGACTTAAATAGTAGTACTTTACCCTCAAATTGAGAGAATTGAAAATTGTGATAGTTTACTTAATTAGTTTGGATCATCAACGAATAAGTTTGTTTTTGCATGTTCATCAGGCTATTGAGGAGGGAACACTAGATGAATTGGAGGAACGCAACAAACGGACATCGGGCAAGGGAAAAGGTCGGAAACGCAAGTTTGTAGATGATGAGCCCAGTAGCAGTTCCAAGAAAGAGAAGAAAAGACGTGGGAGGCCCCCTGCAGAGAAACTGGCTCCCAATCCTCCCAAACTGACCAAGATGATGAAGAAATTACTGGAAGTGGTCATCTATTACAGAGATGCGTGAGTACTGTTATGTAGATTAGACAAGAGTTTTTTTTCTGATTTTGTGTGCTCAGCAGTTGCACATTTTAAAACAAGTGCAGACATCTCAGGTGGCTGTACCCCAGCTTTCTACATAGCAGATGCACATTTTAAAACAAGTGCAGACATCTTGGGTAGCTGTACCCCAGCTTTCTACATGGCTTGTTGTGTTTGTAAAGTTTATTTTGCAAAAATTGAATTTTTTTCCAGTGACAAACGAGTCCTCAGTGAGCCATTCATGACACTGCCATCGAAGAAGGAGCTGCCTGATTATTATGAAGTAATAAGGAAACCAGTAGATTTTAAGAAAATTAAGGTAAAGCAAAAATATAAGGTGTAGATGGTACATCTGTTAGAACAAAGACTTTGGAGTATAAATCACTGATGTATAATTAAAGAATAAGTTTTTTTTTAATTAATAACTTGAATTTAAGTAACAAAAAAGATTACTTAAAAAGTACTTTTTTTTTCAACTGCATTAAAAAATATTTTCCAGCAAAGAATCAAGGACCACAAATATCGTAGCTTGGACGACTTGGAGAAGGATGTGATGCTGTTGTGTCAGAATGCACAAGAGTATAATATGGAGGGATCACTGGTAAGACCCCCTCGCAAACCTCACAAGCTTCTCAAACTCAAAGACTTTGTAAGTAGTTTCTGTCCAAAGGGGTTGACTTGGTGGTAAGAAAGTTTGTTCCCAGTGAAACCCCCTTGCTGCGTGGTACCTGAGTGCTCTCGTCTTCATATCTTGGTGATGATCTTGTTCCATACTATTGTTATTCTAACAGTGTTTTTTTTTCTCCGATTTCTCCTGTTGATACTAACATTTGAGGATTCTAGAAAAATTAGGTTTGAACAAACTTTCTAAGCATCCTGTTTTCCATATGAATGGTATTTTCCATTGAGGTAGCTCTATGGTAGTGCAATTCTGTGATATGCTGCAAATTAGGGAATAAGTTATAATTGATGATATTGCCAGGTGTTTTGATACACTAGAAAGCAAAAAAAGAGTAAAATCTATTTCATAAATAATTAATTAAGGCGGTGAGAGTGTGGGCATATCACTAAAGCAGAGCTACCCCAACATATTTTTATCTCAACCTCTTACGTATGTAGAATTTAAAGTACAGGTTAGGATAGAATTTTTTCTTCCTACGTTTTAGTCACATTTAATATATAAGTCCTTCTGGAAATAGTTGTTAAGAAACAACATCTTATTCTAATCATAGAAAGATTTAGGGATAAAATTTCTCATTCAATTATGAAAAAAAATTGTTCATTTTGTACAGTCTGTTCCATGTTTGCTGTTGATTTTTTGTTTAGATTTACGAGGACTCCATAGTGCTGCAGTCTGTGTTTGTCAACGCCAGGGAAAGGTTGGAGAAAGAGGGCGTCCTCCCATCCCCTGCTGCCAGTGAGAGTGAAGGGGAACAAGAGGCAGAGGGAGGAGAACAGGAAGGGGAAGAGGATGAAGAGGAAGATGGTAAAAGAAAAAATATTTTTGATTCAATAATTAGAAATAGATAGGAAATAGTAGTACCTTGATTTATAATACATTACAAGATTTATCATTTAGAAGTGGTGTGCATTGGCAATTGCTTTGTGAATTTAGGATTTCATAAAACATGATTAAATATCAAAGATAAAATAAAATATGATAATTTTTGGTTTTCAGGCCAGTATCCTAAAGTGAAAATTAAGCTGGGCAAAGAAGGCAGTGCCAAGAAGGTGCATACTATCATCATTTTTGTGATTTTAAATTGATACTAAATATTAAAATTTTTATGTGCCAAAAGAGATGTCGTGTAGTAGTAATATCTGCGTTTATGTTGAGTTATAGGAATGATAATAAGTTGAATAAAATGATGGCAACCAAGAGGTTGAAGTTATACAAAGATATTAGTAGGTATAAAACTATTTTAAGTTATACATCAAATGAGATATAAACTGGTTAAACAAATGGAAAAAAACTATGAAAGTGGATAATAGTGAAAATTTTAAGAGAGATTATAATTCAAGGATTAAAATTGTATTTTAATCACCCAATTTCTCATAATTTTAGGATAGAGGAAAAAGCAAGAAGAAGGGAAGACCTGCCAAAACTAAACCAGTAATAAGTGATGATGAGGAATCAGAAGGAGAAGGAGAACCAGAAGAGGTAAGAACATTTAAATTGTACCTAAATATAGTAGACTCTGCTTAAATCCTCACTTTTAAACCAAAATTGTTGTTTAATTTAAAAAAATATTTATTGAACACATTTTTCCTTATTTTTAGATGAAATTAGTTTTAGCACTGCAAAACATGAATCTTTGTCCAACTTGCACATGTCCAGTGTCCAAGTTTTTCAGATTCTGCTGTATTTTCAACCATGTAACATATGGATATTTTAATCAGAACAGTTCTTTTGCCAGAAAATGTAAAAGAATACTTTTTAAAATTAGCTTTCTTCTAGCCAGCTGTTTGTTGTCAAATGCAATACTGACAGTAATAGTGAGTTATGTTTTATTTCTATGTAGGAGCATTCCGAGATCAGTGAGGATGCTGGGACCAGTTCTCACACCTCTTCCAGGGTGTCTTCGCCAGCCCCTGGGGGGCAGCACAGGAAGAAGACTGCCTAGACAGTATATTGCTGTCTTTTGCCATTTCAAAAACTAGTAACTGTTTTTGTACGGAAATGACTTGTAGATGCCTTTTAGCAACCCCATGGCAGTAGAGGGGGACAACAAACTAAAATGTCATGTAAATTGTGAATGCATAGATTTAGTTCAATTAGTTACTGAATGCATAGATATGTTATTGTTACACTTCAACACTGTATGTCATCAAGAGCTACAGGTTAAGGGAATACAAATATGTGAAGTTTGTAAAAAAAAACATCAAATTGCATGTCGCATCTGCCTACCATTACCATTGTAGTTTTTTTTTTATTAAATGTACTATAAATATTGTAACAAACATTAATTGGATGTTTGTATCACTAGAAAATGGGATAAAATGCTGTTTACAGGGTGTTATTGTGTACTCCATTTCATCTAACTTTCATATACTATCCTCAATTTGTGTTACAAAGTGGATATCTTGTTAGCCTCATAGAAGTACTTTAGTGCATATATGCTTATTTCTTTGCACATCATGTAAATGTACCAACAAGTAGCTGTGTCTAGTATAATGAAAATAAAAATTCCTGATGAGATTGTTAGCAGGATAAGGTGAAAGTATTCCTTTTTCTGGTCAAATTTGGTCTGAAATTGTAGCATGTATAACCAACTAAGATTGTGAAAAGTGACTCCTTGGATTAATTTTTCTGTCCATTCTCTCAACTAAATTCATTTTTACCTCTGCTCTTTGTGCATGGCAAGTTACTTTGTAGAGTGACCATGTAAGAATAAGAAAATTGAATTAAGAGAAAATTGCACTTTTTGCTCAAAATTCCATGGATTATAATTCAGTTAATATTGTAGTAATGTACAATTTCTGTTCAATTGGTTGAGTACAGGACTGGAGAGAGTAAAAATTTTGCATCTGAAAAACTTAGTAGATTCCAATATGGACAAGAGAATTTTTCAGTGGAACATGCAATAAAATGTAGAAGCTGTAAATAATTGTTTCTTTTACAAATAATGTATAATTCCATGGATGATATGCAGGCTGAAGGTTTAACAAAACAGATGACATGATAGTACTCTAGCAAGTGCAATGCAACAAGTTAAATGTTTTTATTCTATAATATTTACATCACACATTAAGCTAATTCATATATAAATAAAAATGAGCATGAAAATTTATGCTATGGCCATCTACCTATCATCTTCATTAAGCTTCCAAATATGCCACAACAAGAATTCAATCGAGCAATGTTATATACATTGTATTTTTTCTTCACATTGTCTTCATGCCGTAATTATAAAGAGTGGAATTGTCTTTAAAAAGTTTAACTGAATACAGACGGACTTAAAACTGAATATTGGCAATACCTGGTTTACAACAATTTCAGACCGCTTGTTCAAACCACACCTACAAACCCATCAATTTGAACTATCCTTCAAACTTCCCATAAAAATGATTAGAGGTTCATAACGGTGGAAACAAAAGACGATGTACAAAGTCAATACAGTAGAATGTTCCTTGCCACTTTTAATCGAACCATTTTATATAAAACCATTTTAATGAGTTTACAACAGAAAAATTAGGTGGGATTCCAGTGTCCTATTGAGAAGCTTTCATTTTCTGTCACAAACTGATCATATGCAGCTGCCATTTCATCATCCATGCCACCCTGATCAAAATCATAGCCATACTCATCACTGAAATTAGAAAATAAATTTGCATGATTAACAAACACTGAGATACTTTTTATAGCAAGAGAAAAGTTTATCAAATGAAATCAATTACTACATGAAAAGTCATCGCAGCCAGACCAGTGCCAGCATGTAGACTAATTCGATCAATCTTCATTTGTTTATCCTATAGAATAAAAAGTTTCTTAATTAAAAAAAAAAAAAAAATGGAAAACGCTTCTAAGAGGTAAATGAGAGAAGAGTTTCATTAGCTTTGTATGTATCAATTTAAATTGTTTTTCTTTTTATCAAGAGCTTATAAAATATGTGGGTATTACCTCCAATATTTCTGTGACTGACCATCAAAGAAATAGGCACAGGATGAACACATGTAGAGAGACAACAAAGAGCAACATTAAGCTTTAAAATTATTATTGTCCCCTGTGAAAGTAAACGAAAAAATGAAAAGACAGCAACTCACTATCCATCATACTGCTCTGGGTCTGCCCACTTCACATATTCATCAACATCTGACTGTGAGTAAACTTCTGGGTATTCTTCTTGAAAACCAGCTTGAACTCTGGTAATTTGCTGTCCTCGTGAATCATAAAAGACAGGTTCAGGCTAAATAAGAAAGAAAAATATGTCTAATTTTTCAAAAAGGTTCTATTAAAGGTAATCTGTATAAGATTTCCCCACCAAAACTAGTTTTTTCTTTCTTTCTTTCTTTTTTTTTTTTTTAGGGGGGAGGCAGGGCATTTTCTCAACTCAAGTTAGCACTTTGACTTGATATTTTACTTTTTTCAAATTCAATAATTTCTTCAACAACATCTGCAATACTGAGATACTGATATTCACACGAAAATGGAACAGTTTTGTATTGAGGCCTTGTACCCTGTAAAATACACGAAGTTGTGAGACGTTACCTCTATCTGCTTGCTCTGAGAAAGAAAAATGTCATAAGGTATGCTCAAATTATAAACTTTTGTTAAAGGAGTTTTATTTTAGGTCTGAAATGGAAAATACAAGAAGCCTTGCAGGATAAAAAAAAATGGCTGTGGGGCATTTTCAAACACATGCAGAATACCTTTAATTGACTTCTCCTCTGAAGGATAATAAAAGTGATTGATAAATCATTTGAAGACTTAAACAACATTCAAGTTCCATATCAAATATCTAAATTTTAGATCAAGAAGAAAGGCTTATAATGAAAGGAGATAGTTATGAATTTTATTTGAGAGCTATTAACAAAATGACCTGAACAACATGTTTGCATACTGTTCTGCAAGAATGAAAAAGGTGAAACTACTTTCTGGAAAATTATTGAACAAGTGAATGGATAAAATGTTTCATTATTTCCCAATCATCTGACCTGTATACCTTTAAAAATAATACACAGTATCTGCATGTGTTATTTTGTCTAATTAAAATAGCATCTTTTTTAGAACATACAGACTTGTGTATTAAAATATGTAGAAAACATCTAATTTACCTGTGTAAACGGATCATCTTGGTTAAATGTGAATGCATTATGTGCATCACTCTTTACAACAGGAGAAGACTCTGCACGACCCCAGTCACTTGCACGAAGCTCAATCACGCCAAGCATCATCTGCTTGATATGCCTAAACAATGCAAAATATTCACAAATCAGACTTACACATATTCTTTTCACATGATAATAAATGACCTATACTAATGTTCATTAACAGAAAATCCAAGATAACTTATTCATTACCCTGATCAAAGATGTCCTTTAAACAAAAAACAACAACAACTATATATATATATATATATATATATATATATATATATATATATATATATATATATATATATATATATATATATATATATATATATATATATATATATAAAATCAGATACATTAATTTTCATTTATAGAAATCATAACATTTACATTGCCCTTTAAGTATCACATACTTGCTGACACTGTCTTCAACTGTACATTTTTTGATCAGCTGGAAGATATCATCCATGGATTTGCCAGAGGGCTTATTGACCATTACTCTCTCTTCATCTTCTAATACTGCTCCTGCAAACTGAAATGAAAGGTGGGGTTTTACTTCATCGTTTTAGCTTATACTTTAATATGAAACAAAATTGGTTAACTGAATTTGTTTAAACATTCCCAATTAAAATGAAACCTTTGGTTGTTTTTTTTCAAAAATATTTTCACAGTTTCTATAATATTTGTTTCATTATGGGTATGGCCTGCACATGTTTTGGTTACTTACTTTGAGAAGCTGTCCTACACATTTGAGATTACTGTCTGTTGGATGAGACAACAAAGTCACAGCAACATCTTTTAATCCTGTACCTAATATATTTATTCTTTGCCATGAATTTCCAACTTTAATCTGTAAAACGATAGAAATTCAAGCAATGAGGAGCTCTACCCTAGGCTTGTCAATAGTGAATCAGTAAGATTTGTATAAGACAAAACGAAAGAATTAAAATCATCCTTCTTTTCAGCAATGAGTCTAAAATCATGTTAATAAAATATTGGCCTTCACTCCATTTAAATTTCAAAATTAATACATCACAGCAAACACTTAATCTGGATTATTTTCTGAAAACGAAAAAAAATTACATTACATTTTATTAGTTGTAACATAAAGCTTAATGCTTTTATTACCTTCATATGTAGAAAGAGTTCCCCCATAAACATGGCAAATCCATGTAATCTACTAACTTGATTGCTATCTTTCACAAGCTCTTCCCTTTTTAAGTGTTCTTGATGACACCTTTTGAGATAAGTATAAATGCAAAATTGAAATGTCTACCAATTAAAAAATCATAATAACAATATACTAATAACATTCATTTCCTTCCTCATCAGCTAAAAGTTACTTGAAAAAAAAAATTACTATAAAAAAGCAACATCGAATGCATTTTTAAAAATAAAATGCAACAATAACTAACGAATGTATAATCATAATATCAAATAATACATCATGTTTACTGTAAAATCAACAAATATAAAATGCATTACCTCTTCATCATGTGCTGTCTAAAATTTCCTGTTTCTCCTTTTAATCTTAAATGTTCACTAAAATGACCACATAGCCTGGCTCCTGTGTAGCGGAAATTGGGTTCTGTAACAGCCTGGGAATAAACCAGTACAATTAATATGGTGAAACATTTTCAATATGAAAATGAGAATTATTTGAAGACAAAATCTTGTAAAGAAGGGAAAACAAATTGCACAATCTTAGAAAAAATGTGAAAAATCAAAGCACACTAAAAAAAAAGATGAAGCAGAATATATAAGTAAATTCTTTACCTGTTCAAATATTATGTTAATAATTTCAATAATTGTGCTTTCATCAGTGACCCATGAATTGATTGTCTCAGTTATTGACTTCATCAGGTCGTCAAAGCTACCAGGCCTCAAGGTCAAGGCAAATATTGTCTCTCTAACTTGGTCTATCACATCTACATCTGGGTAAATATATTCCTAAAAAAAATTACCTTACCAGTTTATTCTTATGGGAACATGTGAGGCTAAAAAGCATCCAAATTTATGTTGCTGACATAAATCAAAGTAAGATTGATATACATGTAAATGTACACTTACATGTATATTGGTATGGTTACACAAATTTGTGTTCTCCTGAAAACATGAATAACTCATTAAACAAAATAATGCAATTAGTAAATATAATCATATTTTAGAAGTAAAAGAATCTGAAGTTAATATTTTGGCATATTTTCAAAAGGGGGGTTCTTTTCCATAAAAACATCATGTACCTAGATCAAATTTACCGAGAGTGGACCTTTTCCTAGCAAAGGGGTGTTTCTTTCGAACCCCCCGAACCCCCTGGCTACGGGCCTGCAGATGTAATGACCATTTCTCCTGTTGGTGATTAATCAACAGGTAGGTATCCTTGTGTGTGTGTGTGTGTGTGTGCCTGCACCCATGTGTGTGCTCAGAGAAAGGAAAGTCCACTTCTGATTATTAACCACTACAAGAAGTAGCAGCTGACCATGAATCAAAACAACTGCATCATACCACCACAATAAGATTTTTCCCTAAAGATATTTGTACTTGTTGCCACATGCAGCAGTCTTTATATCATCAAAATTGTACCTGTTCAGCAACCCAGTTTCTTGGCACAAACTCTGGAGCATTGACAGACAGTGTTGAATTTGACACAATTGCAGAAAACTGTGATGAAGGCTTTGTCTGAATCTTGTCTTCCTCTGGGGCAGGGGAAGCTGTCACGTGAGGTTTCAGAGAATCTTATGGCAATGAAACAAATAAAGATTATATAAAATGTTGCAAGCAAATATAAATGTACAAGCAGTAAATGTGAATGGGCTGTACCATATATTAGTACTTAGAAGCACACATTTTAATATGCATAACACTGTCTTTTTCAGTTTGAACAAATAGCAACTAAAGCATTTGCAAACATGTTCAATGATATATACTGTAGAAATACCTAATGCAAATTTTATGAATATTTAAAGATCTTTAAAGCAGGCCCATGGAAAGCAAAAATTGAGTCAGAGAAATTAGAGACTACATTTTATGCTAGATGCAGGAATGTGTTCTCTGTCAAATTATGACACTGCTTCAAGGGGTTTATTACAAACAATTTTAAAAATGACACAATGTACTGACACCAGATACGTATAAAACATACAGATACGTATAAAATATATAGTAGACTCCGCATATAATGGCCTCACAAAACCCAGATATTTGCCTAAATTGTACTGAATTGGGAAGTTTTGTCTAACGACAAAGAAGGGCACATGTATATAAGGACTGCGCACATGTTTTTAGTTTAATAGACAACAAAGATTTGATATATGTGAGGTTAACGTCTTAATAATAAATCTATCTATAAACCTCCTGCTAAAAGCTGTGCTTCAGTTTCTGGAAGGGGTCGACGGAGACCCTTTTTGTCTGCTAGGTTTGTGGCGCCGCTACCGCCAGTACCAGGCGAGGGCGGATTTGTTTGTTGCACGCGTTTCTGAAATCCTCTTCCCCGTCCGCGTCCTCTTCCAGGGCTGCTGGTGTCGCTGTTCATATCTCCTGATCCCGACATTATCTCATGAACACATGCTTCGCAAAGTTTACCAGCATAATAATAAGTATTGTAACGGAGCACCTAACGCCGCCAACAACTTGTAAATGCGCAGCGTCTAATCGAAAGTGGTAGAACCCAGCTTGTCTTAACAGGAAGTAACTTAGTTTTGATATTCCGCAGCAAATATCAGAATGGTCTACTTTTTATTTAAATCAATGTTAAAAATTATGTAAATAATACTGAAAGATGAAATTATGCTACGAAATTGTTTAAAATATTAATAATTTGATAAACTGTTGAAAAGTAATTAATTCCTTTGAATGTTTTTTACCATCATCACGATCGCTGAACTCTTTAAAAATGGTGAAGAGGAAACACGCGGATCGTTCAAGCGGTGCAGCAGTAGACAGCAAATCTACACCAAAGGATGAGGTTCTTCCAGCAGTCAGGACCTCAGACGAACCAGCTCCAAAAAAGGTGAAACAATACATATATAAATCTTGATAATATTTAAAGGAACGAGACTAGTGTCTGGTCCAAGTTTTCTGTCCCGACTCTCAACTTGTTCGCCTCTAGCCTCTAGGCTCTAACACATATATACGTACATGTATTCAAGTTTTCTTAATGTATTTAGCGAGCTAGAATATCAAAATCGAAATTTTAAATATTGGAGCAAAATCGAATTAATAAATATTGCAGCAGATTATTTTATTACTCCATTGAGGCTGGGACTTTGATCCACATCCACGCAGTGCCATACTAGCAATACAAGAAATCGTGTGATGTCTGACTAGCATTTTAATATAACTTTCATTTTGTCTCTTAGCAAAAATGGACCAACAAACAGAGAGTCCTCATTTTCTCATCAAGAGGAGTTTCATATCGAGCCAGACATCTAATGACCGACTTGCGGACATTAATGCCTCATTCAAAAGCAGGTAAATGTTTTCAGAGTATAAATTGTTAATGCTGGGTTGCCTTAATGCCTAACACTATTTTTGGTAGCAACACCAATCCCCAATTATGTACTGAGATCATATTGATTGCAAGGTTAAATCTACAAAAAAAAAAAAAAAAAAAAAATCGCATTCAGTTTTGATCAATCATGTGGATTAATTAGAGTTCAAGGGCAGTATTAATTATAAAACTTTTGTAATATATTTTCCGGTTTTGATTCTAGAAACAAAAATGGACAGAAAAGATTCTCTATTTGTTGTAAATGAGGTAAGTTTGTTTTTTTGGCGTGATTAATAAGATGAAATGTTTGATACTTGTTTATTATCAACCTTTGCTGGAAGTTTTTGGATACATATATATATTAAACATTTGCTGAATCAATCAAAATTAGATAGTTTTCATATTCATAAGTTTCATTTTATTGTTCTGTTTCATGTATATTTCCAAATATTTGACACTTGAACTTTTTTTAGATTGCTGAAATGAAAAATTGCAACAGATGTATATATTTTGAAATGAAGAAGAAACAAGACCTTTATATGTGGTAAATATTTGTTGAAGCACCCCGCACATGGTGAGCAATTGGTGCGCACCACTTGCGCTGCGCCAGATGCTCGCGCTCCTCAGCTCCCCGCAAACGCTGCGCTCTTTGCTTAGCAGAGGTGCCTCCCAGCCTGCCCCTATCGGACGCACTGTGAACTGTGGGATCATGTGATTTAGTAAACATTACATATTGATTTTTTTCTGAAAGTAATGGAAAGTGGTCACCACGTTAATCAATCAGACTAACTATAACTGTGTACATTTTTGTTGCTTTCGCTGGGGTCTGCCATTTTTCTTTGTTTCCGGCTACCAGCACATGCGCATTGTTGGCATGACTTGAGCAATCGGCGCTTGCACCCCGCACACGCTGAGCCATTTGCCTCAAGAGGCCAAAAATATCAAACGCGTGAGATATTTTGCTCAGCTGCGTGAGAGGCAAACATCTCACCAAAATACCCTAGCAAACGGAGAGAAAACGGCGCAGCGCAAGTGCCGTGCGCCAATTGCTCACCGTGTGCGGGGGGCTTTATGTGTGGTAAATATTTGTTTATAGTTGAAAAGTAGTACTGTTTACACTTCATTATTTATAGTTTGAAATACCAACTCCTAGCAGCAGTTTGAAATGAATACCTAAAGTGAAGTTATAAAAACTTTACATTTCTATCAGGCCACAAATGACTTGAAGATCTCTACTCACAAATTCTTTTCTGTTTTTATAGGGTCAGCGGTGTCCCCAAAGGTCCCTCTGTTAAATTTCTCATAGAAAATGGTAGGTTGAGAAGTGCTGATAGATTTTCTTTCATTGTTAATTTGATGTACAATGCTTATGTTGACATACTTTGAAGTACTTATGTAATATTTTCTGAAAAACATTGTACTACATAGTATGATAAAGATTAAAGTGTTTTCTTATTTATCACAGTTATTATTTGTCTATGAATGGTTTTAATGGAAGGACATTATTCATGGCAAGAGTCAGAGTAAGTTCACACAGAGCATTCTTTTGCTTTACATTTTTCTTGGCATTGATAATTTCAGTTCACACAATGTTAGAGCTGAAAATGACTGGAAACTGCTTAAAATCTTCAAGACCACTGCTTTCATTTGACACGGTATGTTTACCATCATGTGAATGTTTTTTTGTTTCGTTTTGTAATAGCTTTACATTAATATACATAAATGTATCTCTTGTTTTATGAAATATGTTGAGTGGTCTGAATGGTATTTGTCATGTTGTCTTACACATTTGTCATGTTTAGAGAGCTTTTTACAGTGCCTGTGTGAAAGTTAGAATGTGATAACTGAGTTTTTGTGGTATCATTTCAGACATTTGATAAACATCCCTACTGGGCTCTCCTCAAGGAACTGTTCATTCAGACATTTGGTACCCCTAACCATCACCCTAAGAGTCAACCCTTCATAGACCATGTGTTCACATTTTCAATAGCAGACAATAGGATTTGGTTTAGAAATTACCAAATATTAGAAGAGGATGGCTCTTTGGCAGAGATAGGTAATTTGTTTTAAGGAAACCAATGTGGGGAGGTTTTTGATTCCATTGTTCCATCTCGTTCACACAACTTCACATAATAAGAGTTTTAATTTTTATTTGCTGTCAGTTTGCATTTCATTGTTTCATTTGTTGACCCATGCAAACATTTGTTCAATTTTTTTTAGGTCCACGCTTTGTGATGAATCCTATAAGAATATTTGAGGGTAGTTTTGGTGGACCAACATTGTTCTCCAACCCACACTATATCTCCCCAAATGAGGTGAGTGTTGGTATATACCAAAATTTACACCAACGGTAGGCAACATTACTGCAGGTAGTTTTCACTTTCAACATTAATATATGGCAATAGTAATCAATTTAAGTTGGCAAATAGATCAGTCAGACTAGTTTTCAGAATTTGTATATAAATTTTCTTTAAAGCATCGCCGACGACTCCGCAAGAAAAATGCAAACAAATACCTGGATAAACTGCAATCAAAGAGACTGCATGCTGAAAACATGCGGCAACCTTCTTATAGACTGGACCCAACAGATGATGTTTTCACAACCATATCACCTGAGGAAGCAGCTAAATATGAGAAGTAGCAAGATCTGAAAATTTATTGTTAAAAATATCCGGATCAGGAATGAAAGTGTGAAAAAACAAAGTCAACTTCTGCATCCATTCTGTTTAGTTTTGACCGGAGATTCCATTGTGGATAATGACCAAATGGCAACAGGAGTGGAAGTGAAACATTTTTTAAAACTTGTCTTTGAAAATTTGTTTATTCTGAAATACTTAAGTAATGAACATACTGGTTTATATTTAGTCCCTCTTTGTAAGATCTTAGTCTCTAGGACAACAGTCTGGTTTCAAATATTTAAATGTAAATGTTAGTGTTTTCGAGGTAAGGTATGATGTTAACACAACAACTGAAGCCATACTCCTGAGACTCCCCATGCTGTCAATTCTTATTGGAACCTTAATAAAAAATTGATGTGTTCTAGTTTGAGAGTTATCTTGTCAAGTGGTTCTTCAATTAATAAAGACATTCAGAATGAATTTTATGCTTAAGTAAAAATCATGGGATCTTACATGGGGTCCTAAATGCTTTTTTATTACTAGGAATTATATGAATTTTTGCATCAAGGGCAGGATATTCACAAACATCATTTAACATTTGTCCAGGCTGACAGCAGACTGCCAACAAATACATAAATGTCAATGTCTGTGTTAGTAGCCATTTAAAATTTTTTTTTGCAAAAATGTTCTTTGGGGGGGGGGGGGGGTCATGGGAGACTTTTTGCCCAAAAATTAATTTACAGACCAAAACTTCAACTCTCCCATTTGAGATAGATCCATATATGTCCATTGAAATAAAGTAAATACAAGTCATGTCTGCCCTAATATAAAATGGGTGTAAAATTTAATTTTATTATGTTACTTCTGACAATATCTGGGTTAAAGCAGTTCAAAATTTGGATTTAAAAGTGTACAACAATTTGGGCTGAACTTCTTTAGTAATAGTGGGGTCAATGTAACCTGTCTAGGCCTTGGTACCAAATGTGTAAATGCCCCTTTGAGCAAAAACCGAAATTAAACATTTTCATGACATCCAACAGAAAATACCAATTTTTTTTTCAAGGGGACATTTTGTTGAATAAATACATCTACAATTTGAACAATAACAAATACTAATGGAAGATTCATAAAAATGTATTTAAAATAATATCCTTACAGTCTATTACACAAACTGTACAAACATTTATGTTTGGCAATGACTTTGGCTGTTGCCAATTTACAAAATAAATAATTCGGATCAGTTCAACGAATTATAACACTTTGATGTACTGTACAAGAATTTTAACATGTCATCCATGCTAAAAAAATCCTCACTGCAGAGAATGCACCTATAATGTACATTGCAACATCTGTCAATGACACATATTCAATAAATTTCCCATTTTAACGGCTGAAATAAGCCAGTGTACTGTTACATGCTGCACTCCATGGTATTCTACAACAATGAATGAGTAGCATTTGTCTCTCAAAGAGGAGTATACTATATTTGAATAAGAAATTAAGGTGCACCATACTGATAATCATTTAACTATTTGGAGCCATAAGCATGATGTATTCTTACCAAGCATAGTTGCACAATACAGAGTATTTGTATAAAAGGCAGGAACTGCATCACTTACCAAAATTTCCCCAGAAATATTAGTCTCTTATTTTTAGGCGAATGGAATAATCCTGCAGATAACATCTTTCCGGATAAGCATGTGACCCCACAGGATTATTTTCTTATAAAGGTTTGAATTTCTAAACTGGAGAACTAACAAGCACCCATAGTAAAGTTTTAAAGTTTTGCAAAAGGTCACAAATTGAAGTGTGACCACACTGTGCTTTATTTCATTTTTCAATACATCAGAAACAGAATTTGGAGGAAAAACCCAAAAGTTCAAATCAGTGTCATTACTTTGTGCAGTAAATCAGATGTACACTAGCATGGTAAATATTGGGGCCTGCAATATCATTATCTGTACATGCAAATGGGTACAGTAAGCTTTTGTTCTTACTTACTCAATAAATTATGTGAGATTTGCCTCAAATATACAGAGAAAATATAACGTTAAACTTGAATGGGATTATTTAAAACTTTCAGACTTTCGAACACTTATATACACCGGTTTGCACAACAAACCATATTTACACAGCTAATACACTATAAAAATTTCACAAAATAATTTACATGGTTTACATATTATGTACTTAATAAATAATACACATAATCATCATCACATTTTCCAGACTCAGATACCCAATAATTTACCCACACATTTAGAAGTGACAAGAACCATGTTATCACCTTAGAACCATGCAGCATTGAGACTATCCTCATATTTGTGTGGGCCTATGTTATACACAAGTCATGGATTTCAATGTACTCCTGATGTCTTTAACCTCTGCTGATAATATTTTCTACCTGATATCATGGTAATGGTTGAGTTCAGAGATATAGCTGCCTGTAAGTTGTTAAACAAGTTCTCATATTCAAAGTCACTCCTGTATTATACCTTATAGTCATTTCAAGAGCAGTGAGGAGTAATTGCACTGGGTCCCAAATCTTTAGCTCGAGTTCATTTATGGGATTTTTTTTGATACTCAAGTTTTGAAATACCCATTTTCCTGGAACAATCTAAAAGTATGGACTTCCAGGACTACTAACACTGCTTGAACTGTTCTTAGATTCATCGTCTGAACTGTCAGAACTATCACTGTCAGAACTGTCACTGCTACTGCTGCTACTACTGCTACTATCATCAGAGCTACTTGAGGAGCTGGCGTTATCTTTCTTGTCTTTCTCTAAAGGAGCATCACTATTGTTGGTTGTATTTATTTCACTAGCACCTGAAATGTCATGCTTTTCCTGGTCCTTTTCCTGGTTTTTGACTAGCACTGAATCAGATGGTTTCTCACCTGCTGGGGCAGGATTTTCAGCCTTTTGTTTTTTCTCATCCTCATCATCATCACTACTGTCACTACTGCTGCTGGAGCTGGAGCTCCGTTTCTTAGTTTTTTTCTTGGTTTTGTTGGCAGTGCTACTATCACTATCACTGTCACTATCTGACGAGTCACTGGAGGAATCACTGCTACTGCTAGAAGAGGAATCACTGTCACTTTGGGTTGTCTTGCTCTTATGTGCTATAGGTAAATCTGCCTTGTTTAATAAATACGAATTGTTATTGTTGAAGTTGAATAAGCTTTCACAATGTTCATTTTGCACTGTGTCATTCGCAACTGTATCAGTTGTTTGCACACTTTCATTCAATGTTTCTTGATCTTTCTTGTCATTCTGATCACTTGTTTTGTCATTTTCTTTTTGTGGTAAAAGCGCTGGTTGTAATACAAGTGGCCTGCTGTTTTCATCTATCACTTTGTCCATAATTTTACACAGTCTGAGATACTCTGAACGACATTCCTTGAATTCCCCTGATACATCTAAATCAGGGAGAATCACTCTCAAGAAATTGCACACTTTATCACACAACACATTGCAGCATTTTTCTGGTGCTTTGCATAAACCAACTGCAAGTTTGTTTGTCAAATGCCCACAGTGAATCTTTTGAAGGTCTGCTGTAATGTCAAAGCTCTGGCCAGTGACACACTTTCCAATATCTTCCATCAAGTCCTCTACATCATCACTTTCTGGGTTGAAGTCTCCAACATACTGAATGTCTGGGAATATTGTTAGCAAGAATTTGCAGATGTTTGATCTGAAAGTTAGTAGTTGTTGACAGTGGTCAACCAAATGGTCTTCCTTTCTTTTTTCAAGGACCTTGTCCTTGGATGTGAACACTTCATCATAATCACTGTCCGAGTCACTATAAATAGCTACTGGCTTCTTTTTAGGAAATCGCTTAAGTTTCACAGACTCTTCATTAGATTTCTCCTGTGCTGCAGTAGGCTTGGCAGCCATGCTTTTGGTTGGTGCTCTATTAGCAAAATTACGCTTTGTTGTCTTGGAAATAGCCCTCGCTTTTGATTTTGAATTGGACTTAGAAATAACTTTGCCTTCTTCCATTTGTGATTCTTTGTCTAAATCTGCCATTATGTCCTTTTTGGTAGCTGGGGTTATAGACGTTGTTGGCATAATAGATGATGTGTTCTTCTTTTCCTTTTTTTCATCAAATACTTTATCAATGAGGGCATCTATGTCCAGCCCAGACGACATGGCCCCACTATCTTCAAGTTCAAAGTCAAAGACACTATCTGAAAAGTTTTTAGATGCTGCAGGTGACAAGGTTTGTTTAGGAGAGGAAAAAGGTCTTCGTTGCCTCGGTGATGTGGATGTTCTTCTCTGCTTACCTGCCTGTTTCACTGAAGTTCTACTTTGTTTTGGTGACGCTATTTCATTATCACTTCGTTGCTGTGCTTTTCTTTTTGGTCCTGAAGGCTTTGTAGGTATTCTCTCCGGTGATTGACTAGTTATTGTTTCACTGTTTGTTCCTAACACTTTGGCGAATATATCATCAAAGTCATCAATATCTTTCTGTGGTTCATCTAAAAGATTTGTGATCTCTTTTTCCATTGCAGATTCCTCTGATGATGAAATTTTGCTGGTTTTCTTTTCTGGTTCTTGCTCAGATTTTGTAGTATTTTCCTTTCCTATAACTGGACTAAATGGAATATCAATAGAAGATTCAGTAACTGAAAAGACTTCACAGGCTAGAGAATTACTAACCATTTTTTCTGCACTAATCATTCCATTGCGAGGACTTTTTGATGCCTTTGTTTTCCGTGACCCTGGTTTCACTGGAACAAAATAGTCTTTTTCAGAGAATGATTTATTCAATTCTTCTCCCTGAGTGGAAGATTTGCGTGTTCTTAGTCTTTTACTTCCTAGGTCAACATCTCCAGTGTTTTCACAAAGTAAGGCAACATCACGTGAAACCCGCTTTCTGGATTTTTCTCTGTTCTTCTCACTGTTGGTTTTATCTGCTAAGCGAGGGCTCGGTCTAGTTTTCAGGTTAGATTTTTGTGGTAGGCCTACAGATACACTTTCTTGTCCAGATTTGGGTGTAGAGGTAAGAACCTCATCATCTTTAAACATAGTAAGAGTATCTGACAATTTAGTAGTGTCTTTTTCATCATCGTTTTCATCAAACACAAACACATCTGTCAATTTTGATTTTTGTTTCTCAATTTTTCTTCTTTCTGTCATTTTTGTCTTTCCTTTCTTTACAGGTTCTGTTGCCAGAGGCTCAGTTGTTTCCTTGTTAACTTCTTCCTCTTGTTTGGGGCTTTCATTTAAGAAGTCAAAGATATCATCTGGAATTGTACTGGTGTTCTTAGGAGTCTTATTCTTTAAAATTTTCTCCTTTTCAACAGGCATGGAAATATTGCTTTCAGTTGTCCCATCCAAGTCCTTGGATGAATTTTTACTTTTTGCATCCTTACTTTTAACTTTAGTTTTATCCATGACTTTGGGTAATGCACTTTTAGCTTTTGTAAATTTTTCATTTTCATTTCTTTGAACCAAGTCCCTTGGTGATGCAGCTTTAAGTTCAGTAGCCTTCTCATTTCCGTTTGATGTATTCAAGTCCTTAGATGATACATTTTCATTTTGTGCAACTTTTTCACCTTCACTTGTTTGATCGATGTCCTTTGTTGCAGCTTTTCTATTTTTAGTAACTTTTTCAACTTCTGAAGAGAAGGGCGATTTGCATTTTGTGACTTTATCCACTTCTGTGGGTAATGAAGTTTTGTTTTTAGTAACTTTTTCAACTTCTGGAAATAAAGATTTATGTTTTGTGACTTTTTCCATTTCTGTGGGAACCGATTTTTTCTGTTTTGTAGCTTTTTTAGTTTCTATGGGTATGTTTTCCTCTTCTGGCTCACTGTCCTCACAATAAATAGACTCACCAGACATCAGTCTTGCCCTGGTTATGCGTTTAGAAGGAAGTTCATCCAAGGGCTCTTCTATCACACCAGAAGGCTTACGACTACGAGACTTTTGTTGAATCGTCTTTTTCGCACGTACTGGTTTCTTCTTTGATTTATTAGACCCCGTTTCACTTTCTGATAATTCATCTTCCACATTTGAGCTTTTGTCAATCAAATCAGATTCCAACGCAGAGGGTTCATCTTTCTCAACTGAGGTTTTCTGTTGCAAGAACCTCATAAATTCATTTTCAAATGGGTTAAATGCATCATGTGATTTGTTTGAATTTGGGCTGGTTAGGTTGGGACTGGTGAGCATTTCAGACTTAGTGAAAGGTGGAAGAGAGTCTGACACAGAGTTGGACACAGCTCTTACTGGAGAAGCTGATATTTCTGTCACTGCAGACATATCTGAATATTGCTCTTCAGTGCTAAACTGAACACCTGATTTTTCAGCCAAAGGTACATCTTTGTTCTCTGTGATGTCTATATCTGATTTGCTGTCCGACTTGGTCCTATTCCTTAAAACTTTCATTCGCTTCATTTGCTGTCTCGCTTTTGTTTTTGCCGCTCTACCCTGAGGCAGGACATCTTGAAGTGAGTTATCAGGAGAAAATGGTCCGTTCGTTTCAACAGTATTCTTCACCATGCTGGATCTCTGCATATTAAATTCATACTGAGGTGAAGACAGGTTGTGCGGTGTTCTGGAACTGAAGCTTGCAGAACTCTCCATACTCTTATCATCTATGGAGTCCAAACTACTCCTTGTTCCATTCATCTTATCCATTCCCCGGTTTCTCTTTATTTCAGGTTTCTTAGGTTGGACAACAGACACTTTCAGCACCTCATCATCACTGCTGTCACTACTGTCATTTTTGTTGGTAAATGTCAAGTTGATTTCTGGGAATTCATCCTCACTCAGATCAGAAAATGCAGCTTCTTCGGCCACTTTTTCTTCTGATTTTTTCAAGCCCAATTTTCCTGAAGGTTTTGACTTTTGACTGCTGTTAGTTGCTGGTCTATCAGACTGTGGGATATTGCCATTAATGAGATTCGTATTCATTGGAGGGTGAGCTTCAGGTATCATTAAACCTCCTGAGGCTTTGTGAGCACCAATAATGTCTGAGTGTAGGGCGGTTTGCTGTGGAGTTTGCATGGGGAGGAAAGGCAAATTTCCATGACCAAGAAGGTACTGTGCATGTAGAGCCACCAGATACTGTGCCTGGAAAGGATTCATTCCTTGCAAAGGGAGCTGGCTAAGAAGTTCCTGAGGTGGGATTCCTGGGTGTCCAAGCCAGGGTATCTTGCTCCCAGACAAAGCATTTATTGTTTTCTCTTGCTTCTGCTGTAGCTGTTGTGATGCATTTGTGACATGCATGAAGGGATGAAACTGCATCAAACCGGCCTCATTTAGAGGAAGCATAGGTTGCCATGGCACCTGCTTCTCTATTGGACTTGCAGCACCTACTCCATTTGCCATGTGTTTAGCTTTGTCTATAGGCGATGATGCTGACTTGAGTCTGGTATAATCATCCATGTGTCTCACTTCAGGGGAAACCTTTTCTTCAAGGAGATTCTCATTGCTACAAGGGATCTTATTTGGCTCTGCATCTTGTTGCATTTCACAGGGGTTACCTTTGGTTAACAGCAGGCCCGTCTTCTCATCAAGAGTGGGCACAGGCTCTGGCTCTGGAGAGGGACTTTTTGCAACTGGCTCCCAGAGTCGCCCCCAACCCTCAGGGGACAGTATCTTGTGTGACACTGATAGCTCAGCTGGTTTGGTGTTGACACTTTCCACCACACTCGGGGATTTTTCTTTATCTGCAACCGGGATACTCATATCAAGTGGTTTGTCCTTATCTGCTGACTCCATAGCAGCTTTCTCTTCAGCAGACACCTCTGGAATAGGTTTCCACTTACTGCTGTTCTTGTAGAACTCTACATCTTCTCGACTTGGCTGAGAAGTTGCGTTCTTCAACTGATCATCTACACCTTCCTCTATGCTGTTCTCTGCATTGTTTGCTATCTCTGCTGTAGACAACTCTGTTGTATGATTATATTCTATTGGCTTCTCTGCATCTACTTTTGAGACATCCTCACCTGCCATGTCCAACACTTTATGATTGTCACCATTTTGTATTTCATTTTCAACTGACGGTTTAGAGCCATCACTGACAGCTCCTTGACTAAGCTGCTCTTTGGGAAATGACTCACCCTTTGGAGATTCTGAATCTGTAGTTCCAGTTGTGTAATTACCATTCCCACTTCTGGAAATTCTAATTTTCAAGGGCAACATTGGCAGTTTCTTTTCAGGCAAAGAGTCAGAAACAACACTGCTCTTCTCTTCCACAGAAGGAGGACTACTTTCCTTCAAAGACTTGTTTAAACACTCAGTACGTTTTATCCTCAGTTTTATGCTTCCTCCTAATTTGGACTCGACCTGCCATGAATTGGCATTTGACTGGGCATCACCATTAGCAACATCTGGGTTATCTCCATTCATTGGAGGAGTCACATGACTTAAAGACTGTGCTTGAGTTTCTTTGGACTCAGAGGCACTTTGACTCAGCTGTATGCCAGGCAGTTCACTTTCTTGTACTAGAATGGGCTCCGAGTTTATTTGATGGGTGGGGTCAGTTGTCGGATTTTGGTTTCTCAGTGGATACCTTGCTGGGCTTTCTGTCCTCTGGGCACTTCTACCCCTGCCCCTCCCTCGCCCTCTGCCCCTCCCTCGCCCTCTCCCCCTACCACGCCCACGGCCATGAGGGAGAGAACTTAGAGGAGTTCCAAATCCAGATCTATAAAAAGAGTTTATCTGAGAAGCAGCTCCCAAAGACAACTTAGATGGTTGCTGTTGCTTTTGTTTCTGCCATGACTCGTATAAACTTCTAGGTGACTTATGCACCCTGATGGCACTCATAGGAGTCCCCGGGGATGGCACAGTGCCATTCAATCTGGGCTCTTTGAGATGCTCCAATTTTTCAGACCTATTCGACACACCACCAGGTCTACATAGTGTCACAAGAGGTTCATCATCAGATGGAGAATCAAATTCATAGGGATCGTGGACTGCAGGGGTTGTCACAGGTGGGACAATATCATTCTCTTTTTCAGTTTTTTTGTCATCAGCAACCTCTGGTGAGAGTTCATTTGACACAGTTTCACTGACAGGTTCTGCAAATCTCACTTTCCCATGACTTAGTTTCAGTTTCAGTATGATGCTGCCTGTTTTGTTGGGAAATGCTGAGCTTTGTTCATCAGTGCCATCACTACCTTTATCCAGTATTGATGAATTATTTAATTTTTGATCAGTAACTGGAAGCTCATTACTTTTTATGGTCTCTAAGGACTTGACTTGTGACCTGGTAACCCGCGCTGTCACTTCATCATCCTGACCAGAGTCTTTTTCCTGTTTTCGTAGTGAGCTACGTCTGTTTGGTGTTTCCTCATGAGAATGAACCACACTTTCAGCCTTTCTACTCCTGTAATTTCTTTTAGGTTTTTTAAGCTTCTCAGTATTCTCAACATTTCCCTGACAGCTTTCAACATCTGTCCGTACTATCTGATTTTGCACAATTTTTAACTTAGGTATGGCAGGTCTTTGTTCACTTTGTACAACTTCTTCTTCCTCTTTTTGCTCTGGTAATGGAAGCTTGAACCTGATTTTAATTCTATTCGAACCATTGTCAAGGCTCACAACCCTGAAGGTCTCTGAACTGTCTTCTGAATTAGGAAGCTTAGATCTCCATCTCCGTTTCCGTCGACAAATTTTCTTTTTAAATCGTGGCACCAAGTGATGTTGTCTGACTAAATGTAGATTCCTATAGGCTCTCCAACTGAAGACTTCATTGCAATGTTTACAACTATGACACCTTTGTGATGCATGCACCTCTTCGTGAATGTGCAGATGTTTATAGCAGAAGAATCTCCGAAGACAAATTGCACATTTGTACGGATGCTCACTAGGATGGTGGCACAGGTGCTGCAACAGTAAGTGGGACTGGGCAAATGTCTGAAATGAAAAAAATAATCTTAATATGGCAGAGAATTTAAAGTGCAATTGGTTTCCTAATCTAAAACCTCAAAAAGAAAAAAAAAATTCATTGTAAAGACATACTTTGCTTCAATACAGGTCAAAGACCACTGGTTATAAAAGCATAGTTTTAATTTTCATCAAATAACTATTATTTTCCTGACATTATCTAAGTTGCAAATATAATAAAAAGATGAAAAATATTACCAAATTTTCACTTTTATCTTTTCAAAAACATTCAGTGGTAAGCAAAGGAAAAGACATGTTTTAACCATTATTTAAAATATAACCAATGATTGATAGAAAACAACTAATTCATCATATCCAGTCATTACCTTACAACATCTTGTGCACGTGAACATGGTTTGCCTTGTTGGATCTGCTATGGTGTGCTGTGTCTGACCACTACTGGTAGACTGCTTGTTCCACCTTGCAAAATGACGGTAAATGGGCTTCCCCATTTGGCATCAAAACTGAAAAGAAAATGGTCAATGATTTAAGCAACTGATATCAAATCAAGATATGTTGACTAAACATTCTTGAAGTTTTTGGGGAGTTTTGAACTCAAACATTAATTCCTCAAAAAATCATTAAAGGGATAATAACTCTTCATATGAGATCTATATCTCACAATAAAAAACATTGTGAACAACTCATAGAAATATAATATATTCTGTTGTACCACAAAAACAGCAGTTATAGCTATTATTCTGATATCTGAGCTTGTCTTTAGACCTCCATTGATGGCTATACTCTGTTATAATCTCTTAAGAGTTTACTCCAGGAAAATTAATTTTTTTGGCCAAAACTAAGAGTTACTATCCTTTTAATCATAGAAATAACTCATCCCAACTGAAGTTTTGTAAAAATCACCTTTGATCTTTTTGTTGTTTTTTTTTCATAATTGATGTTATTTCAAATAACATTTAATTAATATAACTATCCCACATTCCCAACATAAATTACCTATCAACTTCTGGTCATTGCTACTTTATGATACAAAGGCCAATTTATTCAATATTGTGTAACCAAAAAAGTTTAAGTTGTGTAAAATGTTTTTAAGAACTGATGAAAAACAAAACAATTAAAACTTTTTTCTGCTTTCTGTAAATATTAAATACTATTTTATTTGTTTATCTATAGCAAACAATCACATGCTTATACCACTTATTATGCAAACTAGCTATGTAAGTGTTTAAATTCATATAGTTATAACTTTTTGACCTATAACAAAAAAAAATTACATCTCTACCACGTTGAAATTACAAACACATAATGATGATATTCCATGATGTTATGAATGCAATGCTTTCTTATCACATAATAATCACTAGGTGCACACAATCACCCATACTTTGGTAATGAAGCATATTATCATAATGATTTAACTTGTGCACCCTACAGTGGGTCTTTTTACTTCTTATTCAAAAGTTGTATCTATGCATGAAATAATGACAATGAAGCTCAAAAGAACCATAGGACATAACTCAAAGTGAAGAACTCGACACAGTTATCTATGGTGACCTTCACATAGATAACATGTTCACAACAAGTTTGGACACAATTAGTTTCAGTCACTAAAAGTAAAAACTCACATGCCCCCCTGGACAGTAAAACCAAATATAATGGTCAAATAGCTCGCATATTGCCGATCTTGTGACATAACGGAACCTACTGAGTGAATGTCTACTGTGAGGGGAGAACAAGAAACTCTGCAGAAAGATATACCGGGCAATGCATTCGCACTAATTCGATTTTCATCTTCTATCTTGTCAGATTGTCATTTTAATGCGAAATAGGTCATAATACTTATCCCGTAAAAGTGATGTATCTGAATATTTCATACTTATCTTAGCAATTCAAGACGTGTTCTTACCTGCAAGACATCCGATTGCGATTAAATATTATTAAAGACAGTCGAAACAAATATTTGTAAAAAATTTGCCATCTTCCTTCTAGTGGCCGCCATGTCGAATGTAGTCCACAGGTGCTTGTTGATAAACAATATTATTGCGCGCTAGAAATGCCACGGTACATTTTTCATTGAAATGGCTGAAATACTACATAAAACAACAGAACAAGTGTCCGGTTATTTTTCATACAAGTGAAATTGTTTATCAAAGCCTTTAATATATTCTAATTGTAACAATAAGAGCACTATTTTGTATGTCGCATTAATTCATCAATTTCTTACCTACTTTTTGGTCACATGTCCAAGGGATTGGCGCACACATTTAAAACGCTAATACTTGGGATTTAATGCGCTGATTAGTAGTGGTGACGTTCTACATTGATTGCATTAAATGTATGGCTTCCAATGTGAAGCGACCTATATCTAAATATTGAACATGGACTGCGCAATGTGGCTTCTTTTTTATGCTTTGCAATCCGCTGATGGGTTTAAAATATCGGAGGCGATCTCTGTTGGAGCAGTAGTTATGGGCAATGGCAGCAGTTGGCATCGGCCACTTACGACTGATATTCCGATACAATACCCTTGTAGTATAAGTACAAATACAGTGACAAAACTTGGCTTTTTGATTGTTTGAGTCATAACTTGGATAACTTTTTGCATCCTTATTTCAGTGACTGGAATTTTATCAAGTAAAAGAGTTTACTCAACATCTAAGAAGGCATGCTGCAGATTAGCCAGGAATAAAGAAGAATTTGACAAATTACAATTTTGCTTGTCGTGAAGTCTACATTTGGTATGGGTTGATTGTGACCAGTACTGGTATGTTTAGAAATGTGTAAATACACAAGACAAACTTGATGTTTATATTGATTTTATTTTGCTGTACACGATGCAAATTGTATTGTTTATTTCGAATAAAAATATTTCCACTGAAAATCATATTCGGTTTCAGCATTACATAATTGTTCATACACTGCATCAATGGAGTTCCCATTAAAGGCCAGATGTAAAACAATAACTTTACAGCATAAATTCAAAATGTGGATTGTCAATATCCTACCCATTATCAAGCTGCACAAATCTGTACGGGAATATTAAAAAGATGCTTACAAAAACCTAGGTCTCTCCAAAATACAAATATAATTGGCTATTATTATATTAGCAGTGGTGAATGTAGGCATTTTCATGACAACCATAATTGACTGAATGGTTATTATACAGTTTACAATACGGTGAATCAGAGACCAGTCTATGATGTCCACAAATATGGGAAATACCTCTATGAATCAACATGCTTTGTACAAAAGCAACGAGATGCTACATTTATATCTACTCTTGTATCAAATTCTACAAGCAAATTTGACAAATGACCTACAACAATTAACAATGTCAAGTTGGAGAATCTCAACCATTGGCTTATAAACACTTTCACAGAAATAAAAGAATCCAAGCAAAAAATAATTACTGCCTGTGTATTTGTCGCATTATTGCACATATTTGCTTTATCTGATATTCAAGTTTCCATATCTAAACTTTCAAGCACTTAAAAAAGAAAAGCTACTAAATAAAACAAATATAAACATGTAATTCTTTCTGGCTTTTAGTTAGGCCAAATATGACTCGTATTTAGGGGAAGTCCAACAGGATAAAGTAATGTTGCCAAGGAGAATGCTATCAGTGAACACATTTAAAACATACAGTTATTATCAAACATTGATTAGATCTCTATTGTTTCAGATATCTAGCATTTCCTATAAGATTTTTAACAGAAAGAGCATGTTCAAACTGCTTGGCCGGATTAGAACATCAAAAGCACTCTCCTTATGATTTTCCCCAACATATGAAGTTTATTTAAGTAAGCAAGGTTTGTTTCAGTGAACTAGGTTTCTTAGATAATAAACAAGGCAACACTGTGATCCATGTCCTTACTTGTTGATAGTATTCACTTAAATATGCTTGCAAAACTACAGAGAGAAACACTCCAAGTAATTAACTAAAAGCAATAATAACTCTTCGTTTCGGCCAAAAAATGAATTTTCCTGGAGTAAACAACAATTTTTCCATACTTACCAATGCTTATTGAATCCATTTTTACATTCAAAGTTAGTCCCTGGTTTTTTTCTAAAAAGTTTGTTTTTTTGTTAAAATCTCTTAAGAGATTTTAACAGAGTATAGACATCAATGGAGGTCACGTGGTCTAAAGACAAGTTCAAATATCAGAATAAAAGCTATAACTGCTGTGTTTGTGGTAAAACAGAATATATTATATTTCTATGAGTTATTCACAAGGTTTTTATCGTGAAATATAGGTCTCATACGAAGAGTTATTATCCCTTTAAGGATATGATACAAATCAATGCTTCATTGAAAAAAAAAATATATATATATGACCTGCCAAGGACACACAAAACATCCAAAAGTAAAGGATTTTTTCATCTTTCTGGTCTGATAAGCTGAAGACAAACCATCAGTAACAGTATGCCCATGGACGTTTCTAAGCACCAAGGAATTGCTGTTTGAAATCAACATGAATACACAAACGTTACGGGACAAAAGTTGATAGAACAGATAAAACACAAAATTCTAACAAATCCAAAAAACTCAATGAGCAGAACTTCTATAATTTGGCAAAGGTACTTTTCATTGACCCAAACACATTAAATATATGTCAATGAGCAATCACATCCTACATATCAATCAAACCTGTTGTTTTTTTACAATGGAATGTTAAATAAAAACATGAACTAATCACTGGGGCCACATCAGGTACTTTTTAATTCAATCAATAATAAATTTGATGAAAATAACTTCCTTTGCAAAAACAAGTATATCAAGCATTTGGCTAAAATTTTAAATCCCAATGTGAACCCAAACCAGTAGTGTTTGGGGCAACTTCAACCTGGCCTTTTCTTCAAGCTCCTCATCAATTTACACAATTAGAAATCAAAAGTGGCATAAATAGTTTTTTTATAACTTCTTACTATAAACAGAGACTGAAAATATTAAATTCTTTAAATTCTATATTAAAAGGGTTTAAATGTCTAGGTGTCATTTTTTTCCACATAATATCTAAGTTGGGAGTTTGTGAGATATGAAATGATAATGATGGACTAAAAATAATGATTTAATGAATACATGAAGGCCCTTAAAACTAAATATATTCTGACATAAATTCTATTATATGCTGCTCTCTCATTCATCTGTGTCATGCATCTAATTCAAATGTAATGCAGTATCCCAGGGCTTTCTCTTGAAATTGCACCAAAAATTTCAATCTTTGGTATAGTACTGTTCTTTTGCTTGCTTCCAAAAAGAAATTTGGCGCCTGTTTCCCTGACTAGATATGAAAGATTGCTGAATTTTTTCCTACATAAGCAAGGAGTAAAAAAATCTGTTTCTTGTGCACAATGGTGTTGGTTTTATACATATCTAACCTCAGAATCAGTCTCTGCTAAATATTTACCTAAAAAAGAAAATGTACATATTATTTAGGCATCTTTTATAAATTCCTGAAATATAGGTAAGAGTATAACATATTGTACTGTATTGACAATCATTTCAAAAAGTTGAACTAGAATTAATGTGTTTTAAATTTTAACCAAGATTGAATATATATTAACTGCATTTTCTGTAAAAAAAAATATACCTGATGAAAATCGCTTTTTGGACAAAGATAACCTGTATCCTGTTCCACTTAGTTCAAAGTCAATTCCTGATATAGTGGTATTTTCACAGGAGAACTGCACAGCCACTGCACCTGGTGAACTTGGTCCATCGGCAAGTTCAAATTTAGCCCTTAGATTCCCCGTCCCTCCATCCTCCCCCATATCAGAGATTTCATTCAGTTTCCACATGGCACGTTTGTGTTCCTGTGACCTGAAATTGAGCAACAGGGAGATTACTAATGATCATCTTGTCAGCAGTTTCAAATTTTAATTTTAAGACATAAGGTCACTGTCCATTAGCAAAAATTAAAACAAATAAATAAAAAATTAAAAAATACAGAAATAACATCATAGCATACTTCCTTTAATCTAACCTTGGACATGCACATTCACTGATAAAACAAAAGAAAAGCGAATACACTTACAAAAATCTAGCTGTCTCAAAAAGTTTAATGTGATGACTTACCAAGTCCCAGGAGGAATAGACTGCATTAACTGCACATCTCCATCTACTGGCACAGCCACTGACACTCCTGTCAAAGGAGATGGCTTGCTCATAGCAGCACCATTGTACCTGTAGTCTACACGGAGATCTGTAGACGATGGCTCACACTTCCAGTAGGTGACTATCTGAAGAGGGGTGCTCTGCACACCAGGTAAGGTTCTCACCTGGTTAACAATAATTAAGAATATCTGGGTATCTAAAATGTTTTTATAATTCTTTTATTCTATTGCAAACAGTCTCACTCATACAAAATACAATCTGCAGTTAACACATGTGCCAAATATTAGAACCTACAACAAATGAAATAACTGTGCAACTATTACAAAGATAGTTACATTTTCCCCTACATTTATGTTTTAAAGTATACTTTTATGAAAGATGTCTCACCTGATATTTAAGGATATCAATGTTGAAATAGGAGGCTGATTTGTTTGTCTCTGATTGCATTTTCAGATGTTCTGCCAGTGCAGACATATTGAAAGAATACAATGAACTCCGTGATATGTTGTCTGTGGGTTCCCTGCAAAAATTTACCAAAAAGAAAAATAAATGATACATAAAATAAATATATCTAAATATATATATAAGAACTTTTCAATATGTTCTGGAAAAGGAATGGTAAACAAAAATAAATAAATTTTATTACATAAAAATCTCTTTTCCTTAAATGTAAAACGATCACCCATAAAGGTAAGATGTATGTATCCAACCATATCAAACCCCTTAAGGTTGTTTAGAAAAAAATAGTCAATGTTTTATCATATGTAAGTCAACACTTACTCTGTCACTAGTTGCTTATTTGATATGACTTGTTCTAGTTGGTGGATATTTTTTATTCTAAATGACAAAACTGCTGGGGCAGGGTTATCCATGATGGCTTTCACAATACCAGCAGGGAAAGACATCATGAGGTCTCCTGTTATCTTCACTAAGCACCTGAATCCAGAAAGACAGAAGGCCAAATTAAATTATACTATCAAATTTCACATCTGAGAAAGTGTGTCACTTGCCAATGCCACGTATTTTACCTTTATCTGCAATGAGGAAAAAAAAAAGAGATATTCCTTAAATGTTGAGCACTGAGAGAGAAAGAGAGAGAAACTTGCCGTGATTCATCTGAGCCTTTAAAATATGCATTGACAGTTTCTGTAAAAGCTATAGCTAATGGAATGGTGTCTGAGAGCCCAATGGTGAGAGGACTTGGCCCCCTGGAGGCTCCCACTGGGGCTGACGTGGTGTTGAAAGTGGCTGAAGACAAACTACCCTGGCTGTCTATCCTGCCAAATGCTGGACTTATCATCCCAGATGGTCTGTTAGAAACCTAGAGGCCATAGGAAATATATTGTTTACCTTCCTATCTCACATATTATATATTTTAAGATATGTACATTAAACATTTTATGACATAATGATGAATATGAATTACACATATCAAGTCACCAAGCCAGACACAAAATGTCTAAAAGACTCTCCAAAGTGAAGAGTATGAATTAAATAGCAAACTAAGAAAAAAATAACAAAATAACATAAGGGTGCAAACTTCTTAAAAAAATCACAGCCTTTGTTTTCCAATTAAACATTCAAACAAAATATTTATGACAAAGGCTTTTATAAAAACAAAACTCCTCACCTGAGGAGCTCCTGGCTTAGTTCTAGGTACTGGTCTTGGTGCAGGCGGACCCGGCAAGGCAGGTGCCCCATCTAAACTGCCCGATGGAGTATTTGGCCTGGGCCTTGGAGGTGGGCCTGGGATTGCCGTGGTGCCATCTAGGCTGCCTGATGGGGTGTTGGACCTTGGCCTTCCTGTTGGTGGGCCAGGTATCACTGATGTACCATCCAAGCTGCCTGATGGTGTGTTGGACCTTGGCCTTGTTGATAAAGCTGGAGAGCTCTCTGAGCTTGCTGGTCCGAAGGCCTCTCCTAAAGAACCGAGATTAATAAGAGTCATACAGCAAAGGGTCAATGTGATACAAATTTTTTATGATAATCAATAGGATGAAAATGCTTATTATCCCTAGCTTCTTGTCACCAGTTTTCATCCACTGAATAACAATAGTCAAATTGATGTTAAAAGTGCTATCTATTCTGTTTAGTAATATGTCAGTTAAGATCTATAGACATTTTGAAACAGTCTCATTCAACTGAAAACAAACAAGGAGATGAACATGCCTATTAATCAAAACTGGCATTAAAACTTGGGTGTACCTGTAGCCGTGACAGGAGTGGTAGATGCTGAGCTCTCCCCTGTGGTGCTGCCTGGTAATAAAGGTGAGGGAAATGAGCTGTAGTTGCCACCAGTAGGTGTTGATGCACTTGACGAGGGGTTAAAGTCTATGTCTAACAGATCCACTACACTGTTGGTTTGTTTCTTCACACTGAAAATAAAAACATGATGAGGATATGTGGGTCTGATGTACTGTTACAGTAGCAAAACAAATTACCAAGTTTTTCTTTAATCTTGTAAATCATTGTTTTGTTTTTGTTTAGGGTAAACCTGGAATTTTACATTTAACATCCATTTGTTGCACAGCATGTTCCCAAACATGTGCCTATACATTCCAGACATTTACAACATCTATCATTTACTTAACTTTGCAGTACTAATCATATTCAACAGCTTTTACTTACTGCATAGTTTCTGAGACTGACTGTGATCGTTTCATTCCATTTTCCATTGCTGCACTCCGCCTCTTCTGTAATGTAATGTGGTGGAATAACAATAACTTTTTACCTGTTTTAGTATTTGCAAAAAGCTGCCAACTGAAACCAATGTTATTATCACATTAACAACTGTTGCTTGAAAACTGCTGATAGGTAAAAATATTTCAAACCCATTATTATATGCCTAAAAAAAGTAACATATTTGGTCAAGTTAGTTTAATGTCATTTAACATGGAGATTCTACTTACAGAAGCTGTAGGGGACAACCTTAAATTCCCCATGGATGCTCTAATATCTTCCACAGTGCCAGTGGCTGCTGGACCCTTTGTGCCGAGAGGCCTGATCTCAACTTTGATCTTACGCTTTTCATCCTCATGATCTGACTCCGATTCTGAGCTTGAAAACCAACCGTCTTTGTCTTCTGTTGCAGGTGCCTCCTCTGGCCTAATCCTGAAGCCCTCTTCATCCACCTCAGGAGCATGCTATAGCAAAGAAGATATAACACCTGTGGCACCAACTCTTTTATTAAAACTAAAAGTTAACAAGGTAACTACATCTTAAAGTAAAATGATACTTTCGAGTACTTGCTTGGCAAAATAATTTCAATTTTACAGAACATTCATTTGGGTTAAACAGCCAGGGTTGTATTAGATCTAGAGTTTGTTTTGTTTTGATTAGTAGACACTTACCACGGCATCTTCTCCTTGTTCATTTTGTTCATTCTGTTCCCTAGAAGTTGAGAAAATTCATTGTTATCCAAATCTCATACTCATGTGAAGAGATACTTGAAAATTATTGCAAATTACTCTTGTCCATTTAATATCACATTCTACAAAATTCCATCATAATTTATTCACAATTCACTTACTCTGAATCTTCTCCTTTCTTTCCTTTCTTTTTCTTCTTCTTAGTCTTTGTCTTTTCCTTTTTGTTTTTGTTAAACAACCCTATAACACAGATACAATTACAATTAGAGTAAAAAAACAGCAAAAAGACAAACACTACATATGAAACAGAACTAATCTACATGTCCAGTCTCCACACCAAATGCATCAGTGACTGAATCTTCATTACAGTGGCTGAAAAACAAAAGTACTGAAATCATTAGTTTCTTGAAATGAACCCAGTCAGTAAATTCCAGGAGGATCATGTTGTGTTAAGTAAAACTACCGCATATGGCACAAGATTGCCACTGTAAATTACCACTTCTGCAGGGTCTGGCAGCATAGGTGAGGCTAATGTTATATGCAGTTCACAAGATCAAACCGACTTTCTTGTACCAAATAAACATATCTGTAGAGTAAATTGAGATATCATCATTTCGGAGAGAGTAAAATAGAGAATGCCATTTGTACATACTTGTATTCAATTTTATTAGCAGTTTTGTCTTGTTTGATTTTTTTTAAATCTAGAAACTATCCATTCAATGACTGATGCATCTGATAATTGAAGTAAGCAGCAAGTAAAGAAAAACAAAAAATCCACAGCAATGTAAGATTTAAGTTCACTTGTTCAAAAATCACAGCAATAATTGAAATATTTTTTAATTTCTACACAATTTCATTTTAACAGCTGGTGCCACATGCAAGAAGCATGTTGTGAAAGCAATTAAACTTAACTTTATATTGTTTGACAAATCTTTGAGAAAAACTGAATAAACGAATTAAAAGAAACTGAACATAAAGCCAGTCCCAGCGGGAAAAGCAGACAGTGAAAAAGCCTTGAGAACTACATCCTTGCCAACATGCATGCCCTCTCCCTGTAGTCTAGTAAAAGTCCATTTTGATTTAGTACATAAAGTAAATACTGTATTAGGAACATAAACAATGTCGTTCTCATATGACGACAATATATTGACCTTCAAAAAACTCTTTTCCAGTAAAAATAAATGAAAACAACTGAGCTTTAAATCAAACTGTGTTAATTAGCTCATTTGTTATTTGCCTTATGCAAAGAGAGTGCTAAGGCTGAATGAAATGGTTTGTGACAGGGAAACTATACAGCACAACAATCAAATACAATGAAGGGAGACAACAACTGAAAGAGGTTCAGAAGAATGTGAGGCTGTCTCAATGTGCCAAAACTTGAGTCATATGTCATAACACTGCAGAATTCTGCTCTACAAATTCAACATAATTTTGCTGAAACTCATGATGTGCTCCCCACTTTGTAAATTTTACTGGGTTAAAAAGAGATGTGTTAAGGATTGTTATACATCTTCGTGAGAACCGTAGGAATTTTTGGCTCCTACTCAAACCACGCTCTTTGGAGTCTGCCAGGTTGCTAGCAGTTTCTGAAAGGAACAGGAGACATGCCTTAATGGTAGCGCCACAAATCAGTGGCCTGTGTACAGGGTTACTGCCTACAGGTGATACAAGCAGGGGCAGGGAAGTTACCTTTTAGTGAAGATCACCACCTTAGTTATGGAAAGATAATATATTATAATGACTGGAACATGGGACACATAAATGCACCATTCTAAACAAAAGGCATTCAAAAATGAATATAAAAAAATAAGACAGAAAATGTGCAATATTTCAGCACCGCTCTCTGGTATTACCCTCCATTCCATGCAGAAAGCTATATCTAAATAATTGGATCCTTACACTTCAACCTCCTGCATTTCCCCCCATTTCCATTTTATCACCTTTCTTATAAAAAAAGATGTATACATGTAAAATCAAAAACTAAATAAAAAACAATTACTTTCCTAAAACACCACATTAAGTGTAAAGGTTATTAAAAAAAAATACAATAATTGATTAAAAAAAATAATAAATAAATCAATAATATAAAGCATAAAGCGGGAGAAGCAAGAGGCTGACATGTTCAGGATATCAGACATGAAGTGGGAATTAGGTGTCCAAACTTTGACCAGTGGGGAAGAAAAGAAATAACCTGTGATGTTATCTGTGATCTGCATGAAAACATCTAGGAAAAAACAGTACAAAACAATTACTACAAACAGTGGGGGAAATTAGGCAATTCACACACCAACAAAGCTTAGTTGATATTTAGGGATTATAATTTGATCTAAGCATTCACTTATCAACATTCAAACTATACTTTTTACCTATATCTATAGAATTTATATGTAAACTATTATCTTTTAGCTATTGGGATAAACAAGATGCTATGTATTAATGGTACTTCACATCTGATAAATCTAATCAGTTTTCTACAATTCATTAATTATTGCTGACAGTGCCTTTGATTTTTTCTTCAGTACAGTACTTATCAGAACTTGGGACACCATACTTACCTTCTTTTCTCTGTTTTTCTATACTCTCCCGTTTTTCTGACAAGTCTGGTGAGGCGGCAGGGGGTGGCAAACTAGACAGATCTGCCTCTTCAAATTCTATGGGACCTAGAAGCAATAATCAAAAGATGTACCTTAATCTTTCAAAGCATGTTTTAAAATTATCAAAGTTCACCATATCATCCAGCATATTTAATATTTTAATATATCAGAAATGATCTACAATCACTGACATCTTGTTTAATATTCATCACTAACAGCTATTTCACATCAGACAAACCAGACTGTGACATACTATATATATATATATATATTTTTTTTTTTACGCTTTCACCATGAATATCACAAACAATATCAAATATTTTTCATGACTCGAATGATCTGATTAATCTAACACATACATAATGGTGAGTAAGATGTACTTTATCAAGCAAAGATACAACATTAAAACTTTTACAGTACAGAAGACAAAAATGTCTCTTACTTCTACCAAATGAATAAATAGAGAGTAAATGACGGTAAAAAAAGTAAAGGTAAAATAGGTCTGACTTTTTAACATGCAAAAACACAAACAATGAACTTCTATCCAATTTTCTATTTTGGAAGCTGAGTAATTACTAACAAAAAAGAAAACCCTGTTTTACAACATCTTATACCTGCTTCTTCATCCCAGATGATGATAGCTTTTACCAGAAGACAGACAGATTTCAGTATTAAGGAAACCATAAACTAGGCTCATGCCAATTTTATGAACTATTTAGATTAACATAATGTTAGCAAGACCCAGGAATAGTATTCAACAAAAGCATATTATAGAAAAAATAGCCCCTGTAGTGACATGCAAAGCTCATGAAATACCAAAACATTTTAAAATTTTGTGAATTAGTTTAAGAGAACAAGCATTTTTTTCTTTTATTCACTTTTGAATAAAAGGAATCTCTCCCTACCTGGCTTTTCTTGACCTGTACTTTTACCCTCAATAAAAGTCTCTAATAATTTCTCCACTGCCAAATCACAACAGCTATTTCGAAATTCTTCTTGAACCTACAGACAAAACACACATTAAATGGCTACAATATTTAATATTTAAACATACTTAGATTTGAACATAACCTTCTTTTTTACAGCTTAATAATTGTTGATGTTCAGTATCTGCAAATTACTTCATGCAAAATGATATTTCGTGTCTAGTAATTACCTCCCCTTTTTTCACATGCTGATCTCCAAGGGCCCTTGCATAACTGTCTATGAAATCTTTCATTTTTGATAAATATTCTACTTCTATTTCTTGAAAATTCTGTAAAAAAATATAATTAATTAATAAGAAAAATATGACATTCAAAGATTAAGCCCTTTACTCACAAGAACAATAACTATTTCTTTTGTCTATCATATCGCTATTAATAGGAAACAAAAACTTCAGATCATAATGGTACATTAAATCAAATATTAAGATACTGAGACAACAACTCTAAAGACTTAAGCTGAAAATAAAATTAAAACTAAAAATGTACATTGTAAACTTACCCGACAAGAATCTGTCATTTTGCTTTCAAAATCATTTCTTATATTGGCATACTTCTCTACAAAACTTCTATAGTCTTCACCTGTAACAAAGAAAAGGAAAAATCAAAGTTGTATTTAAATGCAAAAGGAAGCAAGCCCTCTACCAATACAGCATGTTAGCTTAATATATCCTACAATGTCCTAAATCCTTTAAATAATAGACTGATAAAATGTTCTGGTGTCAATAAACGAAATAAACAAATTACTTACTAGCTTTCTTAAATTTGACTTCTGCCTGGAATAAAAAAAAAAAAACAAGAACATGTATTTTCTTGCATTTGGAAATATAATCCCAGCAAAAGTGATGCAGACATAAAACCCTTCAAGCATTAATGAACCCCATGTACACCAAATATTAATACAGAGTTGTTTACTTGAGTCACTGTAGAATAGGCAAGCTAAACTTTCTGTTTACCTTCTCAATATCCTTTTGAGCAGCATTTTCTCGCTTTAATTTTTCATAATCTAAACACCTTGCTTGGTATGTTTCTTTGGACTGAAAGTCAATAAAATAATTGTCTAAATATAACAACAGCTGTATTGCATATTACATCCAAACGAATGTTTATGCACATGCTTAGCTGGGCCTGTCACTAGGATATATATATATATATATATATATATATATATATATATATATATATATATATATATATATATATATACACACACACACACACAATATTTTACAACTAATTCAAGTACCTAGATTTTAATAGATGATAGAAAAAATTAAAAAGATGTTTGAGAGCATAAAATTACTGGTTTCAGAATTACTACAAGCTTCAACAAAATTTTTTTGCATACATAACCTTTCATTTCACCAGCATCATCATATCCATTAAAATGATCTTAAGATTGGTTTAAGAATTTTTTAACAATACATATCCCCATAGTTAAACTTAGTTTAAAAAAAGAGACAATACCTACCTTATGCAAAGCTACAATCGTCTGTTGTATTGCCTGAACAACCTCTGATGTGGCAGCTTCACTTTCTTTAACCTGGAATTAAAATGAATGAAAGGGAAATGGACTATTTAAAGCAAAACAAAAAAAAATGTTCAAAGATTAAAGGAATTAAGATGGTTCCCATTTCTTTAAAAAAAAATTCCTTGCATGTAAATTCCAAGTAAATAAACAGTTTTAAAAGCAAAGGTCACAATTCAGTTACTTAAGAAGGATGTAACATGTCTATCAGATACAAGCTTGGTTATATAGAAAGGGATTGGGAAAATTAAAGACTTCAAAAAAAAAAAAAAAAAAAAAAACTGTTGATTCAATATAAATTGAGCAGGATGCAACATACTTGCTTGTGCTTTTTATTGAGTGTGTCTGTGTATTTCTGAACTTCTTTGATCAAATCTTGCCACTGATGAACGAGTTCTGCATGCAGGATGGATAGTTTTTCTGCTAAAGTCTTTAAAGCTTGCCAGAAGGGAGAAAAGGTTCTGAAGTAGAAATTACATTACTGAACATAGTAGAACTGTAATAATACAAGCAGAGAAGGATATGGCTGTTTCCTGTTAGATAAAATGAATTTAAGATGATGTCTTCTCCATATAAATGAACTGGAGGAAATACTCAAAGTGACATATCGTATATATTTAAGGGATAAAAACTCTTCATATGATATATATATATATATCACAATCAATACATTGTTAACAACTCATAGAAATATAATATATTCTAAAAAACAAAAACAGTAGATAAAGTAATTATTCTGAAATATGTGCTTTTCATCGGACCTCGTGACCTCCACATATGGCTAAAGTCTGTAATAATCTCTTAAGAGATTATATATCTCTTTTTAGAAAAAAAAAAACACTAACTTTGAATGTACTACAGTAGAAATGGATTTATTAACCATTGATAAGTATCAGAAAATTGTCGTTTACCCCAGCAAAATTCATTTTTTGGCCAAAATGAACAATTGTTATGTTTTAAGTCTTTCTAAAAAAGAGAGCAAGAGGGATTGTCTGACTTCATAGTACATTCCTTCTCTTGCATGCTTTTCAAACACGATGAAGTCATTAGATATTAAATTATATCAAAGGTCAAATTCAACAATGACATCACAGCAACAAGTACTTAATAAATTATTAATTCATTTATGAACTGCCAATGCACTTAGTTTGACTGCTGAAAATACATAAGTAGCAACATCAATTCTGAGCATTCTGACCCATTATAGGTTGTCTGGATTAAAAAATGTGTTCCTCAAATAATATAACTATTCATATGTAATGTGCAAGGATGTAAATACTTACCCTACAGCACTAAAATTGCCTGCTTTATTTGCTAGCTTTCCCAAAGCTTTGGAGTACGTTTCTTCAATAGTGCAACTGTAATTATCATATGCAACAAATTAATATTTCATACCCACGTCACTGGTAACTTTGTATACACACAATCTTGAGAAAATGCTAATTGACCCTAGCTACATGTTTGAAGGGTTGTTTTATATTATCATGACAATTATTTACAAATATTTTCAAATAAATCTTATATTGATTAAATTAAATCCTTCAAACAAGTATTAAATACACTTTACCCCTGAAATTTACTGCTTAAATCTCCAGTTGAGATTTTGCACAGCAAAGAAACAGGGAAAACAATTGTTGCAGCTTTTGTGTAAGGCATTGCTTTAAATTCATCTGGAGAACAAGTGATGAAGACTAATGAAGTCAGAAAAATGAAAAAAAAATTAATTGACTGTTTGTGATATGACAAAATTATAAGATACAATGGGTTTATTACCAAACTAATATAGTGTTTCAAGTTATCACGCTTCATAACCTATATTGGCACGTGCATTCGACTCTATCAGAGGCATAAGACACATTGAAGACCAAATGCTTTTGTGACTTTTTATCTTGTTCAATGTTTCCACAAACACTACTCTTTGTCAACTGAAGTAAATAACATGTATTGGACATTGTGATTGAAGTATTTTCCTCATGCATCAAACCAAAAATGACAACAAAAAAATCATACAGTAACCATTGTTTGAAAATTGTCATACATTATTTTTGATTCAACACACAAAATACACAGAAGCTTATAGACAATACATGTAGTATGACTTTCATATAAGTAGGAGGAAAATAACTTTACACAACAGCAGTCCACACTGACTCTTACACTGATATAAAACATACTAACTAAAGGTATCATTACAAAATATACATACAAAAAAAATGAGTGAGAGAAAAAAAGAAACATTACTTAAATATAATCTGGTACAAATTGTCTTTTAAATGCTTCTATGTTGAGTTACCTGCTGAACTTCTCATTTAAATTTTACTATTTATTGTTAAATGTGCGACTAATGTCCATCATACCGATTGCAAGTTCAGGTGAAACCTTAACCGCCTACTGTTTCATTTCATTTTTTATTTTGTGGACAAGTATTCAGTAGCACTTATAAATGCAATCCACATGGAGACCAAGTTGGTAAGTTTATCACCTCCTTAAGTACAGGCTGGTGCATGAGAAACACAGCACACTACTTGACCCAGGCAATTTGATTTCTATTCTACAGAATAACGATAATTATATTATCTTCCAGTCAATATTGCTGATAACAGATGTTGAGTAAAAGCACTTGGCCCTGCTGAGCACTTATATCATCATGGTATCAGCTTTAGAATAAAATTCCTTTGTAAGTTACTATAGAATATTGAATCATGCAAATGTAGTTTGTATATTCAAATAAAATCATACAAATATGGCATGGTATACATATTTTCAAAATTTTTGTCAGAAAATTTCATGTACTATAATAATGCGTTTCATGAGAATTTTTTATCATTATTGAATTCAAATCATACAAACCTTTCCCTCAAAAATTCCACCAATTCCTTGCTGGATGTAGCACCATGTTTCATGTTCTGGTAGAGTACATCAAACCCATTGTTCTTTTCCCCCTGGAATTTCAATCAAATACTTAAGAGCGCTTTCAGTAAACCCCCACTGAAAGAAAGCACAGAAACTAGTAAAGGAATGGTCTGTTTTTCTTTAAATAAAAAAAAACGATTTGCCTTTCCTGTGCTGTTTGAGATTTTCTGATTTTTGATATTTAAAAATTGGAAATGGGTATTTGTAGGTTGCTAAAAACTGCCATGCCATGCCATGGCTTTTCTATTGCCTTTCACTGACATCTAGATCCTCAAATCAGGCCCTTTTACTAACAAGAAAATACTATAAATGAATCACTGTAAAGGTTATAAATTTCGCAGTTTATAATTTATCAGGGTATACAACAGTATGCAAACAAACTGAAATTCATTTCAAACAACAGCTGCTTATCCAACCATGTATCAGCACAAGCTGACCTTATGAATTAGTTATACCATACAATGATGACTTAAAAATGACCAACTAATGAAAAAAATAAACATTTTATGAACTTTAAAAAGTCTGAAACATGAAAATAATGCAGTTAAATGTTATGTACATCTGCCAAATCAAAATTAAATGGTCAGTTGGAGAGGTATGACTGCCATACTGAGATATGTGTGAAATTAAGAAGTGAGCAAAATTAAGTACTTATTTCAGGGCAGAAAATGTACAAGTAGACAAACAGGAGTGAAACCATATCTATCTTATCTAGATTTTCCTATATTTTAAAAATTATGCAAAAAAAAAGAGATACATCTACTCTTTACAGTAGAAATTATTACAATACCAACAACAAAAAAAAAAAAAAAAAAAAAAAAAAAAAAAAAAAAAAAAAAAAAAAAAAAAAATACTGCACATTGTATTATTTATGTATTTCCATATTGAATCCTTCATTTAACTGTAATACCCTAATACCAGTTCATACAGATAAAATTATTCACAACAAAAAAAAAGTTAAAAACCATGGGGAAGGAGGGGGTAAGAATGGATAATCATAACTATTAACATCCTCCCCCCAACATGACCATATAAAACACAATTTCAACTATTTAGACTTCTATTCGATAGCTGTAATTAAACATGTCACTACTTACTGTACCTCGTTTTTCCCAAAGAAAAAACAAGGCAATAGTTTACACATTTCTTCTCCTTGATTAAATGGTAAAAATCTTACTATACTTAGAGCGCATTCTCAACGAATTAAGCCAGGCTTTACAAAGCCGGTGACCTAAAAATGGCGGACGTACATGAAAGAAAAACTGCCTAATCTTTTAATAGTCTCTCCGCCTCCCCACACGTCGTCCCTGCGGGGTACAGTAATTAAATCTCGGCTCCGTTCGCCATGCGGAAGCTACCTGAGAAATATTAAGTGCTCATGCTCATCAGTTAAACTCGTGGTGAAGAAGGCATGGCGGCTGAAGGCGATCGAAGGAAAAAAGCTCTTCTGTTCTATTCTCTTTGAAAACAGAGACGAAAAAGGAATAATTTTGCCCGTAGAGCAGCAATGAATCGACTATCTAAGGAGATAATATCACCAGAGATATTCACGGAAATATTAATGTTCGGAGCCGAGATTTAATTACTGTACCCCGCAGGGACGACGTGTGGGGAGGCGTGTGAGAGGCGGAGAGACTATTAAAAGATTAGGCGGTTTTTCTTTCATGTACGTCCGCCATTTTTAGGTCACCGGCTTTGTAAAGCCTGGCTTAATTCGTTGAGAATGCGCTCTTAAACTACTTGATTGAATTAAATACAGTGACACCTTGCACAGTATATGTGATTAAAGACATTACTTTAGAGATAATGATTCATCCTACTTTTCTCTAAAAATATAAATGAATTTTGTTCATTGTTGTACATTATAACATAACACATACCCACATCCCTACCAATTGTTTAGACTCATGTCATTCGGTTAAGCTCTTTGCATTTAGCAAGAGCCCCATAGAGCTGAGTCAATCCACATATCTTTGATACCTGAATAATAATTCAGCAAATTATCTTTGTGAAGAGGGTAGGTATATGCCATAGGTATGAGCAATAATGTCCATGCATATTTCTCTGTCAGCCACTATAAGTATTGTGTTCACCTTTCTGTTTTGTGTATGTGTACCTGAGTGTGATGTGACTGCTTGCCCTAAGGAAACCCTATACCCACAACATAAGTCTCCCATATTGTAAAATGTATATACTTGTATTTGTTAAAACACGTATTCCTCCAACAAGTTTAAAAAGATGGAGGGCCATGCTTACACGATCGCAAAACATATTCTACGGCTAAATTGTTCACTCCACACTGTGGGAGTGCCATTTCTTTCCTTGCTGTTTTTCATAGAATCATCAGGGGGTTAAGCGACTTGCTTTTAAGTTGGATCGGCCTTATTTAGTCCATTAATCACTAAGTCCATGGATCATCTGTTCTGAATGCACTCTAAGAATGTCTCAAATCAAATGAACCATGAATCCATTAAGCAATGTTTTCATCATATGATCATGGCCCTCACTTGTTAGAAATGGTAGTGTTACACACCATTTCCATAGATTTTTAGATCGATCTATCCCTGTGGGGAGTCTCACTAGATTACTGTCAGCTTGGCCGGCTTAAGCGTCTGTCCCGCCTACTAAAAGCTGTAAGGGGGTAATTAACTATGGTGCCCGCTCGGCTGACTGCAATTTAGCATGAACCCCCAGGGAGTTAGGTCGATCTAAATCTTAATCTTTAGATCGATCTAAATCTCTGCGAAAGCACCCTAAGGTACACCTGCCTTTTCCATTAAACCAATAATCTAAGGTTCAAAATCACAACTTATCTTTTACCTACATAATACGTATAGACAGCTAGTGAAACTTACAAATAACAATTCAAGGATTTTGCAGCTGTTAGAGAAATTAAGTATATTTTTCAATTTTTAGCACTTTTAAGTGTTACCTTAACAACTCTTAAACTAGTTCTATGAATCATTTTTGTAAGTTTAAGAATAATTACCTCTGCCAAGGAGGTTATGTTTTCACCCCTGTTTGTTTGTCTGTCTGTCTTTTGTCATCAACATAACTCAGAAAGTTAGGGATGAATTTCGATGGAATTTTCAGGGTGGGTCAGAAATGGGTTAACTTAGAAGTGATTAGTTTTTGGTGGTGATTTGGATCACTGTCTGGATCCAGGATTTTTTTAAAGGATTCTTTATATATATTCTATTTTTCGTTATGATGACTGATTTCATTATGATTTGAAGAAACGAAATAAAATGCTTTAATGGGAAGTATTGTTGCTGAGAAGTATTATTGTCTCCTCAAACAAATAAAGAAATTCGAGATAGTATGATAGGGGGAACTGAGCTGCCTTGGCGGAGGTCTGCACTCTCTGAGTGCTTTTCTAGTTAATTATACAATTTTCATTTTATCATCTTTATGACATATAGTGCTCAGTGCTAATGACAACATACACACGCAAAAGCTACAGATGCATTATGTAATGTGATATACCATATCCTATGCTTTGTCTAAAATTATATCTGAGTAAAGATAGTCTAAAAAGAGGTATATAATTGCTATTGTTCTATCAAGCCATTCTGGAAGTTTTTAACACATAGACACACACACACAAACGTTAAAAAATTTACTCTCAGTTTTTCTCAATACATAATGGATAAGGACTCCTAGAGGCTAAGTACTAGTATTGTATGCAAAGGTCACTTGTCTCTCCAGCTAATATGTCCACTTAGGCTCACATATATGTACGTTTCAACCTCCTGATTAACTAAAAATGAACAATTTTTTCAACCTATTAAAGCATAAAATGATACAGCTGTAAAATTGGCCGGAAATATTGTATTTTAATCAAACAGGATCTATGGTCAGACATTTTAAGACATTGGACAAAATTTTGTATTCTACTTAATAATTACCAAATCTGTATAAATAATTCCATCCATCCCTCAACTTATAAATAAAAGGAGAGTAATAAGATGGACATTTTCAATCTTGTCTACTGTTTTTAACTTTTTACACTCAACAGGCTCTAGAAACATCTTGCCACCCGAGACTCCTTCACTTAAAATAAAACAATGGAAGATGTGGGGCGTAAGAACAAGACCAATATTCTCGAGAAAAAAATAATTAAGTGGTTTGACATGAACTATTTGTGACACTTTTGGTGGTATCTAATATAGTGTAGCAGGTGGGTGTCAAATCCGATTGTCAGAGCCAAAAAAATGTTAGGTGCACAGCAAGGCGTCTGTATTTGTTGAAACTGTAGTTAAAAACAAAAGGTCAATGAATGTATGTGATATTCAAATAGTACAACAATCGCATTTCACTTACCCAAAAATTGTCTTCAAACGACGGCATTATGAGATGCAAGTTACACTACTAATACTATAAATCATTTTGCTTAAAATGGCGAGATTTATTTTGAACATAATGCGCATGCGTAACTCTTTTTTACTTCTTTGCTATAGCTGTCGCCCCCCTCAAGAAACTTTTTTCAAGATGTAAGTGATATAGTGAAAGTTACGCATCATTAAATTTTGAGTATATTTTGACCACCTTTGTATGTAAATAAGAATTACTCTCTACGATACCCATCATTTATAAGGTAACAACATGACTGTTTTCGATTGGCTTATCTTGATGACGTAGCAGAGCGCGTTCTGCGAAACGCAATATTTGCAGAGAAAAAGTATTTTGAAGATGAATATACGAAAACACGATTGAATTTCACAGGTAAAAAAGTTGTTCAATTAACTTTTGTTATACTTTTTCCCTTTTTCATCCATTCCAACTGGCACTGTACTCTAAGAATGCTAGATCTACTTATACCATTTACCGACATTTAAGACCCGCTGCCAAGCTTGGCAGCCACGATAATGTGACGATTGACATCCTCCATTGTATTGTTCCTGTTAGAACTTCTAAACTCACATGTATGGATCATATGTATTTTGCACTTTAAATAAGTCTTAAGTGTTAGACCATTCATGACATTGTTAAAATGTATTACCTAACCACCAGTAGTAGGCCACTGATTATGTTTAAAATTAGAATGTCTGATATTTTTTTAGCCAAAGCTTTGTCTTGACTGTATATCATCATTTATTTTTAAATATAAAACAAATATGATGAATATAACATAATTTGGTATACAAATTGACACATAAAAATGGAAGTAATTTGTTGATAAAGTCAAAGATATTTTTTTGTATCAAAGGTTTTTGATTTGTAGTAGCTAGCATATGTAATGTGTCTCGATATTTAACGCTAACATCACTACTGGATGTACTGTAGAACAACTGGTACAGGTAGATAAGTCACTTGCTAGTTTTGAACTTATGCACTTTTTAGTATTTCAGCTGAATATGTCGGCGGGCCACAATAAACTTCCCAGCCTGCAAGTCACGGACTTAGAACCTGGAGATATGACGAGGGTTTACAATGAAGGGCTTACTCTACCAGTACCTAACAAATTACCCCCTATAAAACCAACTGGAATAAGTCCAGCTGCTTCAGTACTAGTACTAGATACTGAAATAGAAATGCCTGATTGTAGAAGAGATAGACGAACCTCTCTTATGTTATCAAGGCATGAGGTAGGCACTATACAGTGTTTTAATACATGTAGCACAATTTTGAAATGTTAAAATGTAAATAGATATTTCATGCGGTTAAATCATAATATATTAAATGTGGCATATTAAAGGGATAATAACTCTTCGTATGAGGTCTATATTTCACAACAGAAACATCGTGAACATGCAACTCATAGAAATAAAATATATTTTGTTTTACGACAAAAACAGCAGTTATAGCTATTATTCTGATATTTGAACTTGTCTTCAGACCACGTCACCTCCATTGATGGCTATACTCTGTTATAATCTCTTAAGAGAATTTAACAAAAAACTAAACTTTTTAGAAAAAACCAGGGACTAACTTTGAATGTAAAAATGGATTCATTAACCATTGGTAAGTATGGGAAGATTGTTGTTTACTCCAGGAAAATTCATTTTTTGGCCAAAACGAAGAGTTATTATCCCTTTAAATGTTTAATTTTTCTTACACATGTGACATCTTCTTTCATGAATCTGTAAGCCAATACCACTGAATGATTTGCGAGAGGAAGAAACAGCCAATACAATGAAGCTGCTCATTGAAAATGCTCATGTACTGTTAGATGTGCATGAGTCCAGACTAGATGATATCACAAGAAATATGCTTTCAACTACTTTTGGCAGCAGTGCTGAGTTTGACACTGATAAATTAATGGATGCCATATTTACCCATGATAACGGTAAACCTCATTTGCCACAGTTTGTATGTAACAGTATTGTCAAAATATACAATAAGAAAAATGCAACTGACTCATGTAGAAATTTAAAAATGTTTTTAGCACAATGTTTTCTTTTTAGAGCTATGTATATCTGCACATAATGCATATCATTTATATGTTGTTCTGGATATTTTAAGTACGTTGTCTTTTATGAATTTGGATCAAAGCAATAATAACTCTTTGAGATTCAAAATTCCGCAAGAAATACATTGTAAACAACGCATGAAAATATATTCTATTGTATTTTACCACTAAAACAGCTCTTATTGTAGTAAAACTAAAATCTGTGCTTGTCAATAGGGCTTTCGATGCCTTTCTTCCCGGTCGTCACGGCATCCGTTGCCAATGATGTTGGGGTGTCACGCGGATTCTCGCATTCAATCGAGACCAAAATAACGTATGGCGCCAAACGCATGATGCAATCTGCAGAATAAGTTGCGAGTATTTGTACAGTGCGTCGGATAACGAAAAGCCCAGAATTGCACATATTGTAGATTAGCATGAAAATTCATGTGTTAGCACTCCTATTGACGATTCTGATATGTACTGGCTGTGCTAACACATGAAAGCAAAGGCCTCAAAAAGTTGGAAATGAAAACCGGTTGCCGAAAATTATTATTTTACATCTCATCTCCTCATCACACACGTTACTGTGAAGCCAACCAGTTTTCCCATCAACAGAGGTATCACTTTCCTTAAATTCATCTGTCTATCTACCAGTTTGACCATCGTAAAATCATACACCCCTTATAAACAGATGAAAACCAGGTCAAATCTACTCAGGTCATGACGCGAGGGCCAGTAACCTACTGCACATGAGCCGAATTGATTTAAAGACTGTGTCTTCTAGTTGATTTTCACTATGTATTTATGACAATATAAACATTTATTTGGAATGAAAAATGGTTGAAAATTCCATTTCGGCTACTTTATTTTCATCAATTCAGTTAATTGTGTCAGAAAGGTAAAGAGCGGGTGACTTGCCTAGTGCTCCTCGTTCCAGCCGAGTCCAGACAGCCTGTGGACCACAAGTTCCGCTCATGCGCAGTAGCTTACTGGCAGTTGACCTGAGTAGATTTGACCTGTTTTTCGTCTGTTTATAGCGGATGTATGATTTTACGACGGTCAAACTGGTAGATAGACAGATGAGTTTAAGGAAAGTGATACCTGTGTTGATGGGAAAACTGGTTGGCTTCACAGTAATGTGTGTGATGAGATGAGATGTAAAATAAAAATTTAAGAGCTGCCACACCGCGGCTGGTTCGGCAACCGGTTTTCATTTCCAACTTTTTGAGGCCTTTGCTTTCATGCGTTAGCCAGTACATATCAGAATCGTCAATAGGAGTGCTTGTCTGCTTTTCCCGCGGTTTTAAGTAGGTCACCAGAAAATATTGCTCTATATCGCGTGACTATGCAGTGTCAGAGAGGGCTCCGTCAGTTAAACTTTCTTAAGAGATTTTAACAAAAAACCAAACGTTTAGGAAAAAAAAACCTGGACTAACTATGAATGCAGGAATGGGGTCGTTGACCATTGGTAAGTACGGGAAAATTGCCATTTACTCCAGGAAAATCCAATTTTTGGCCAAAACGAAGAGTTATTATGACTTTAAGTTAATTTATCCTTTTTTCCTAATTTTGAAAACTTCATGTGCAAAATATGATCTATGTTTTATATAATATGTCTGTCCATCTGACTGTTTGTCTTTCTGTCTATTTATTTATTTATCTGTCCATCCATTCATCTATCTGAGGTATGTATTTTTTATTTTTAGTTCATTGTCTTAGCAAAACCATCCAAGGAACTTCTGATTTAGGCGGTGGTGGATTTGACTATGACCAGTCATGGGTTGTTGTATTGTAAGATTTTTAAAAACAATTGTACCTTTGTTGACGTACATATGTATTGTTTTTTTAAAGGGATCTTTCAAGTAAATGATATTGAAATTTTGGGAAAATATGTTATTTGGAATATCATCTAACTTTCATTACGTGTTAATTTACATCATTTTTCTTATTATATACAGACACTGAGTTATTATTATTTATTTATTTATTTATTTATTTATTTATTTATTTATTTATTAATATAATTTTTTTTTTTTGCACAATTTTGGCAATTAATGTATGGCCTCATAACTTAAGTAATCAAACCATATTTTTGTTTAAGAATAAATTTACTGAGTGGCTTTGTTTGATAGAGAGACAGGTTGCTGTCTGCATTGGCTAGGTGCTAGCAGTCCATTTATTTCAATTATTTGTTAAATGTTGCATGATATACTAATAAGATGATAATTTATTAAACCAACAAAGTATATGAAATATATAATATCTGGAATCTTTTGTCTTGTAAAAGCATTTATATGATCAATTCCTGCAATTTTCTGCACGAGTGTCGCACTTTATGTTGATAATTTAGTATATCATTTCATACTCATTTGCATGGGAATGTTGACTATACAAACTACAGTATGACAAAGTTGTTCAAGTGTATGTACCTCAGTGTATAAAATAACAGCACTGAAAAGAAGCACATTTTTGGTTTTTCAGCAAAGTTTTTAAAATATAATAAAATTAAGTAAATGAATCAAGAAATAGCTGCAATGAGATAAAAAAAAATAAAATAAGAAGGAAAATTGTCAGTCTCAGAGCCTTCTTTTTGAAATTTATCAAAATTTCCTCTTTAGACAGACATTGTAAGTATCTGCATTTATTCTGTTTGCCATCATTTCCCAAAACATCTGTTGTTCACCCAGTAAATGTCCAAGCACATTTTTGGTTAAGTTCCATTTTAATCATTGGCTCATTTTGGTAAAATGCTGGATCTTTTTAAGAATGATCTGTGTTTGTCTGTCTGTGGCAACGTTGGTGCTTTCTCCACCACTGTCCTAAACATCAGTCCCTATAACTGACAGACCATATTTCTGTTTTACTTCGTTTTCGGAGTAGCTTTGTTTGTTTTTTTTTTAATGTTCCTTGTGAAAATCAGCATGATTGGATTATTTTAAAAATGTTTTTTGCATATATTTTGGTGATGCTGCCACTCAAGTGCCAAACCATTTGTTTCACTTCTTATATGCTGAGTGACTTTGTATGTTGATAAGACAGGAGCTTTTTGAAAATCAGCATAACCAGCTTCTTTTTATAAAAGTTTTTTTTTCTTTTTATTGTCTTTTTATCTGCCAGCTTTGCTGTGTAGTTCCTTTAACATTAAGTTTTGACCTGTTGTGTATGTTCTTATTTTCAGGGGATTGATTCCAGAGCTGAAATCTCAAACTATAGCAATTTGTTCACTTAAACATGCAGCAAATTTAGGACACACATCACAAGAAGTGAAATTTGTCATATACGTGCTTGCAGATGAGGTGAGTTTATTAATAATTATAATATATTTAATGAAAAATAGCAGTGAAGAGCCCTATTCCTTTAAAATTCAGATTAATACTGTAACATTAGCAATAAGCATCAGGTGAAAGTTAACACTTATGCCTGACTTCAGAAGTTTCAGTCTTCATTTGAAGCCCCTCATCCCCACCCCCATATGGTTGAAATGCAATTAAATAATAATAATGATAATAATTTATTTGAGCATTAAATGTGACAGTCAGCCCTACCACAAATAAAAAAATAAATGGATATATTTATAACTATGGATTACTACTCAAACAGTGTTTAAAATACTTATTACAATTATAAATAGATCAATACACTGGGTATCATCTTTCTCTTGATACCCCCATAGAATTAGCCAGCCAGTTGCGTGGCCCTGTTTTGCACGGCCATTTTTCATGAAACATGGTCAGTTTTTCAAATCACGGCCCACGATAAAGCCGTGTATTTCAATACATTCTTTATTCACAATTAATAAATAACACATAAAATTGTGTTTAAAACTCAGAAAAAGATCGTTTCCTGGGTTAACAAAAACGGCCACATTTGGCTTGGCTGTTGCGGCTCTGTCGTTACATGTGCGTTGCAAAAAGGTATGTCAACTTGCCACCGATAGTACACTAATAGTATAATGCGGCCATCGGCACAAAACATTTTTAAAGTCATTTTAAATATCTTATTGTGTTTTAAGACCCAAATGAAAATGGTTTGAATATAGCATGCAAGGGCTATACAGATAAATTAAAAGTCAAGGAAAAGCATATGTTGTTCACTGGATCTTGGTTTTATTTCACGCAAGAATTCACAAGACACGTAAACACTAAAAAGAAGAAAAGAAAAAGAAAATTACAATAATGCCCTCCCTACCAGTTATTTACGTGCTTAAATTTACTTACACAAAAACTGATAAATTTCATTAATTACCAATAATCAATAATAATCAATAAACGGTATTAAAAAACTCACCATTTCTGCCATTCCTTTAAACTATAAATTGCAAGTAGCAAAAGTAAAATAACTGATCAAAAAAGAAAAAGTATACTGTGTGTTACTCCTACAGAGGCACTGTGCTGAATGAAATAAAGTGCAAAACTCATGGCGCACCACCCTGAATGAAAAGTTATCATTTATGCAAATGAATGTCCATTGCATTAGATGAGCCGGTCACCTGGCTCCTCGGCCTCAATAAAAGTAAATTAAACCTTACATAGACCTTAAAAACAGTTTAGTTGGCAAACTGATTCATACTGTCTTGCATTTATTCTCAGTTGTTTAACTTGTTTTTTAGATAAAGGTACAGTAAATGATTGGTGTGACTGTGACATTGTTGTAAAGAAATTTTTTTGCCTGATACTTTCTACATACTTATTGTGTGTTGCACTTGATCAAACAATATTAAAAACTACCATTTGATAGGGCCAAATTTTGTTAAATTTAATATCCAAATATCACAAGAATGCACCAAATTGCCTCTAAAAATCCAAATTTTCTTGGGGGAGGACCCGCAAACTCCCACCTGCGAAGGGGGGCATATCCCTCTACCCCCCTGCTGTGGCCTCTGGCCGTGTTTCTGTCCGTTGGACCTCATTACTATTACACTCCCAGATTTTATAATTACACTCCCAGTCAGTCCATTTCTGGCTAATTCTCTGGATACCCCACTCTCAGTGTGATCTGCTTAGCAGATACACACATACAAAGGCGAGACACCTTTGTCAGGACGAGACTTCCTCGCACATAAGTGCATTTACAATCTGCACAAGCAGACACATTCACAAAGGCAAGACACCTTTGATGAGAACTTGGGTTTTTCCCCTTGTGAAAACCATTTGTCGAAATATAGCACTGACCACCCCCCCTAACACCCCCTATCTTTCGGACTCTGCAGCTGATGAAGGTCACTTATTGACCGAAAAGCACTTTCTGCAACCAGTCCACCCCCTTCCCCTATCAGGTTGTACGTTTCCCGTACAACCTATTTCCTATCTTTGGTCAATTTCATACAGAGGTGAGACGCCTCCTACACCACGCTGAGGTGAGACACCTCACGTCATGCTAGCCAAAAGCAGTACGCTGTATATGGCTATGAACAGTCACACTATCAGATAAAAAAATATAAACTGATACATAAAATCACTCCGTTACACAAACGTGAAAGAGAAAAATCAAAGGGAATTAGAGCATTAACTCTCAATCTGAAGCGTCCCACAAACAATCTCAAAGCTTTTAACTAGGGGCGCTGTCAAAACACACGTCCCCAGGGGCCCAGCCTTGGATCGTGTTATTTTGATTAGAGGTAGGTTAATCAAGGCATGAGCCGACCACCCCCAAACTTTAATCTAGCAAGCAGTGAATTAGAAGTTGGACACAATGTTTTCAGGATTTTCAATTTTTTACAACTTTCATCCATGCATGTGATTAGATACTTTTGATTAAACATACACAATATTTGGTTGACATGAATAAGTTGACCAATAAGTATTTCCTTGTCTGTCTTGAGGACCAACAGGTTGCTGATATTGGCAATTTTGTCAGTCAAATTCATTTTGCAAACTTTTTGTGACTTCCAAGTGAGAACCGGGGACCAAAATATATGAAATTAAAATAGTTTTAACTTATAATTTTCTTGTGCTACAATAACTGCCATGTATTTGTGAGAATCAAGATGATGAGGTTAAATGGCAATGTAGGTTTACCCCAAAGGATGTAGCTTTTCTAGCAAAGAATGAACATTTTCACCTAAATAAGCATTGTTTTCGGTGGTTAACTTTAGAAAGCATAAGGAAGCATAAAGAATTAAATAAATTTGAATCAATACAAGAAGAGCATGAGACAGACAGTCACACCATTTGTTTCCTGAGATATTTTGGGATTCTGACACTAAATTAGATTTTTGCCTTCCATGTATTTTAACATGTAATGAAATTTCCCCTGTATCAAACTGATTAAATTCCTTGGGAATCTAAATTTGTACATGTTGGGTCTTTAAATGGCTGATGTCTTGGATTCTGCAGAATTCTGTAGAATGAATAAAGAGCTTGAAAAATTAAGGAAACTCGAAAAATATGGCTCATGACAAAAGTGTCTTGTTTCTACAACTCCTTTTAGGTGAGGCTTAGAACTTTTTGAACAACCCTTGTGTATAAATGAAATATCTGAATCAGTTCATTTAATAATATTTGCTTTTTCCTTTCAGTCCGGATCTAAAGAAGCCCTAGTCACAGGACAGGCATTAGCCACCATCTTCGCAGATTTGCGCTTCAGACAAGAATTGCATGATGTCCACAATGTTGCAGGCTTCAAGCAGTTACTCTTGGAACATTCGGAGGAGTTGTCTAAACAGGAGAGCAAGCCAGATATGAGAAAGGGTAGCACTTCAGAAGCACTGGTGGATGAGTTAAAGGTGTTTTTTTTAACCTTATGTCACTTTTTCTATTTTTTTTATATTCATCAGAAGCTGTTTATTGCCAGGTATGGATTTTTGATATGCCCTTTTCATCATTATGTGCCTGTATGTTTTTGAGCTCATTCTCCCACACTATCCTGTTGAAAACCAAAACGTGCTTGTACTAAGTCTAAAAGTGGATTTTAGGGGAGCTTCTATCCTGGAAGAGGAATGCTAGCTGATTTGAAAAGAAGACTCCCTTATTATTGGTCTGACTATAGAGATGGTAAGAAAATAAATCAAAATTTAGTTCTAGCAGAAGGTATAAAATAATATATATGTTCAGTATGTCTCTTCTCCACTCTTATGTTTTGCTTCTCATTTATTTTGAACGATGTTTTACATGCATGAAAAAATGCCTCAAGCATTTTAGGTTTTGAAAAATTAAATTTTAGCAAAAAACTTAGAAGAAATTAACTTAAGTTTCCAAAGTTTTCATTGAAGATAGGTGGGTCATACCCGGTGCCTGTGCATTCCTTCTACTGTTACCTTAACCTGATTTTCCCATAATGTACTGTTAGACCGCATTCTCAACAAATTGAGCCAGGCTTTACAAATCCTGAGAACTAAAAATGGCGGACGTACATGAAAGAAAAACCGCCTAATCTTTTAAAAGTCTCTCCGCCTCTCACACGCCTCCCCACACGTCATCCCTGCGGGGTACAGTAATTAAATCTCGGCTCCGTTCGCCATGCGGAAGCTACCTGAGAAATATTAAGTGCGCATGCTCATCAGTTAAACTCGTGGTGAAGAAAGCATGGCGGCTGAAGGCGATCGAAGGAAAAAAGCTCTTCTGTTCTATTATCTTTCAAAACAGAGGCGAAAAAGGAATGAATTGGCCCGTAGAGCAGCAATGAATCGACTATCTACGGAGATAATATCACCAGAGGTATTCACGGAGATATTCATGTTCGGAGCCGAGTTTTAATTACTGTACCCCGCAGGGACGACGTGTGGGGAGGCGTGTGAGTGGCGGAGAGACTATTAAAAGATTAGGCGGTTTTTCTTTCATGTACGTCCGCCATTTTTAGTTCTCATGATTTGTAAAGCCTGGCTCAATTCGTTGAGAATGCGGCCTTAGATGCATATGAGAAGAACAAAAACTGGAGCAGTATCAAAATTCAAACTATACTGAAATCAGTATCTTAATATTACTTTAACAGTTATTTTGTGTATTTCTAGGCATTGTTGGTCCAAACACAATTTCCAAGTGCCTGTCATCAACCATCTTTTTGTATTTCTCTTGCTTGTTACCAACCATTGCATTCAGTGAAGTGAATCACAAAAGCACACATGGAGCCATGGGTACAATTTGCTGTCATTTATAATAATTAAAAATGAAATTTCTTTTGCAAATTATTTAGTTTGTCAATAGTATTGTGTTTGTATTGTCTTGTAAGTTTTAGAATACTTATTTCTGTTTTTCTCCACCAAAATTGCAATGTGTTTCTCTCTGATATTCACGTCAAATTTGAGGCACAGTTATTTTTTTAATCATCTCCATGTAATTCTATCTCTTGCAATAAACCCTCAATATTTGCTTGTCTCCCATGGACTCCATAGCCTGGGAGATTTTGCTTCAATTTTTTTTTAAGTTGATATTGAAAAATTTAATAGGATTAATATGTCAACCTATAGTTTTTTGATATTGCATATTATTCACCAAAATATCTTCATATCACCTTAACCTAAAGTCCTGGTTCAAAAATTTCACTTCATTATTGTTTCATTTATTGAAGCAATGTGGGATATATGTAACATACCTAGAAGGTATCCCACAATTTAGTAAAAAAAGTTTTTTATGGTGATGCAATTGTAAAAACTTTAATTTTTTGCTTCACAGATCTGAACTGGTATTTATGTTGTGGTTTTCAGCCGTTAAAGATCACATCATAGCTCAGACAATTGCAGGTATGGTTTTTTCACTGTTTGGAGGCCAGCCTATGATGATTATAATGACCACTGCTCCAATTAGTTTATTCATCATCAGTAAGTACTTTTTATGAACAATACATTTTTGTGGTACATACATTTCTGCATGTCAATTAAAAAGAAATGAAATAAATAAATATAGATAAATCCAGCTGCAAAGAAAACTTAAAACAATTATCAGGGGACTGACTAGGCCAATGATATTTTTGGCTCCAAAAAGTCGGAAATATGTCAATAGTTGGAAAAATCTTGTCCCTGCATATGTACATTTTTTGTGATCTCCATGTTCAGAGGTTGTGAAAAGGGCTGTATATACAGTGACTGCTCTATAATAATTAGGGTACCAATAGATTTAGGGAAAGGGGTTATTTTTGCCATTGGCAGCACTGAACACTGGCTTAAAGGACATCACTGAATACATTCTTGAACATCGTTTTGTCCTTTACAAAGTTCTTCACAGCATTTCTTTATCTCTTTCTTTTGGCACTATTTTGTCTGACTTTTTGTCACTCTCTCTCTCTTAGTCTGCTGTACAGATAGGGATGTTCTATTCTTTCTAGTCATCGATCAAGTGGCTGAGAGCTATGGAGTTGATTTCCCTGCCATGTATTCTTGTGTGGGTCTCTTTAATGCTCTCTTTTTAATCCTGTATGCTGTTTTTGATGTGAGCCAACTCGCACATTGGTCAACAAGGTACATCTTGCAGTTGCAAGTTACTCTGGTTCAAGTTATCCACCTTAGATTACTGAAATTGTAGCATTACTTTATTACATGGCTGTAAGAAAAGTCAAATCTTTTATTGGAGGTAACATCATGAAGTAATAATAAGTAAAATTGTGAATTGTTGTGATTATGTTTTAAGGTATTTTGTATTTGACCTTTAGTGATACTTTTTTTCCTTGTTTGTAAAATATTAATGCATCTTTATTTCATACCGAAGCCATAATATTGTTTGTATGATTTTTAGATCCACAGAAGAGATAACTGCAGTTTTTGTGTCTGCTGCATTCATATTTGATGCTGGTAAAGACATTGTGTACAGTACGTATGAATGTTTCTTCTTTCTAAGCTTAGGTGAAGTAATAATTATACAATTTACTGCATGAAATATTTACATTTTGTAAATTTTTATACTGCTGATTTTTATGTAGAGACACTGATGTGTCTGTATATATAGCCATCACCTGTATCTGTTGTAGTCGTCGCTGTGCACTTTCAGTTATATCACTATAAGTGGAAAACCATTTTACTTTTTGTCTTCAAATTATGGAACTGATGAATTTTCATAAGATGCAGGTCAAGTTAAAAAATCAGCATGAAATGGGATGGTGATAACACATTTCAAGGAAAATCGATAGCCGTATTATCTTGAAACTCGTGGACATGATCAATCTTACTGAAATACGGACAATTTTTACAAAACTTGTTTTTTTTTTCTTAGTCATATTTACAATCTCATAAGTGAACTAATAAAGAATACCGTATGGGTGTCCAAAAGGGCAAAAATTCAGGTCATCGATTCAGTTATGTTTCGTCGATTCACTGCCTTCCCATCGATTCAGTTTCAAGTTTAAACGAGCCTATCATAAATTCAGCATCTATTTTTGTCAATTCAGTTGTCAATCATTTCTCGTCTATGGTGTATTAAAGCCAATGCTCTCACTATTTTCGTCGATTATCTAACTATACTCGTCGATCGTGTAATAATCACAAATACCTAATGTGTAAATTCATTAATAGATATGCCAACCAATTTTAGTAATGTTATGTAGTTGCTTGCTAGATTTTATGTAAATATAGATATATATAAGCAGTGTATGAAATTCAAGGAAATTACTAGCCAGACCACCGGGCAGGTAACTCTGAAAAGTTACCAGCCCTGCCATGTAGTTACCTGCCCTAGTTATGATAACCCCTAGAGTTAAGAGAGGTATGCTGAGGGGGTCTAGAATGTATTCTTGGGAGAGTAATTTGGAAATGAAAGGGCAATTTCATGCCTTATGCGTGGAAATTTAGAAATTGGTTGGAATTTCTACTGAATGATACCTTGTCAGTGTTGGATTTCTGATGCCCCCCCCCCCCCCCC